CTCAATTGCTTTACAAAAAGATCTCTATGACCATTCCTGTGCTTGTTCACAGGACATTCCTACTGTACACTTGTGCATCACTTTTTTCGCAGTATTTAATTTTTCTATTCTTTGTCAAATGTTCATAAATCATAAATCAGGAACTTTCTGAACACAACAATTTTCGTTAAGAAATAGGCTGAATTCTTTCTTTTTTCTAACAACGGACTTCAAATTGAATTAGTCTGTTTATTACTTTATTGCACCACGGAGAAAAACGTCCCCAGCATCTGCATCTTGGTTTTGAAATTGTGCTTACAATTATTAGATCAAAACTATTCAAACTTTTCTGATGGTAATTCCGAGTAATCAAAGAGCTTGTCTAAGATACATATAAACGGTCATGCTTCTTGAAGCAATTTGTTTATTATGCATTACATTCAACGCTCGATACTTTAACTTTCAACCGAAACACGAGATTAATTCGAGTAATCGAGACTTCGAATTATCAAATCATTGGCCTCTGCAAAGACGTTGATGACGTAATCTACAATTGTATTGTAAAATAATCAAACGTGTGAGAAGGCAGTCTATTCTAACCAAATTGGCTGACATTCAGCCAATTGAGCTCATTCTTTTTCCCAATCAAATTAACATAATTTGTCTTGATTCTAAACACATGAATGCACCAAACCAAGATAATTGTAGTTTATTACAAAACTCGAGATCTTCTATTGGCTATTTCTCGCCAAATTTTTGACGAAGTAAACTATTTTGCACTGTGAAAGGTACTTCATAATGCTCTTTCAGATATCTAAATTTCAGAATTCCAAGAAAAATTCAATGACGTCATCACTCAACCACTCTATAACGAAATTAATGTATTTTCCTTAAACAAGGCCGAAATTCAAATTATAAGGTATCAAATTATCTAACTTTGAGCCAATGGTTAGAACAGTGAAAAACCACTTCGATGCTTATCTTGTAATAATTGTAATGATTTATAAGTTGTCCTAAAACGTCACATAAAGACTAGACATTTTTGAAAACCCTTTGCAATTTTAACCCTCCGTGGACACAAAATTTGCTTTCTTACGTTTGTTGATTACAGCTTTGGCAACTCATCAATCAATTCGAAAGGAAAATTCTTTTCGCTTTCAACTTTTTTGAATACAACCTGCAAAGACATTACAAAAATCAAAATTATTTGTTGGCTCGTGGGTTACCCAGGGAAACATTGGAACTTTCTTTCTATTCCATTGATTCATTGTGATTTTTCAACATTTTCGGAGTTCTTTGAATCTGATAGCCATAAATAAAAATTCGCGATAAACTCTTTAAAGTTTCAGTCGTTTTTTGTCCTTCGTCGGAACATCCCGAACCTTAGATCTTTGCCAACCTTAGAACTGGTGCCTTAAGCATTGTAAGAAGTTGGCTTTCATACATTTCTGAAAAGATCGGAGACAAGAATGTGCTAATACTTTAGGGAGATCTAATCTGAGTGTTTTGGGTAGGGCCTTCGCCATAGAGACACTATAGAAACTGGAGAATATGCAAGAAATGATAAATAGCAAATGGTTCCTTGATTGTGCTCTACAAGTACGGAGTTAATATGAAAGTTGTTGTTTTATTGGATGTATACGATAAGTACCATACATCAAACTAGAAACACACTGAATAAACCCTGAAACAGTCCATACTCTAGCACTTGTACACGCACTTGGCGATATCTTTATAATTATGGCTATATTTTAAGGACAAGCCTCAATAGGTCAATAGGGACTGAGTGAAACTGGGTCAGTGTATAATGCAAGTATTTCCCCTTGATCACGGATAGGTGTAAAGCACCCATCTTAAGGCGTCTATACGGACATGACAGACTAAAAGCTCTACAATAATCTGTGAAATTATTTTGTGTATCGAGTTTTTGAGGAGACTGCAGCTCCTGGGACCCACCCCTAAGATCCACCTAACACTACCCTAAATCTAGCTCAGTGAACGATTATCCAGTAAGAAGTCTGTTTTTCAGAAACATGTTTTTTCTTGGTAAGCAGGAGAAACGTTCGAGGGTAGCAGTAGGGTCAACTTGTTATCAGATACGTTTGGCCAGGCGGCAAAATATATGGTGCGGTAGATGGGTTACAAGCAGGATTTTAGCTATATCAAAAGATCTGTTCATGATACAGCATTTTAAAATGGCTTCGAAAAAAGCAAACATTTTGAATCATGTTACTAAAGCTTTTCGTCTGACACTCTTCAGGGTATAAAACGTCAGGACATAGATCGAAAGCTCTTCGTTAGAAAACGCATTATACATTTCAAAAGAGCAAGAGACTTGCAATGATATCTCAAAAGTTCTCAAGAAGCAAATATGTTCATCTTTCGCCATTAAGAATTGGGACTGAGCCTCTCTCTACCGAGACATGTCAGGACACAAACTCACATACGAGTATTATGATATTACTACTGAATGGTACTCTAGGTATAAAAATAACTGTACGTCCCTGATTTTGTGGCTGTTGTTTTGCTAATGCTAGCTCTTATGAATATGTTGTAAATCAGTCTTCTTCAGCTAATTGATAAATGAAAAGGCAATGGAATTGTTAAAGCTATAGCAGGCCCTTTTAGCAACAATGCCTCCTTCAGACCCACTTCCATATTTGAGTATCAACTCTTTCTTCTTACAAAGACAACCAACAATGTCTAATTCTTTAACTGTATGAATTGACTTTGCTTTCGGAATGATTTTTGCTTGATATCTGCTCTGATATGATTTGATGTCAATGTTTAGAATGACGTCACAAATGCGACCTGTTAAATGAGAGCTTTCTCCGCGGTATGAATACAAGCTGAAAAGCATGGCTGATACAAGCTGCCTCTCATGTCGACCATTGACCTTTGGGTCACTACATGCACTCTAGTTTACGCAGTACCTGCAGCTATATTACAAGACATGGTTCATCAGGCATTCGATTACCGCTTCGATAGAAAAAAGAGCAATGCACGCAGAGCTTGAATTTCCATATCAAACTAGCTGTTAAGCGTTGACAAAATAGCCTAAATGAACAATCTATTAGCGTATCAAAGTAAAACAACCGCAAAGAACGTTTTATCGTGACTGCTCACACTCTCAAAAATGAATGAATCAAATTTACCTGCTATTAAATTCACGGGAAAGTTATGGCTGTCTCTAATTAAACAAGAAAAGCATTCGTGAATATCTGCATATTCCTAATTTTAGTATTCATGGCATTATTGGTGACAAATTAAGGGGAAAGTCAAGAATGTCTGCAGCAGAGACAAAAAGGACAATCTCTTCCACTTTCTATCCTTCCAGAATGACGCTATTTTCTTCATTTTACTTTAGGTGTGCCGTTTTACTTGCTTCGCCTTTCTGCCCGTTTTGAAAATTATTGAACGTAGGCGTCGCTTGGTAGGGTGTGGTAGCCCTCAATGCCAAACAATGACCGCATCCTAGAATACAAATCAATTTCCCTTTTAGAATAGAAAGCTTAGAGGGAATTACGGGGTATACTATTTATTCTGTGGCTTGAGAGTTTTTGCAACATATTTGTAGTTTGAAGTTGCGAGAGAAGAGAGCATCTGAATCAACAAGTTGCAGATACCACGCCTTAAAATGGGTGTAGGCATTATTTAAACAACCCCCAGATGAAACCTTGTTCTTGTATCAGAAATGTGGATCGAATCTGATGCACTTGGCAAACACTCGGCAAAAATGAGCAAAGCAGATAATGGTGCATATCTCCTTGTAACGAATATCGTCAAATTCACGTTGCACAGTGTGAAAGTTTTAAAGTCTTCTGCAAAACTTTGCGCTTGTTTTTGCTCTCTTTAAAATCTCCCTGCATTATTTCAACAGAAAAGTGTACCAAGCTTTTAATGACTTCATATGTGGCTCACCTCTTTCGAGTCTACCGCAGAAAATTAGATTTTTATTGTTGCCATTCAATGCTTTGGTGAAAGCATAAAGAAAGAAGCTTTATGAGATGTCAATCAACTCTATCTCGATAACACAAATTAAGAAGAATCTATTTTGGAATGGGAAAATGTTTATGGGAAACTTAAATCTAAATATTCACAGCCCAATTCGCTTTGGAGATGTTTGGTATACCTCTCATGCATTAAAACAAAATTTTGCTGATTTCGCAAACCTACAGATGTTTTTCTTGAAAAATTCTAAGGAAACTAAAAAGACAAAAATTTTCACCTTTCAGGACACCTCATTGCAATGAAAAATTGTTCCTGCAATATATTTATACGGTTGATTTAACAAGCCAAACAAAAATGACCCCTTCAAAAAATGATTCCTTAGTCTTGGGTATAATTATCCCTTTCTTGGAATAAAAATAGATGATGTACAGTATAATCCGGTTATAACGTACTTTAAGGTATTGAGTACGTTATATCCGAAGTACGTTGTAACGAGGGTAAGTAAAAATTGACTAAAACCAAGCACATCTTTTGCCGGGACCAAGCACACCAGTACTTTATATCCGAAAGTACGTAATAACCAAGTATGTTATAACGGGATTCTACTCAAATTTCTTATTTTTTGTTAGAACTATAAGCTGCTATAAATAAGCTTTATTCAAAATCTCATTCGTTGACACCTTGCACATTGATGCTTTCATCTTTTCAGTGATAGATAAAGCTTCAAAGCAATAATTTATGGAGCCTAGGCCTTTAAGTATAGGGAAAATGCCTCGAAATGTTTACAAAATTTGTGTATGTGGTAGTATTAATAATTTATAACCAAGCTAAGATAAACATGCTGGCTTGTTTCCAAACGGAAACGAGAATGCTGATATTTTGAACGAATATTAAGAGAAAAATTAGATTTCTAAGTATCATAAACAACCATGTGCCTTTCAGTTAGTGAGAAAGTGAGAGTTTGAAAAACCTGGGGAATAATCAGTTGTAAAATGTCAAATTCTGAAAGAAAAGATTTGGGAGGTAATAATTTATTAATGGCACGTGAAAACGAGGTTATAGTCCTTTCAAAAAGCCACGATTCGCGGAGGGACGGCAGAAACAAGTTAGAAAGCGAGAAAAGAGGTCGGTGAAAATAAATCAATACAAAATGGATGTCAATCTCCGCGAAGGTGATATTGAATGTGATGAAAACAACAAATTCTTCGGGAAGCACAGAACCCCAACACCACAGTCAAAGAAAGAAAAATGCATCACCGGCCTAAGGAAGAATCTACTGGTTATCTTAATAATAATTGGCGCTTCGTTGGGATTCGTTGTCGGTATTGGTGCTAACAAGCCAATACAATCAATGAAAGAGCCAGACAGAACGACAACATTGACTGTTCTTGGTTTTCCAGGAGTTCTTCTTATCAGAATGCTCAAACTCCTTATTCTGCCGCTCATTGTTTCGAGCCTTATCGTGGGTTTAGCTGGACTAGACTCGCGTGTTTCGGGCAAATTGGGCCTGAGAGCATGCTGTTATTACTTCTCGACAACCGTAATTGCTGTTATTATTGGTTTATGTCTTGTTTCTGCCATCAAACCAGGGGAAGGAGCTGACAAGCCGAAAAACTCGAAACCAAACGACCCTGTCAAGCCACTGGACAGTTTCCTTGATATCATAAGGTAAAACTATTTTTCCTCTTTCATTACGAAACTTGCTGCTACACTGTTTTTACACTGTTTCTGTCACGGTCAAAGTAATTAAATTGGAAATGATGTTTTAATGTGGAAAGTAATTTGACTCAACTCATTCACCCAACACGCATGGCTTAAACTTCGATTCAAAATCTGTGCTCATTGAGAAAGAGTTTATGAATGAGGGGTGGCCGATTCATTCACTTTCTTTTCCCGTAGTTTGTCTGTTAATCATTAACGATGTTTTAGTTTAATTCGTAATTTAGGCAGATAAAGCTCTCAAAAATGTTGTGTTTACAGTTGTGGCTCGACAAGGCAGATATGCCCGCGAGCTACACGCTAATTTTAAGACCATTTCTTGCCTGTGGTGTTATTATGCTTGGCCTACAGGAAGCATATATTGAATTTCCAACCTGCACTCCTCAATTCGGTTTCTTCCGCATCCTGAAATTCCTGTGTTGCTTTGAAATTTGTAAAACATGACTCATTTGTAAGCAGACTACTGATATCTTTGCTCCTTGACGACACACCCCCGGTACGCCTCTCCGATTTCAAAGCGTTCCTTATTCGTGCTGCGTTTTTTATTTGTTCAGCTTTCCGCGAGAGTGGAAACAGAATATACCCAAGCTGGATCATCAGGGCCCTTCTCAAAGAGTTTCTTCATTCTTGCAGTGATTTCCAACAGTTGAAACAGTTGAACAACCCTGCCTTGTTTATCGTGCAAACAAGATGTCTAAAATTTGATCAGACACAAGAACAAATCGCCATTTGCGAAATTACAATCCCTAAATTTTTTAACAGCCTGCTTAAGATCTCATTTGCCTTGCAGTCTAAGCAGAATTTTAATTCCGACTCTTTGCATATCATATTTCTAGGCACCTGAGGGAGACTGTAATTTCCTTGCAAGTAACAATGGTGTAATGCTTTCAAGCCAATGATTTTTAATGCATTTTTAAACTTGATCTCCCTCAATAATGCTGATATAAATCACCAAAAACCCTAAATTTGCATCTTTGTTCATTATTTTTTCTCTCCATTGATCAGGAATATGTTTCCAGATAATATTGTTGGAGCATGTATTATGCAGGTGAGATTCAATATATTTTTTGTTTTATTCATAATACATTGTCTGAATCATGGTATCCAATGATAACACAAGTCAACAAAGACAATCTGACCATAGCTTCAAGTGGTTGTGTCAGCTTTAAATTAACAATTTATCCATATTTATTGTTTTGCAAAACATAAATTTCTTCAACAGCTTGTTTCTACATTAAAGGGCAAGATAGTACTGCCAAGGTTAGAGGTGGTAACAACTTCAGGTTTTATTAGCTAGAGATCAAGATTGTTTTTAAATGTGGGATATTGAATGAGTGTATGAGCAATGTCAAGGAAGACAACTTATTTTTTACATTTTGATGCAAAGGATGTCAGACATAGCAGGAAGGGGAAATGTTATGAATTAATCAATCTTTTCTAGGTTGCTTCGTTTCTTTTAGCTTAAAAGGGGTTGCTAAACAGTTATTTAGAGAGCAATAGTTTAAAAAGTATGTTTCAACCATCTTACACAACTTGTGCAAGACCATAAGGCAATCCTTCTCAGTATCCTGCCTAAAACATTTGATTGCAGTCCTCTGGTTTTTGTTGTGCTTCAAGTGCAGTAGCAGCAAGCACACTATGCATAATTTCATCTCAAAAGCAATAAATTCCTTGATTGAATTTGCTCATTGCTTAGAAGCCTGACCATAGACAGCAACATCTGTTTTCCTCTGAAGCATATTTTGTAACCAAGGATTATATTTTTTATCCTTCTGATGGATGCTGGCACAACTTCCCTGCAAAGTTGTTAATAATTTATCAGTTTTATTAGCTCATGGTTGTCCAATGCATCTACAGCTTTTCAAGCTCATACTTAGCCATTATATACCACAAGTATTAAATTTCTAATGCTTCTAATATTGAATACCACATCTCTTTCTCCAACATTTTCATATATGGGTCATGCTTTTCGGCATAGATAACTCTCCCTCAGAAAAATAAGCACAAACTTCTCAATGATTAACAAGAGTGACCCACCAGTTTACTTTTGCTAACTGGCCAGATGTAACTGCTTACTAACATATCTGCCTGTCACAAAATATATTTCACATGTTACAAACTGGTACAAACTTAATTTTATTCTACCTAACATTCAACTAGTTGACCTAGTATATTTTCAAATGGATTTGTTCCCTGTTTTCAAAGGAAATGCAAAGTTTTGTTTACTTCTTAAAACCATGTCAGAAGTTTTTATGGAACAATAGGCTGCTTCACTACAAATCCCTTCCTGATCCATACACTAAGTTGAAGATTACGGTGGTTAAAAAGGTTAAACTTCTGTTTCTCAGATGCTCTGACATGTATGATTGATAATTTTTGTTTTATGTTCTGAAAACATTGGATGTACTGTTTGTAGATCTATAGCAACACAAGAAAACAATTTGAATTAATCTGTTCTTAGACTTTGTTAAATTGTGTATGACTCATGTGGATAGTATAACTTTCTACTACAAAAAAACTAAAGCAAATAGAATCTTCAATAGTTTCTTTCTTGCAGTTTTTAGAAATTTAGTCTTGCAATTGTTTTCAATCAGAGAGAATATTTTTGTGTACTGTCATTTTATATCGAATTATATCCCCACCTGAGTTTAATATATCCCCATCAAATTGACAGAATTTGATATGGGATGAAGTTCATATACTGGTTTTTTGCAAGCTACTTTAAATGTAATGAAACTGCTTTTATTTACAAAGATGCTTTATGAAAAACATAATTGATGAGTAATTGACGAAGATCTTTGCAGATTGTCAATGCTATTAGGTGGCTTTCAACGCTTCAGTGTTTGTAACTCCATACCTATTTGACATTAAGACTAAGGGTGCAATTGGGAGAGAAATATTGACTTTAGACTGAAGGATGGTGCTGCAATGTTTTTCATGAAACTTGTAAATTTTCAAGATTAAATTGAACCTGGACGTTTTCCCGAGGACTTGTGGCAGGTGTCGTTTGTCCGAAAACAGCTAATGGACACACATTTAAGAATTGTTGCTGTTGTGAGGTTCAAATGCAATGAAGAGGGCCTTGATAATTTTGTCATGTTATGACATAAACTTCGTTAAACCAGATCGTTTGGAAAATTATTTACTATTTTTAAAGAACCAAAGACCTTGTGACCAGCGGGTACGGACATGTCAGTAAGGAATTCTGTTTTTCCGGTTAGCAAAAAGTAAAATAATACCTTGTTCTCGTTAATTATTGAGCAGTTTTCTGTTTATTATTCTGAAGGTGGATAATCTACTTTGTTGGTTTTATTCAAAGCTTGTTGTGACGCATATTGATGTTGCTAGAACTTGCTGAATAGCATTCGTATAGGTCGAAGCATGCTAAGCAACACGAGTTGAATCAATGGCCTTGGCTTCTATTCACAATCATCAATATGGTGTATGCATCAGACAACCTGCCATAGTCACTCGCTTTCGAAGGATACTACAAATTTTACTACGTTTGTGAATGAGTGGGGTATTCATTTATCCATTTTCATTCAGATAAGCAGTCGCTTGCCCTTTTAGTATTGTAGTGAATGGAAGCCGTGAATTAAACGTGCGATATTAAAGCTCCAACACTGCCAAATGCATTAATTCGATAGCATTTTAGCTACCTGCAGATTTATCTTATCAGAGCTTATCAAAAATGGCAGCCTTGATCCCTGCTGGGTGATTATCAACGATAGTTGTTGCTACCATGCAAATAATCGTATCCAAAATCATGAAATTTTATGTCAGAAAAAGACAATTAAGTAATTTTTACCTACGAAAAGAACGTCATTCAATAGCGGTTTTAGGGACTGCGGAGCCCCTTGTTCTTTACAATTTCCATCTTTTTTCTTAGGTGTGGGCCTCTTTTGGCTATCATAAACGCGGGGCCTCGGGCCATGGCCCCCTTAGACCCCCTTAGACCCCCTTAAACCCCCTTAAACCGCCACTGACGTCATTTGTTATGAGTTGTAAGATATATGAGCTGTCATTTGCTAACAGTAACCGGATAATAAGGATGGCAAAATAGGCATAATAAAAAATATGGATTCTAGATTCCTTTCCAAATCAAATGTTGAATCTTCTGAAGTCTACAAAACCAGCATAAACTAGAGCCTTTTAACATACTTACTAGGGGGAGGGGTATCCTTCCAGCCAGGATGCCCTTCCCTTTTTTAAAACATTATTATATAAGCGTTTAGCACCACTTAGAAAACAGGAAAATGCTGAAGTACTTCCGTGGAGTGTATGTTTCCACTTTCACTTGCTATCTTCAATAGATAGATAACTTTTCATTAGAACAAATCTTGCACATTGTTTTACACGAAACTGTGCTCTATGGGTGACTGGGGGGAATGACGTCAAACTTTGTGTTTGAATTGTCTCAAGAATCTTAATCTTGATTTCGAGCGGAAGAAAGTATTACCGATCGTTTCCTGCTGGAAAACGGTCAATATAGAGAAATGTTTGAAACCAAAGCCCCGCGGAACAAATTCGATCCTTTATTCAATTATATGAGACCTGAAAACAATTATAGATGAGTATTATCAACAGCGCATCTGTAGTAATTGCTCACTGCATCTTTTTACGGAAAGACATTATCTTTAATTTACGTTTTACGGCAGTTTCATTTATGATTCTTTTGAGAGAACAGTAATCAGCATATCCTAATTAAAATCAACCTATAACAAACTTTTGAGGTAGATTGTTTATTATAACTTCATTTTAGTGTCCTTTTCTTCAGATGATTGTCTGTCTGATGCTTATGTGAAAAACGTAATTCATTTTCCTAGCGAAATAGGGCGTCAATTATTTCCAAAGCAAGGTTGATACGAGCTCTACCTAAACCTGATGATTTCGACCTGTTTTAGACCTTTACAACCCTACCTCCTGCTTGGACCCAATTTCCAGACAACCAGGACCTTCCTTCCTTTCTTTTTCATTTCTTCTTCATTTCTCTACTCTTAAACCCCGCATCTTTTCACATATCTGTATCACCCCCCCCCCCTCCCTCCCTGCAAATTTCGCTGTAGTTCACGCTTTTACTCCGGAAATTTCATACTAGCCCCTGTTTCACATTCTTTTATCTTGTATTAATTTTTGCTCGTGTCGCGGGTAACCAAGGATCTCCGTTTTTTGTAGGGAAAAACTAAAATCAAAATGGAAAAGGAGCTTATTCGTGAGTACAACCAAACGATCACTGGAAACGAAACTGCCGAATTTCTTGCAAGTGTTGAAATCAAGCGTGCCGAGAATGCGACAACGGGAGAAGTCTGGAACTACACAACTGTGCGAGAGTATCGAAGTTACAAGGCAGTTGGGGGACAAGAAACGAGTTTCAAACCCAATTTCTTGGGACTTATCGTCTTCTCAATATCCATAGGAATTGTTCTAGGCACGATGGGCGAAAAGGCCAAACCATTCGTCGATTTTGTCGCAATATTAAACGAAGTTGTAATGAAACTTGTTCTCCTTGTAATGTGGTAAGTCATTGATCCTATTTAGTGATATTTCTGGATTAACATCGAAGGAATAATTATTTACAATAAGAACACCACTGACACCTATCGTCTATTGAACAGTATCGCCCCGTATCAGGGTTCATCAGTATAGTTTAGGCCCTAATCTTAAAGCCTCGAATAGTCTTGTATGATTGGTTAGTTTTTTCAATTCATATTAATATAGAACGTAGATCGTTCTTATTATATAATCATCCGCTTGTAAGTTTTCCAAAAAGCTGAAACTTTGCTCTATAACCTTACCAAACGAGCCTTATCGATGTTTCAGCATACTTATATGCATGACCTTTTAGTGAGTGTTCCCAGGGTATCAGAGAGTACAGTCCCGGAAAGAAAGTTCAACAACCTTTGTCCATCTTATTAGTACGAGTATTTCACGATCGAATATGTTTTATCTCGTGTACAGACCCTCTTGCGTCAATGCCATCACAGGGACCCCGGACAACATTTTTGGGTGAGGGGCTCTAGAGAACAAAGCAGACTTTTATGGTAGTTTTTCTATCATAATTTTTGATGCGACAACATTAATATCATATTTCGAGCATTTTGCAGTCTACATTTCTTATTTGAAACCACCGTTGTTATTGTTTTTAAACCATGACAGGTTCCACTTATTGAGATGTGTGATCCTTTGCTCTATGTACCCTGTGTTGCCTTGATAGGAGTGCGGCTACTCGAGGCTTTCTTATCACTTCTATGAGCTTTTTAGTGAACCATTTCTAAACCTATCATGCCTAGAGGCATTTAATTCGTTGGAAATCTCGTACCCATTATGCAAGATATTTTTCTTAAAAAATCCCTTAAGCCCCTTTGTTGTCATTCAAGATAACCTTACGGGCATTCCTTGTGAGCATTCCAGAAAATTGACCCATCCTTGCGGTGCTCTTGTCACCTTTCAAGACTGATTTCGTACGCCATTAACAGTTATTATGGACATTTAATGGATATTCTATCAAGTATTCCAATTATTTGTTTCAAGAGATTCAGCAAACGACCAGTATTGTTAAAATCTACACCAAATATGTCTTTTCTAAATGGCTTTGCTTATTTTGGATTTTTATTTGAGGAGACTCAGACGGAAAGCTTCAGTGTGTTTGCTTTTTTTGAAGCTATTTTTAAATCTTTTACCTTCAAAAATTCGTACCAAGATAAAACTGAAACCCTATTTTGAAGCTACTGATTTTTAAAATAATTTTTAAGAGGGTGCTAAAATTTTATTATGTAAGCTCCAACATTTGCAAGACTTTCAAAGAAATTTTCTAAATTTTTTCTTAAGGTATTCACCGATTGGTATTTGGAGTTTGGTATCAGCAAAATTTGCAGAAATGGCGAACATTGAAGGGACGTTTAGGAGCCTTGGTCTTTTCATCGTCACAGTTGTCTCAGCAATTGGCATCCACTCGTTGCTTGTCTTGCCGCTGATATACTTCATTGTTGTAAGGAAAAATCCATATAAATTCATGAAAGGATTATTGGAAGCTATGATCACAGCCTTTGGAACAGATTCAAGGTAAAATACAGTAAAACTGGTACCTTATCAGTAAAACTGGTAGTGTTGATGGAAGTATCTACATCAATTTACTCTTAAACTTTATTAAATATAGATGGAAGGCTGGTATTACCAAAGACTTGCAAATGAATGATATGACTGACATCGATAAAAATGAATCAACTGTAATGTTTCTCTTAATTGATAATTACTAAACATATTCTGTTATGTAATTTTGATTTAATAATTTCTTCTATATAATTAATTTCCTATTGTATGAATATATATATTTAGCGAAGTTATTTTGCCTGGATCATTGTTGACCAAATTTCTTTTTGAGCTTGTTTTTGAGCTACCTCAATTTATTGGGTTGAAATGGAAGTTCTTTCGAGTTTTAGCTGATTAATCGATATCTCAATAACGATGATATGAAGTGAATTTCTTTAGAAGATTATCACAAGAAAAGGGCTTTAGGAGAGGTTTCTTAGAATGAACTCTTACAACATTTACAATTATTTTGCAATTTTCGAATTGAACAATGTAATAAAGCTCATATCTATTATGCTCAACTTTTCAGTGCTGCTACACTTCCTGTTACGTTCAGATGCTTGGAAGAAAATAATCATATTGATAAACGTATTACAAGATTCGTCCTTCCTGTTGGTGCCACCATCAACATGGATGGAACAGCACTATACGAAGCCATCGCCGCAATGTTCATTGCCCAGGCTGTTGGCGTATCACTCTCAACAGGAGATATCATCGCAATCAGGTGAGTGAATCACTCAGTTTGATGCTGAATCAACCAATCACATTCTTAGGGGATCTCGTCTGACTTAATGTTTCCATCCGCCTCCACAGAGGCTATTGTGGAGGGAGATGGGGAGGCTATTTCTCACTCCCCAATTACCTCTGCGGAGGAGGGTATAAAGTTTGCTTCATTTGCAGATCAGCTGTCAGAAAAATGTTATTGTCGTTTGTTTTTAGTAACCATTGGAATTTTTGTTATTAATACGATGAAAATGCGTCATTTTAGCGACTTAGATAATCAATGCTCAAAATGAAAAATTCGCTTTTCTTTGGAATAGCTTTGTACTCGCATTGTTATACCAAGACATGGATTTTCGCCATCGTTTATTAAGTAGCCATAGTTTTATCAAAGAAGTTTCACAATAAGTGCCAAAATACGGTCGAAACAAGTTCGGAAAAATTGAATCTATATTTCTTCGCAGGTTCTAAGATAATATGTCTGGAAACTTTCGATGGCCTATTATACTTGAGCTTTTCGCAACAGAAAATGCTTAGACATGTGGGAAAATCATTATAAAGTTTTTCGAAGATTCCAATAACGCTACGAAACTGTCTATTATTCGGAAAGAAATGCTGAAAATTTCAAACCCCGTGAATTTTGGACGCATACAAAATGTCCCCAAATGTCGGGCACATTCTGATGTTCTATGTTTATAGATCAATGGGGTTGTGGGAATGGTGGGACATATTGGGGTGGTGGTGGTCTGGAATTTCTATTATAACATTCTGAATAAAGGTACTTGGTGATATTTTGTTCCATCGTGTTATGAAGCGATTTCAACTTTTGAATTTTAAAACCCCTTCGTTCAAAGTATGATAGAAGACTAGAACATGAAAGACAAGATGACGATAGTTTCAAGTCTTTGCTCCAATACACTAAGCCATAAATTATCTCAATATACTCTGTTACTGTATCAGCTAGATCAAATTCACCCGAGTCAAGGCGCATATGAGACCAAGGTTCTATGGTTAAAGCATGGTTAGAGATATAGGCTGTTATGTAAATAACACCGTGTCTAGCCAGATATTAATTTTTAAGGCTATCGTTTTGTAATTGTAGCACACTACACATCATTGCCGCTGAATCAATCGTGAAACTTGGCATTGTATAATCGTTCATAAGCATAGGCGTTTAGTAGTTTACTTTCATATTTAATATATAATAGCTTTGAAAAAGCAAACATTTAGTAAACTAAAGCCTTTCGTCTGACACTCTTCAGAGTTTAAAATGTCAGAACATAGATCGAAAACTCTACGCTAAGAAATATATATACCCAGTTGTGGATCGAAATAGGCCAATCAGAAACACGAGCACATGACTGTATAGGTTGACCAATCAGTGCCGCTTGCCTATTAAAATGTTACCAGTGGAGTCCTAAGGTGAAAACGAACTCCTTTTGTCTACACAGTATCGGCACAGTACTATGTTCTGACGTTTTAAACTCTGAAGAGTGTCAGACGAAAAGCTTTAGTTTACTAAATGTTTGCTTTTTTCAAAGCCATATATAATATCTATTCGCATATAGAAAAAATACAAGTTCTTTTCAGCTTTAGCAACAACACAAATGTCATTGAACTAGCGTTAACCGGGTCAGCCCAAATAGTCTTCAACTTTCAAGATCCTTATTAATTTGACCTGGGTTATGCTGTGTTTATTTTTTAACCTTTGCGTTTCTTTGACATTACTTTGTAATTGTGTAATGAAAGTGACTGTGTGATAATTGGCCTCACACAAAGCTTCTCGGAACTTAATTTCTCGTAATAGTAATTCATTGCTTTCTGTGCCGGTGTTTCAGGGTGTGATTTTAAATTATTTCCAAATATTTTCCATTTATTTCGCATCATCTGCAAAGATAGGACATCTTCGCCTGCTTGCTCTATTAATTCCCATCCCTGTTGTAATTACTTTCTTCTGCGTGACGTAAAAGCCAAACGAACTTCACACGGACACTGATTTGGGATTTTCCAGCTGCGCTGTGTGGCTGTATAGTGGCTGGACATTTTATTGTCTTTGCCTTGATATCAGCCAGAAGACGAAGATCACCTAGATTAGCTAACACAAGCAGCGAACATCTTGTGTTCTCTTTGCTGTAGAACTTCCCATAGCATTAAGAGCTTAAATATAATATAAAAATAATTTCGACAAGATATTTAAATAAATGACAGACAGTCAACGCATTGCATGTTACGAAGCCACTAGGGCGTGTCTGATAGACAACAATCCAATTTTGTTCTCTAACAACCTCCAGGTACAAGACTTCTATAGCTGAATACGAGACCAATAATCGTTTTGGTTGGGAATGGTCGTTGATCACTTCCTAACAGTCTTAGTACAATGCCAGAGGGTGTTTCTTTGACCATAACAAAACAGGCCACAAACGTTTCATCCACATTAAAATTTCCGACAAGTCAATGATCTAGCCACCTTGGTCGACCATGACTAGTCAAATCAGGAGACTTTAAACCTGAAACTTTACCTTGATTTTGATTATCGCCTGTTTTAGCATTTAGTGTGAAAATCATTTGATAAAATACCAATTGTTAAAGATTTTGTTTGATTTTTCTCTCAACAGCATAACCTCTACTCTAGCCTCGGTTGGTGCAGCAGCTGTGCCGCACGCTGGCCTCGTTACAATGTTGATCGTCTTAGACACTGTCGGCTTGCCAACGGACTACATCGGCGTCATATATTCCGTTGATTGGTTCCTGTAAGCATCTCTAAAGCATTATTTTACCCATAGTGTTGTATAAATGTCTGGTCTCTTCACTAGCATCACAATAGTTCTGTATTTGAAAAGCAACATTCCATCAGTTTGGTTGTGCTGGAAACCATCCACTGGCACAATTGACAAAAAGCAGAACGTGCATCACTTAATCATATTGATGTGGAGAAAACATTGGCTAACTTTCAAGAAAAACAGCATATTAATATAATTAATATGACACATATAACACACAGGTCGCACGTTGGTGGCCTATATATATTTATAAATGTATGTTGGTCATATAACAGAAATTTTTGGCTATATTGACTTTCATCAGCGTTCGAATTACCAAAATTTCGCTTTCAATGTATTTCATCAAGATTTAAGGTTACCGCTGAGACATAATTACATAAGCCTGAAATATCTGTATATCAAATCCTTTTGGCTTGTATTGAATCTATCATTCCAATAAATACTAAATAAGTATTTAATTTCAACAAAACCTCATTCATTGCACACCATTTTAACATCGCTAATATGAGAATAGTAACAGCGAAATTATGAACGCAAAACTTTGAATTCTTTGTAGAGGCAAAAACAAATGTTTTTTCTTTTTCTTGAAATTTCCTGATTTATTGTGCAAAATTTTCTTAACTATTGATACACTCATTTTATTTCTAAGAAACTGGCTATAAGAAACGAGTACTGGACATTCGGAAAAAAATTAAGAAACTTTAGTACTCGAAGCAAAGAAAATAAGAAACTATTAAATCGCGATAGAACTGAGAACAACGAAATTTTATAAAATCCAAGAACATGATTGCCCTGATGGCCTAGAAATTAAGACACAAGGGATAAAAATATACTTCCCACATCTAAATACAGCATCAAAACAGAATCGAATCTTTTGACGTGCTAAAAAGGTCACGAACATTTCATAACAGCATTTATGATATCATAATTAAGAAACTCTTAAGAAACAATGAGTATGGAAATTTCCAGAACATTAAGAAACTGGAGTACTCAACATCGACCTTGTTTTTTTATAAAAAAATGAGTGTATTGAAATTTCCAGAACATTAAGAAACTGGAGTACTCAACATCGACCTTTGTTCCTTATAATAAAAAAATGAGTATATGTGCTATTTACAAATCAAGCTCGTGAAATTGTGTAATTTATCGTCAAATTGAGATTTCATTGGTGTTAAGGCAACATGTTAGGCCTATAACGGCGCAGAAGCAATTTTTTATTCCAATGTTGTTCTTTTAGGGACCGATGTCGAACAATGGCAAATGTTATGGGAGATTCAATCGGAGCCGGAATTGTCCAACATCTGTCAAGACACGAGCTCGAGAAATACGATGACCCTGAATCGCCAGGAGCTACTATCCAACTTCATCCGGTTCCTGAAATTGAATCCCGACAGCTGTAAAATAAACCACCTTGATACTATGGAGATAACATATATAATTTTCGATCTGGCGAAGATTTTCGAGTGGCCGTCTTTTTTCAGAAATGGATATATTCAAGGTACACAATTGCTGTTTTCCTGTTCATACTTCCTTAACGGAAGAACTTCTGTAGATTTCTTGGAAATTTATGAGTTTCCCAGGAAATTGAGGTTTTTCAAGCTACACGGATTTCGTCGATATTTTTTTTATCAGTCACATTATGCGTTCGTAACGTAGCAATCATTTCGATGTCATGTTCTTCGAGCTGAGTTCTAGAAACCATATTTTGTTAGCGAAAATATAAGGTTGTTACTGGAGCGCATTATTTCGTAGTAATTCCGGCATTTACTTGTAGTTATCTACTTTGCAATTCCACGATAAAAGCACCAGGGTTTTAATTGAGGCCCGATATAGTGTACATAAAGATGCAGTTTCTCCTTGCATTTTCAGTAAATTATCTAAAGTTTTCCCGTAAAACCCGGACCTATAATCCTTGTCAAAAATTTTGGAACACCTACAAAGATTTTAAAAATTTGTTCAAAAACCCAACCCCTCTCTCTCTCTCTCATCTTTCTCTTTTCTCTTTCTCTCTCTCTCTCTCTCTCTCTCTCTCTCTCTCTCTCTCTCTCTCTCTCTCTCTCTCTCTCTTCTCTCTCTCTCTCTCTCTCTCTCTCTCTTCCTCTCTCTCCTCTTTCTCTTTCTCTTTCTCTTTCTCTTTACCTCTCTCTCTCTCTCTCTCTCTCTCTCTCTCTCTCTCTCTCTCTCTCTCTCTCTCTCTTTCTCTCTCTCTCTTTCTCTCACGCCTAAATTTGAGAAATCAACAGTGTACAGATTGGGGAGGCTGTCAAAGATCATCGAACTCTGATGCTGTTATGTATCAGCGATTTTTGGCAAGGATTGTACCAAGTCACTTAACACGCATGACATACATGTCCTGGGCTTTTATTACTGTTTCTATGGAGACGTGATCCTGTGTGTTTCATACTTTACACATCGAAACAATCAATGCAATTTCTGCGTTGCCTTCCACATTTAGAATAATACAGAATGGTTATCGAAACCCTTTTCGATGGTCATTTTTTTCTTGATAGTCAATAGATATGATGTCTCCATATTTTAATAAGTTGAGACGCGTCACCGAACATTTCATCTTAAAATGATTTTTGCATTCTCAAGAACCTTGGCTCGGCTACTGTTTTTGAAAATTCACTTAACTCAAGCTGTTCACTTCGGTTGAAAATATTTTGAGTGACGTCATGAGGATCTGCAATAGGCTTGCGTGAACCCTTGGCGGCTGCTCATTTTTTCCCTTCAATATACCAAAATCATAGGATTAATAGAGATGATTACCAAAACCCTGTAAATAGCTTTCATTTTATTTATTAATTCGCTGAAGCAATTGGTTGAAAATATTCTGCCTGCTAATTTGCTAGGTTTTAAAAAAAATTTAATACACCATGTTAGACTGTACTTGCTTAGTTTTTCAATTTTGTTCTCTTTTCGGAAGATATGTTTATCTTTTCTTTTGCACATTAAGACTTAACTTTGTTGCTAGATTTCTTAAGCATGCATAGAGTGGTAGTAGTTTCCAGTTATTATCGATCGGTTTGAACGTTGCATTTGTAAATATGGCCTAAAGAATGGCGATTTTCATTGTAGAAGATGATTCGATTTGCCCGAAGTCGGATCTCAATCGATTCTATAATATATATTTTCGTTTCAACTTCACTTGATCGCAATGCCTGCCATAAGTAACTGGAACAGCCAAACTCGCCTGTAGTTTCTATGTTTTTTATTTCTTTCAACGAATACATCGCTTCTTCTCCCGTTTTCGCTCAAGGCAATGTTGATAGCTATGGTCACGTTTGACAAATTTTACAAGAAAAGCTTTTTTCCTGTCCATTTGTAGCAACCAATTTTGTTTGAAGGGGGAAGAGGCTTGTCTGTTTCGATCTTGTAAATCGGTTTTCCAAGACCTTGATGATTTTACAGGCGATAATTTTGCTGCTCCTAAAACCCACAAAAACCCATTTGTCTGATGGTATGCGGTATATCAAATTAGTCGTGCATTTTCTACAATGAAATTTGATAACAGTTTTGCACCCTTTAGTAGAAAAGCCCGGCATTAACAAAGTTTTAAAGTTGTGAGTAGCAACTTGTATGTTTAATTAGTTTTTTGTTCATTAATTTATTTGTTTTTCTTGCGCTTTATGCCAAGGCATGGTGCATTTGTAAGACCAGATTTTAGGCTACTCTTCCACTTTTGTTTATTATATAAAGACGTCATATCATTCCTTTATTCCCACAACCAGTGTAATAAGCTACTTTCGGTGATATCAGCATTTAAGTTCAACCTGTATATAGCTTTAAACTTCCCCTCGCAACGTCTTTCACCCTTTTCACGTCAAAATGCTTCAATCTGTGCACATTTCGTTCTTTTGTTCTAGGAAAATGTTCTAAAACAATAGGGGGGATTTAACGTCATCTTATCAAAACAATAGACTTGTCCGCCCCCGCCCCCCCCAATATCTGACCAAGTTTCCGTCCCTGATTATTAAATAACCTAGTTGCTTTCAATTTTCCAAATAATATCTCAACACCTTCAGGGTTGCTATATACGTTTAAAATGAAATAAATTGTTGTGTGCCGAACGAATGGTATTTATACATTAATATTTACTTAGCATCTGAAATGAATTTTAATGTAAATGTGCGTATTTCTAAGAAAAGTTCGCATACCCGTATAGTTTAGCAACCTGTAAATTAACTGTTAAACTTGTTACACTGTGCATTTCAAATTTGATATTGTTTGTTAGCATTGCCATTTGCCTAGTTAGATAACACTAATATTTCGTTAAAGGTTTTGAATCGGATTCATATTTATTAGTTAGTAATAAGTTTTAGTGATGTTCTCATTAGAGTATTATGAATTAAAAAGGTCACAGCCACGATTCGGCACTGAATTGCACTAGCAATATTACTTTGCTTAAAAGCTTCTAATAAGAATTTCGGATTACTGTGCCACATCTAATCAACGTAAAACCACTTTCCCTCCTTTCCTTAGGGCCATGTCCTAATAAATGAATGGGCCATCCTGTTTTACGAACTATTTATACTCATCATTTACTGGTCTTCTATTTAGGCCATTCCATCCCCTTTAATTGATATCACAATTGCAGCCTCGGGTTAGAAGCAAAATGGTTACTTGTTCTTCAAATATCGACCACTAATATGTTCAAACTGTTTTAAGGATGTACGAACGTGGACGCAAAGGACATAGAATTGTTTTCTTACAATTTTGATAAACGTTTCTTTCTTGGTAACACGTCATCCTTTCTCAATTTATTAAGATCAAGAAGAATCGCCTGTTTCGTAACGATTTGAGTCAATCAACCGTCCCTGGATCAAATCAGCAAGCTAGCTTGACTTTGACAAAAGAAAGTCGACAATATATTGAACCATGAAACGTGCATGAAAAGCTCAGCAAGTGAATGGTTGTGCATTCACAGGTTTAAACATATCACCCCCGTCCGCCTATTTTTTTGGCTTTGCTCAGCAATTGGATTCCCTGCAAGACCAGGGTGTAATGTTGCACTGTGCCTAGCTGTCGTTTGAACATCATTTCGTGGCTGCTTTACCTTAAAATGTTAGTTGTGTTTTGAATTATGTTGCCAAACTCTGCGAAATTGTTAGTGATAATTTCAAATGATACGATACTCAGCGAAGTCGATTTTTATCGCTAAAACTTTACAACGTTTCGTTAAATACTCATTTTCAATATTGACTTTTATTTTAGGCTAAAGAATCAAGTTTTTCACCCCCAGTAACGATCCTTTATAACAATTAGGCTGTTATGATGAGGATGAGATGGTAGTTTTCCTGTCATAGCAATAGCAACATTCAGCACAGCTGTTTGTCCCCCATTTCACCAAACAACCCCACTCTCAACACCCAACCCCGATTTAAAAAAAAACACCCCCACTTTTACCCCTTTTACTAAAAACCCCCACTATTTTCCCTTTCACTTAGCACCCAACTCTCGTCCCATAAAGCAAAATTTGCCCTTGATTGCTATAAACTTCTTTCTCTTCAAAATTTTCTCAACTCACCTTCTCTGCTTTAATTGTCATAGGGTTATATTTCAGCTCATTTCTTTATCCCCCTGCCTCTTTGTTTGCCGTCCACGCCCTTCCCAACTCCCAATTGTTAAATTATGTATTTCAACGCTTAGCTTTCAGTTGTTTATTAATAAATATTTTAGTTTTAAGTTCATGTTCTTGCACAATTTTGGTTAACAGTTTCACGAAAATTGGTATCCTCACGAGTGTTAATATGTATTTGTAGCTTTTGTAAAGTTTAAGAAGTTAAATGAAATTGGAATGCATTGATTTTGTGTGTTCCATGTTCATTGTTTCTTACTAAATGCACATTTAATCGATCTACCAGGCCTACTTGTAAGATGTCAAGAAAAACAAGTAGTTAGAAATATCATACGAAAAGCTGCAATTCATTTGTGGGTATATTCGAAATAATCTATAGCAAACTTTTCCTATCGTCATAAAAGAGGTAGACAACTTTTTCAGTATTGAGAAATCCGTTTCAAAATCAGGATATCTTGCAGCTATAGGCTTTGCAAAGACTTAACCTCTCATTTAGGCTTTTTGAAAAACCTTAAAGGGCAAATTTTTTGGCGGACAAAATTATCAACAGGACAAATATTCGACAAAAAACAAAATATTTAATGCGACAACATTTTCGGCTATTTTTTCATATTTTTTTATATTTTCGCCCTTGCAGTGTCTTTATCAGTCTTGGGAAGAAAGGGCAAAAGGATTTTTAAACAGCAATTAATTCTTCTAAACATATTTTTTCATATCAATAATCTTTGCTAAAGTTCCTGTTACGCATATTGTCCTCATAGTATTTTGTCCGTTGAGATTGTGTTTGTATGTACATTTAAATCAGGTCGGTTAACTATTTGTGAAAGCCAGCTGTAAATAGAGAATTTATATCCCCCGCATCTTGCATTCGTGGAAAGATGGTCATACGGGAAATAAGAACATGTGTCATACCTATACGAACATGTACATTGAACATGTTGAATGAACTACCTCACCTCTCCCCCTAGCCCCTGTTTTCTTACAACCTCTTCTCCAGCCCCTCTAGAAAGAAAAACGTATTTAACTCGTCGTTGTTATCTTTTTTAATTATATCATTATTATGAAGTATGCTCTTTTAACGTTAGAAGTACGATGGCCTCCTCATTAGTAGATTTCAGTTCGTTCGCCTTCCCAACATGATCAAAACGTCTTTGAAGCCCTCACATAGTCGATAAAAAGTATTACATCCAAAGTGTAGACGCCAAAACTTTTTGCAATCTTGGCTCAATTATAGCCTGAGATTAGGCTCAAGGCTCGGAACTCGAATTCGAGCCAGATCTCAGGATAGCTTGTTTACTGAAATTGAAGCTGGTGTTCAAAAATTATGATATTGATTAAACTATTTTTTCAATCTAAGTGAACCTGTGCATAAGTTACGGCATGGTTTAACCGTATAAAGGACAGAATTGTTTAAGGGCCCCCCTGTTTGAGGACAATTGGAACCAACGATATTGTTCATTTGTAATAAAGGTTTTTTATTATTTCGGGGGGGGGGGCACTAGCGCCTCTAAAAACAAAAGTAGTTATTTTCCTGTGCCATACCCATAAACTTTGACGCTAACAGCCCTTACCCCGGAGATTCTTAAAAACATCTACAAATTTTTCTGGAAGCAGCATATCAAAGTTCCCAGGTAGAGAAAACCTCATTCCACATAAATAACATTGGAACAGCCTATATTTTGCTTCTTGAATGTGTTGATGAATGAAACATTAATTTAACTACGAAACAAAATTGAAGTTATTTTTTATATTTATCAAGAACTAAGGAGATTTGAACTGAGAAAATTCGAACTCAAAGATTACTATAATACATAATACAGCAGCTTAGAGAGTTACATTCTAACTTGACCATCTATACACCATCATTGTCCTTGCTTTCCCCACACCGTTCCAACAATCTGTTGTTAAACCATCCCTTGCATAGTTTATTTCGCTCTCAGGACCAAACCAGCATTCTCCATAGAACTCAATAGCAAAAATCTATCAATGAAAAATAGGACACGTAAATACGAGGGGTGTAGGGTGTGACACACCCACCCCAACCTTTGAAATTATTTGCATTAGTGGGGAAATTTGAAAACAAACAGAAAATTTCAATAATCATTCCAATACTTATTTACATCAGAGAGTGGTATAACATAACATAGCTGTATAATATTTATGTTCCGTATTTATTTTTTAAGCACAATTTCAAGACCAGATAACAATAGGTTTATTGTTCTTACCGTGCTGTTGAACTCCTTCGCTTTAAGTGCACAGTCAGAGATCGTTTTTGTCATATCTGACCAGTTAATTTGTTCCCTGTAGTTAACATATTGTGGAAATGGCCTTTTACCATCGATTGAACCTTCATCCCTGTAGCAGCCGATTGCAATGACTGCAAACAAAGAAAACCATTTTAGTGAGGTTACTGTAAATGGGTTTGAAAAAGCAAACATTTTACAACATACTTAAAGCTTTGGTAATGGATCTAATGATAATCTGAAAACGTGCTTTGAAAATTTAAGTTACCGTCAACAAACGTTATCAAGAAAAGACCTATAAGTAAAAGATTGGTTAGATTATTTATACGATATAAAGTCGTCTGACGGCTTTCTCTTTAAGGGTCTTAGAAAGACCTTTAGCGAATGAATTAAAAACTGGTTTCATTTCTCAACAAAGCGTCCAAAGAGTTAAGCAGACTTGATACTGTGTCCTGAAATGTCTCTCTAGTAGTATGTTGTAATATGTCTGCTTTTTTCAAAACCATTTTCAAATTTTATCCTCTGAAAAAATGTTCATGTGAGCTTGTTGTATGAAATAATTGTAAAAGTATTGTTGCAGCTAAAATCGCGTACAAATCAACGCAAATGCGGAGATGCTTAACATGGAATCTTGAAATGGAGAGGCGCAGTGTGGTTTTAATTAACGCAAAGTTGCTTTATCTGGTGCTTTGAATGCTGGAGCGAAGACAACTTTGAAGTTCGATCAAGTCATTGCTATGTTTCAGTGTATCCTTTTCTGGTCTTATCTGTTTCAATCACCTCTTTCTGAGATACTGATACTGAGAATACTGAGAATATGAAAACAACAGAATCTGATACCAAAAATATCAAAATGTTATACATTAGTGTACAATGTAATGCAATACAACGTTATTTTATGCTAAACGTTACGTTTAAATACAGTTTAAGACCAGTACATACCATGAGGTAAAGGCTTTGCTGTCGTTAAAGCATTTTGCTCATCCACCGTACTTGCTCCTGCAAAAATTATAATGGTAAAATATATCATAGTATGTCACTCCTTTCATACATATAGTTTATCACATGTTTTTCGATCCTTATTGTTCATTCTCTCCGTATTTATTGTAAACTTTTATTGTATTCTATCACTTACCGACTCTAGCTTGAGTTTCAACGTCTTAATAATTGATAATGTCTTAATAATGGTTTTAATACTGACTTTCTTGTACTAATTTTGCCTTACTAATAATGTCGAATTTGGACTACAGCTGGTTACAATGATTTAGTCGAAACATAAAGATATCTATCATTTTCGCCGTGCTGGCTATTCTGTTCATTATCAAGCTGCTCTTCCAAGATCCGAAAATCATAATGTTATACAAGATATTCCTTTACTGTTTAGTTGGATTAACACGGTGGAAGACTGCCGATGGCAACAAAGGCGAAAACTTTCAGCATCTAGAAACCGCAGAGGGTTAAAGAAGCAAGCAACAGCAACAGCATTCAAACCTGTTGATGGGCATGATCCGTTTTTGAAAGTCACGTCGTCAATAGCGATGTCACCACGGAAACCAATGCCTCGTTCTCCTTCAAAGATAATCTGCAAATGAAGAATTCAAACTTGAAGAAAAATTGAAAAACAGTAAGCATTTTTTCATTTCATCATATAGAAAATCCAGCTAGATTAAGTAAATAATTATGATTATCAGATACCTGTGTAAAAAAGCATGGACAATTGTCTCTCGAAATTTTCTAATCTTAGTTTCTTTATAATGATATTACAAAATGCATTTTAAATATGATGAAGATACAGTTAAAAAACATAGCCGTGAAAGTTACCCTGGCTACCAGAGCCACAAAATTTCGAGCGCGTGAACAGAAAACCAATCGGAGAAGCGGAAGTGCGTCAAGCGGAGAAGCGGACATGCATCAAGCGGAGAAGCGGACATGCATCAAGCGGAGAAACGGAAATGCGTCTACCAGAGAAGCAGGAAAATTCCTTTTTCTCAGATAGACGCTCCTCCGCTTCTCCGCTTGGTCTTCTATTTTCGCACTCGATTTTATGTAGCTCTGGTACCCAGGGTACCGTGAGAGTAAACAATTTATAAACCGAGTTTTATAGATGCGACAATCAAGAGGGACAAGGGCTGTGCATAAGGGGGCACGGCCTCTGCATTTTTTACTTACAAGATACACTTATTATTAGTAGTTGATGATCAAAAAATGGGGTATTCCAAATTCCCGGCAATCGGTTTCGACATAAAGGTATCAGCTTATACAAACTCCTTACCTTATAATTTTCCTCGGGTTTCAACAAGATCGACGCACTTTTCCACTTATCGCCCTGATCGCCACTCTTTGTAAACAATGCTGTTCTGGTTTTTGTAGACTCTCCTTCAAAGAAGACCTTTAAACAGCCAATACTGCTTCCATACATATGGTAATAAAAAGACATGCATCTTTCCTCTCTGCTCTCAAACAGCTTGCTTATAAGCCTTCCTGTGTACCCTTGTGAGGCTGGCGAGGATGCTTCAAGATAGAGATAATAACCTGCCAAAAACAGAAAGATGTGTTTATATTTGCCGCTTGCTAATGCTAGGTCATCCAGCACATTTGTTCATCGACACCCACCCACATGCTTGGCCTGTCCATTTCGCCCCTGCATGCCATATTTATTCTCTTAATTTTGTAATTTTTGTAAATAACTAACATTTTAACTTAATAACTAACAAACACTATAGGTAATGCCGACAAATTGGCCCTGTATAACATTGATCGATAGATAGATAGATGGGTTTGCTACACATTCCGTTAGCTGCAGTGTGCAGGACATTGTAAAAGAAGTTCGTGAATAAAGCTGTGTTTTTAGTTATCCAATATAGCTTTTTTCTATGTGAACCTGTTTTAAGAGACCGAAGAGATAGACTAGGGTGGTGGCTGTATCAACCTCATCGGAGCACATAAGTTCGAAACAAAATTTTAATCTGAGCAAAGCATGCTTTTCAATGTTACAAATCCCTTCCTGATTACCGAAGTGATTTGTCTCCTCGTCAGACACTTCTTAGCGTGAGCTCTGCTCTCGCCTTAATTCATATTAAACCTTCGGTTTAATCTTGCTTTATATATGCTCCTTACCAGCCTCTGAGGTATGGTCATGGCTAGGCCCCGTGTATCTGCTAGGTGTCGATCCACTTTTTCTGTACCAACTGTATCCCTCGCTATTTGAAGGATCGTTACTCCAATGACAAAATTCATCTTTGTCAAATTCGCAGTCATCCGGCCCTGCACAAGAACATATACTGCAATTTACAAAAACATCATTGGGTGCATTTCAAGGGAAAGGCGAATATCAGCTTGTCGTCTTAGATCAGATCCTTGTTCAACGAGTCATCAATGTAAAGTCTGAGGAGCAGCTTGTGGTACAAAAGCAATTAGATTTCTGACATCAAAAGTCATTTTAACTTGATGCAGTCACTACATACACATTTAAGAAATATGTTTTTGTGAAAGTATGGGTTCCTCTAGGATCCACTTTGGGGCAAGTTTTGTTTGTAAAGCTATGTTGCAAACCAGCCGTTCTTGTATGTTGTTTAGTGGAATAATAAATGAAGCAATTTCCTTACGTACCAAGGTTGCAGGTCCTCATTTTACACTTCTGTGTACTCGTCGACTCTCCTTCACACAATGAGCCATTGTATTGTGGTGCCGGATCGCTGCATTCCCTATTCCTTTGTTGAACACCGTAATTGCACGTGGCTGAACAAGATGACCAGTGTCCCCATGGACCCCAATGTCCATTGATGGGAGCTGAAGACGACAAAAGCTTTATTATTGCAATATAAAAGAATGCAAACTGTACTATCAACATTGCACGCTTGCTATGAACGAGATGCAAATCATTAACTTTGAATGAATGCCTAGATGAAATTAGAAAACAGCCTACTTTTGTATCACACGTGCTAACTTGTAATGGCAGAAAATTTGCTCTTGTCAAGAGGAGAATATCGCTTCATGCCAAAGACTTTGCAGAACCAAGAAAAGGTTTGTTGACTTAATTTCCAATTGGTAGAATGGTCGAGTTTATATAGAGTGTGCAAAGATTGCGAGGCGGCCAGGTAAGGCCAAAATGATTTCACAAAGCTAAATGTAGGCGTATGTTGGAAACCTAGCGAACAGCTCTTAGGTTTTCTCCGTATCAATCTTTCCTTGCTTTCAGAAACACTTACTCTCTTAGAACCAGGCTCCTTTTTAGCATAAGCATAAACGAAAAATATTTGTCTGCCGACAAACACTGCAGACTTTTGTAGCCATACCGTAACATTCCGTTGCATCCTTTTTGCATTGTAGAGTTTCTGTTTGGACTCCATATTCATTGGCCCCTTCGCAGGTGGTTGCATTTGTATTCTTGCAAAACCTTTGACGAGACTTGAGACACTCAATGTTGCATGGGCTAAAACCACTCCAGCCACTCCATCCGACTGTCTCTGTGTCTTGGTACGAGAAAAAGTATTAGAGTACGCTGCTGTGGGAAAGTGACAGTAGTGTAGTCCCAACCTTTACTGTTAGGAGTCTCAAAATTTCATCTTGGTTTATTGGCATCTTAAAAAAGCTAGCTTTGTCAAATTATTCGGTGTCCTGACGGATAAGGAAAGCTAAGGAAATATGTGCCAAGTACTATAAGAATAATACGTCGATGAAGGTTAAAGCTTTACCTCATAACTAAGCTTCCTCATAACTAACTGAATGAACGGCTGATAAGCATAACTAAGCTATCAGCCGTTCATTTAGTACGCCAACTTTAAACAAATTATTTATTATTATTATTATTATAAGCTGAAAGAGTTCATTATTGAAGGGTTCCTCTAAACTAGAATAAATTCAAGTTTAAAGGATGAATGCAATGAATGCAAACGAAAGGAGCATTATTTTGGTAAACCCTTGGTGGAAATTTTGCACTTGCATTTAACGTGAATCTAATTCCGCGTGAATCCAATAATTGATGAATACTATTTTGCCTTGTTTTGTCATTCGTCTAGATGTTGTAAAAGCTTATAGTATTGTAGTGTGTTGTAGATTATTTAATGTTAGTTTTTACAATAGTTAATATACACTAATTAAGACTAACATGAAGCAATTTCAAGGATTGCATAAGACAGTTCATTTACTGCAAAACGAGCATGCGCATTTGTTTTCAAGGAACCAAGTTTTGATCAAATTCTTAAATTGTCTAGTATTTTGTGCTGTCTTTATTGATTCCGGGAATGAATTCCAGATTTTAGGCCCTTGAAAACGTAATGATCTGATACCATTATTGGTAGTTTTTGGCGTTTGGAGTATCAAGGGGGTTTATGAGTCGAAGGTTAAGATGAAAGAGTAGCGGAGTACAGGCTCAAAGTAACTATACAGCTATCTGCATCCTACATACAATACAGTGAAACTGAGACTGCACTGTTCGGTGAAAACAGCACCTCCGTCGACGTTACTACTAGCTTGTAATTATCCCATGACCTACCGCACTACATCCCTAACCACTCCTCCACAATCGTTATAAAAATTGAACTTTTGCTCTGTTGAGACTGTTTGGTTTGATATTTGTGGTATGTGGAGAGGCCGTCTCAGTTTCTGTTTCAATTGCTTGCAGTTACAAAATTGGTGGAAGCTAGTGAAAGTTTAGTTGTTACACATCGCAAAATGGTAAAAATCTGCCTACTCCGTGAAAAAATCTTGGATTCATCAAGCACAAGATTGCAATAAACCTACAAACCCTCCAACATCAGTTGATTTCATCAATTTCATGAAAACACATTATCATACACATCCTGACATCTTTTACTGAAGGAGTAAAATATCTTACCTTTGCAGTCATAAAGCGCGTTGAGTTGAATAGCATCCAATTCACTCATTTCCATTGCAACACCCAGGTTGACACTAGTTTCCCTTATTGGTTTCATGGTCTCTTTGCCATTTTTAGAAAACGCTTTTGACCCATAATGCATTACGCTCGAGTAGTCATACTGGATTCCAAGAATATCAGCTTCTTGATGGGAGTATTTCTGGAAATTGCTCTTTTGTTCTGAAAAAGTATAAAATAAGCATTATTATTATGATATTATTATGATATGTACCACAAGACGCTGTCAAAAAATGCCTACGCCTTTAAACGTTCAATAAAGATCGATGGATATGTATGTTGATTACTTATTCGATTCGGCCTAATTCAGTTTACCAGGCACCGCGGAGCAGGGGGGGCTTGGGGGGCTCTTTGCAAAAAAATGCCAAATATGAAGTATCAAACTATCAGAAAAGCCTCTTTTTTTACGGTTTTAGCCCCCTTCCCCCCGCTTTTTTTAGACCCCCCACTTTTCTCAACGCTCCGTGGTGCCTGTTTACAGCCATCGGTTGAGAAATATTTGCGAATACCAGACCAAGTTTTCTCGAAGTATTTTGAGACATTTTGAGATGAATGATAACAATTGTAACAATTTCTGTTGGCGGTGATACAAAACTATTGGAACTGATCTGATGAATACATGACGTAATATTTGTCAAGAAGGGGTATGGAAAGTGGTGTGGACAGGAGAATATATAGGAGGGGCGAGAAATATAGATTTTCTGACAAAAATCTAATAAGCATTTACATTTTTACATCTATATCGTGAATTTTATCATATCGACATCAGAACCGTAGTAAACTATCCAATTTCAGATTTATTCAGCTTTAAAATCTTTCCTTTCAAAATACAACACCCAGGTAAAAACTAGACAGCCATGTTAAATTTCCGACAAGGTCAGAATTTTTCCGACAAAAAATCAATTTAGCTTTATAGGGAGGTTTTCAGTGACCCCCTCTATCTAAGCCATTGAGTTCCAAATCTTTGGACCTTCTATAAAGGTCAGTTATTTGGTCCTTGTCTTTGATAACATAGTCATAAAATCAACAAGAAACAATAGACATGAATACCTTCGTCGATGTTTTCCCAAAATATTTCAATGTATTGATCCCTATCCGGTCGGCTTTGCTCGTGCCAAAACCCTAAAGCATGTAGTACTTCATGTACCATCGTTTCGTGCAACAAGCATCCATTACCCAAAGAAATCTCTTGAAAACCGGGCCTCCAGTACAACTTGCCTACAGATGACCAACACCTGAAATAAACAAAGAACATCTTTGGACCATATCCTTTCTCTTGTAAATAAGAATATGTAATCCAAAGCATTTCAGATATTCAAGAATAACTGGGAGGTACTCCTTTTGGGTCATGGTCAGTATTTTCCTACGAAAGACATTGACATTCTCACAAAAAGTTATTGATTGCTTTTAAGGGACTTAAACATAGAAAAACTTTTGTCTTGGCAAGAATATGTAACTAAGTTGCTTAATATGACGAATTCTGTCTTAGTTTCATTCTTACAAGATCAGGCTGATCGGTAAAAGATGCATTTGTAGCTTATTCAAGCATTTATATTCAGGGCCCACGCCACCGAAGGGGCAATGCCCCTCCACTTTTTTTCGAAGCAAGTAGTTTTAAAGCTGTAGCAAAGAGAAGAAGCCTTGGCTCCCTACTTTTGCTAGCCTTGGCCCCCACTTTCAAGTTCTTGGCGTAGGTCCTGATATTGGTGTTCACAGTTTTGCAATCTCCCTTTTTATAGACACACTGGTATACCTAGCCATTTGTATATTTTAACTTATATTTTTGTTCTTATTGTGACGTTTATACTCTAAGAAAGGTCGGACGAAAAGCTTCAATATATCTAAAAATTTCATTTTCCAGCCATTTTCTTCAATTTCAATTTCAAAATAGATCTGCTATAATTACATACCCGGCTCTTCTAACAAAGTAAATCCAATTTTCTTCGTTGGTTCTCTTCACAAACTTTATGCATGATTTTGAAGAGATTTCCTTCATTGCACCCTCGATCGTGTACACAAAATTTTCTATAGAAAATACGATAATGCTTGTGAAAGTATAGAAAGATATGAAAGAACAACTGAATAAGAAATGAAAAGAATCAAAGATGAATATGTAAGAATGTTATTTATTAATGAATGTTATTTATGAATGTGACAAGCCAGTGGATTCTGTCAGTGCTTAAATATCAACTAGACATTGTAAATATCAAAAATTCATCTTAACTCTAAAATTTATTGATTAGACACTTTGCATGCTATGATATGGAAAGAGGTAGAATTTTCTGAATTGGGAACGATAAAAATGCAAGATCAGGAATTTTACTAAAAAATAATACATGAAATGCGGAACATACCATTGAATTCTTCAAAAGAGTCATTTTATGAGTGGAGAAATTCTATGACGTATTTGACTGTTTCTAGCAACCATCCTTTGTTTGGCTATGTCAAAGTATGCACGAATTTTTATTTTTCCTTCTTTTCAAGCCCCATCGTTGCAATTGATTTACGCTAATCTTTGCCCCAACACCCACCCTAGCTTTTCTGTAAATGCATATCAATTAACAAATTATAACATTTTGAACTTTTCAGGTTTAATTTAGCTAGATTTCCTTCCATGAATTTATAATGTCCGTCTATAGCTCTGTATATTAGAACGTTTCTAAAACGCACCCAGATCACTTGAAATTTCATATGGTACAATGCCGGATTGCCAAAGCATTCTGCGATCTCTAACAGCATCTCTTTTGACGTTGTCAGGCAGGGTTCTAGTGCCAACTGGCATCGCGTTTCCTCCTTCCTTGAGGTTGATATCTCCTTCGAAGAGGTCTGTCAGATCGTTAACTGCATAAGATATGAGTAAATATTTTAGAAGCACGAAACAATATTTGAAAGTTATAAAGAGAACGCAAGGTCTGAAATATGGTATCTAGAATATACATAATCGTAGACATGAATACTTAAATTTAGTTGAAAATGACAAATCATATCTGCAATTTGCTTCTAAGATTCATTAACATAGACAAAGCATCAAAGAATATCATTTAAAAATAGAATGATGACTGATATTTTCTTGTATTCTCATTTTTTCTATGGGTTCTAGGCCTTAAGTGCAAGCTAAAGTTCAGGAACGAAACAAGAAAGATGAAGCAATTAAACCTATGCATTAATTTCTTTTGGCACGTAAGCTCTTTCGGGATTGCATCCCGCTGTTACTTAGGAACAGTTAGCAAGTTTTTTATTACATTTTGTCGTAAATCTTTAATTTTACCTTACTGTTACTGCTCTTGCTGTTTTAACTCGTAATTTGAAGGTTATTTATCGATCAATTAAAAACGGTAACATAAGAAATGAACACATCAAAGAATAAAGTATAACAAAGCAACACAAAAAATAAAACTAATGCAACTCTGCAAGAGTTTTGAGTAAAACAACTTTTTGCAAATATCTTACTATCAAATATCAAATAGCTATAGCATGAACAATATCTGAGCAAAATATGCAGCTTAGTTACTTCATGAATTTCACTCAAACAACTTCATGAATATTTTCTTAGTTGTGAATGATAAATATAAAATGCTAATATTCCTATAATATAATATCCTCTGCATACAATACGATACCCTAAGCATTATATTCACCAATCTTGCATACATGATATAATTACTTTACCTTCATTTATGTTGGTTATAATATCCATGGCGGCCAAATTGCTGTTGGAATCATCTTTTAACGAGCGAGCTAAAAAACGATCAAATACTCCTATACTTCCAGCGGAGAGGGAACTATATTACCTAGATTTAAAAGTCTAAGTATACCAAAGAGCATTCTAGTATTGAAATAAGTTAGAGACGTAAAGTACGACAATAATATCCCTATGCCAGTGGGTAATTCAGTTTGAACCAATATTTGTAAAAAAATGCGACAAATACAGTAACAACAGTGCCTGTCCACGGAAAAAGCTCAATTTCTCTTTTCCTTGGTGTTGTTACATGACTTTTCTCTCAGAGCCTACGGAGTTTCTACTCGCATTTAAATGAAATAATGAATACGAAAAGCATTTGTTCCGTAAGGTTTTTTAAAACTGAATGGTCAATATTAGCCAAATTCGCTCTAGAATAGAGGAGGATAATACAACATTACATCCAAATAACACCAATGCGATTTCATGATTTTGTTAAAAACTTATGCTACGTTGTAAATGGGAAAACAGAATCATTGCTTGCCCAAAAGCTGATGGAACTTTCAGTTTTATGATGGATTTACACTTTCAAAATGATTAGAAAATTCAACAAGATATTTCATCGATAGAAAGAATTTGATTGCATTTATTCGAGGATCTTTTACTCTTTTGCAACAAATTTTCATAATGTGGTTAATGTTAATTGAGAAAAAAGATGACACCTTTACTTCGAAGAAGCCCTCCATGCTACCTCTTGCGATAACACTTTGCCATCCTCTGATTATTATTACATATATTATTACCAGCCTCTGAAATATTATTAAAAAGCCCTTCCTAAAAACAGGCAAGAAAAGTTCTTGGTTACAAAAGGAAAATTATACTTGCCTCGTTTTGAACCTCTGCTTGGCAACTGTACTGTCCGCTGGATAATACAAAATACAAGAAAAGCGACAACCGGTAGCCTGAGTCTGTTCATATCGAAATGCCAAGATCCAATTCAGAGTCTTATCTTTCACAAGGAAGATCTGCAGTGCCTCACGCAACGTAGGCTGTATCGTATTCAAGTGTTTTATAGATCAACCAAATGACATATTCTCGTTATGTTGTTAGTATTGGCTAAACATAAAAGAAAAAATAAACATTAAAGCGCCACTTGAAGAGAGCTTTGATCACCAATGTCAACAAATAGACGATGGAGTCTCTGCTAAATAACTTTCTAATTTGTACAAGAAGCTACTAAATATTCATTATCGCGTGAATAAAATCACAGTATCGTCTGAAAGAAGAATTCACATCAATGTATAACCTAATGATGCCAGCAGATTAGCTTCAACCAAAATATTTTTTACATACCTACGTTTGTATCGCAGAAAACCACAATGAATAGAGAGACCACTATCTTTATATATATTTCCCAACAAACCTTTTGATTTGAAAAAGGGAAACCACTGCCTTTACATATCTTTCCCAAAAACCTTTGATTCTCTTGCACAAAGAACGTGAATCACCCGCAAACATATGCAATTGCTATTTTCTTGTGGGTGGAGAATTCATCTGTAGAGGATGAAGCCTTTTCTCTATTCAGCAAATTTCAATGTCACGAAAACCTTTTGCAAAGATCCAATCCTGTCTGCATCTAAGGATTTTGTTTCACAATCAACTAGCTTTTAAACACTTAGGAAGATACTATTCTTTGCTTTCTTCAAAGCAGCTTATAGCCAGGGAATTCTTCAGCGTAATGATTGGTGGGAAATCTGTCCCCAGGGTCCTTGCATGCCCCAGCAGCAAACGTAACATGCCCTTTTGCCCAAGTGGTTTGTATGAGTCCAAATGGGACCTTAATATACCTCTAGTGGGGCTTCTTGTACAGTTATTATGGCTCTCATTCAATTTGCATACAAGAATTACTTTTATGTATTGCTGCCATTGAAAATCAATCAAGATTGCGAAACTCGAGGATGCTATTGTTGGCTTATTGGATAAGTCAGATTAAGTGACCCTGTGGTAAAAGGTTACTGTTCGTAATGGATGATAACAAAGTAAAGGGCTATAAAGTTACTTCAAAATATCAATAAGAGCAAGTTCATTTTCAGCCACAAAAGTTCTCATCGCTTGACTTGCTAACCCTGTTCCCCTATACAGCAATTCCTTTTTGCTCTGATGACGAATGTGTGGATTATATCTTATAAATGCCCCCATGCACCTCTTTTTATGCTCCTTTTTTACCTTGGTGCCCCCCCCCCCTTACCAAGCGGCTAAAAAAGCTGTATTGGTGTGTTGCATGAATGTATGTATAATAGCAATGATACGTGTGCAGATTTTCAGCAACATTGAAGGAAATGTACATGAAAAATGAAAGAAAAAAACAAAACAGAGACTTTGCTACTTTTCAGTAAAGAGAACAGGCTTGTTTGTTCAGCTTCAGCAATTCATTGGGGCTAATATGAAATTCATACGAACTTCCCCTAATGATTCAATGCCGCTTTTGCCGATCTGTTGTGATCTGATTTTCACCAATGAGTTTCATCTTGTTTAAATATTAGTTAATGAGAAAGAATTGACATCCTTTCATTGACATTATCAAAAAGTGGCAGCTGTTACAGTTAGCAAACGAAATTTGGACGTTTTCAAACACGGTAATCCCAAACAGATTCCTCCGCTACTGTTGACATCGTTATATCGCCGCTTCGAAAGTAAATGTCTGCCAATTAAACTTCATTAACGAAATCTTATGCCGAAGTCAAGAATGCAAACAAATTAGTCAGGCTAAATCCAAAAGTAAGCTTCAGAGCTTCCTTAGGTACTTAAAAAGAAATTTAATCAGTGGCGTAGCGTGACTTTTTCAACTGGGTATTCTCTATTAAACAAAAGGGTAGGGCAGGGTGTGGCTCGATGGGGCTTGATGAAAATAGGGCATAATAGGAAGATTAAAAGGACTAGCTATTGAAATTTTATCTAATTTTCTTTTTGGTTCGGTTGGCAAGTACTGCACATTACTATGATGAAAACGATACTTTGCTATAGGACCCTTCAAATACACTCTTCGAACTCATTCATTGCATCAAATTACCACTAACCATTTCATTTATACGTCGTATGAATATTTTTTCTGAGAAATCTTAGGGTATTCACTGAATACCTTGAATACCCGGACGCTACGCCACTGAATTTAATTGGTCTTAAAGAAAGGTCTAAGGGCCTTTCAACTGACTCCCTTTTTTCAAAAAACCCTTTACGGTGAAAACTTGTTTTTTCAAATTGCTAGCTCTTCAGGGACCTTGGACCTATTCGATGTAAACCTTGGACCTACTCTGGACATCATTCAATAGGCAATAATTTCCAGGAAATCTAAGCAGTTATATTTCCTAGAGTTTTCGATCTAGGCCTGTGTTCTGATGTTTTATACTCTAAAGAGTGTCAGACAAAAACCTCGAGTATAATTCAAAACGTTTGCTTTTTTAAAAGTCGTTTTTAAGTTCAGTACCACAAAAAATTGCATACAATTCTATAGGATCTGGGTTTTCAAAGCGATATTTAAAGGCTCTCTGAGTTATCAGGAATGAAGCTGTTGAGTTTCAGGGCTCTAAGATATAATTCATTTCTTTAACTTTAACTTTGTCAGGCAAAGGGTTCTTGCTTGTCATAGAAATAGTTTAGGCATGCGAAAAGCATGGCTTCCTTACACTTAAAATTCTTCACTATGATAGAAATCGAGAACTAGCTTCTACTATTTAAGAGTTAAAGCGGTCTTCAAAAGCTTTTCATCATGTTTTTTAATGATGTCGGATGATAAATAAATAGGTTTGATATTGCCAAAGCTATTTTGTGGATCCCCATTATAAGTAAATTGTTTACTGGTTATTGCCATTTACTCAACTCAGGATATCTGATAAAGTTTTTCTAATTATTTATTCATGCCTTAAAATATTGTTAGCTAAATGAATGCCAAACCAGTTTTAGAAGATCATACAATCTCTTGCCCTTTGAAGTCAATTTATGCTACCTGTTTTCAAAAAGGCTTTGAATTAAGTCTTGCGTTTAAGTCCAACAATCCATTTTCATAATAGTGACAATTCATTTAAAAAGAGCTATATTGTCTTTCGTTTTCTTCGTTCGTTTTACAAAATTTACAAACCTTGACAAAAATGGTTCGAGCACCACAATATTCAGGTTCAGATGTTGACAGCCCCAGGATTGAACCAAAAATCCCAAGTTTTCAATGCTGCCACTAAATCACTCCCCCCCCCTGCCCCTCGTACATTGATTATACCGTCATTCGAAGTGTTTGTGTCTAGTCATAGTTAGATTGTCACATTGAAAATCATGTATACTTTTGGAAACACTTTTGGAAAATGTGGAGATCTTGGCTACGCGTTCCAACAATTTTGGCGAAGATTGTAGGTAGACAAAATATTCTGAAGAAGCCATTTCACAATTTTAACTTGAAGTGAAAAGAAGTAAAGAGCGCAAAAATTCTAAACAGAAATGCAGGACACTGGATGAATGTTAATAAACATATCGATTTCAAAATTACAGTCAGTTTTGCCCATACTTGTATTCTTCTACCCATCAAAGGGCAACCACCAAACAAATAGAGGGGCAATTTAGTGCTAATTAACAAAATTCACAAAGCAAAATCGCACGTTTGTGTATAAAACCATGAAATTTAAGACTGCAATAGTGTAATTTGATGGAATTATTGCATAGGTTAAATATAAGTGAATTTGTTTCAGTGGGATCTGGCTCAAGTCTATTGGAAAATCTTCAATCATCAGTTGCGTTGATTACAACAACACGCAGGTTTTCTGCGTGTTCTGCGAAGGCGTCAATCACTTCAAGAATGGGTTGATAATCTTCTCCTCCAAGAATTGTTCCGTGAATCGCAGGTGATCTCCGTCAGATGCCAAGAAATGCAACTTTCCCGCCTTGTCCATCTCTTGCAATCCAAGAAGATCCTTTTGAAACAAAACAAAATGATTAAAAAGAGTTCACAACCCCTAGTTTGCACAAACTTCCTTAAACTTGACTTAACGTGACTTGACCGTTCAAATTTGGTACCGTATAAAACTTTGACAACCGAAAAATTTAAATCTACTAAATCCTTATTACCTTTGGATCAATAATACATCGTTCTTATAAAATTCTTATCTGCATCTTATTTTTTAGCAAAATACTTTTCCCTTTATAACCACATGATCCTTTTTTCTCACTTGATTTTTTTATTCAAACTGTTTAATCTCAGCATTAGTCTCTTCTTCCCTGTTGAAAGTTCAACCAAACTTTCAGATTGCTTCATATTTCAATCTAGTATTATTTGATGTTTTCTTCACTATTTCAAACACATGCATTTCAAAACGACTTAACTATCACCTTTTGCGTTTGTAAAGTCATAGAATAACCCAATGATTATTGTTACAACTGAGAAAATACAGTTACACTATGACAGGGAACTTTACCTTTTTGTAGAGGTCTGTATCCTGTAAGCGTTGTGTTACTTTGGCTTGACCAGGCACATAATAACCGAACCACTAGAACCAAGATCGACTGTTAGACGGGTTTTCCATCAAAACAATTTTTCAAAACTCAAGACTTGTCAGCTGAATAAATTACAAACTTCATTTGATTCTCTCCAAAAATTAAAACAGCTTGGTAACATAACTTACCAACAACTATCATGTTAAAAAAATCCTAGCAAAAAGTAAGGCAAAAAGGTCCATCTAAAAGATGTTCATTTTGCTACCATATTTATCACACGATTCACCTTAAAACATTTCTAATCAGTCATAAAGGTCTAATATCTCTGCGAACTTGTGCTATTGGCGCCTCCGGTGCGTCTCCAGTGCAGCCACTTTGTTCAGGTAATTAAAACATGGACCTTTTGAGAGATGGTATCTATCTGCTCAAAGTGAATTGTGAAAAATTTCGAGGAAACTCAAACGAACCTCGCTTTCCCTTGGGTCTACCATCGTGTCCTTAAGAAATTTCACCATAATGAAGTTCTTCAGTTTCATCAAGTTTGTCTTATAGCTTTGTTTGAATTCCTGTAAAAAAGTAAAACTACCTGTATATCGAAAAATAGAGGCAATAGGAATAGTTGGTCTTAATAAACAAATGCGGTTTGCTTAATTATATTGGAAATATTTCGAATTTTCTTTCAGTGTTTGTACACACGACAGCAAGATGTTATTAGTGAAATTGACGACCCAGGTTATTGGTGAGTCTGAAACTGCTTCATATCTAATCTCATATCTAATCTCAATTTATCGCTCCAGTGTATGCTAATCTCAGTTCACTCCTCCAGTGAACACTGATCTAAATTTTTTTTCTCTAGCATAGAATAGCAATAACGAGAGAAAGAGAATTACCACATTATAAGTGGGTCTCGAAGTGCTTTTTATCTTTTCACAGCTTCAACGATGCTCGAGTATAAATGATTACAGCAACATAAGAGCCACGATATTGGTTAGTCTCAAATCGCCATCTATGCTGAGACATTTATAGGTTCATTTTTGTAAAAATTTGGTGAGCCTTGTTCTGGCAGTTACTCAAACCGTTTTTCGCTTGAGACTTTTCGAGCCAGGCCTTGCATCTAGAACGGTAGAACTTCATAGAGTGCTTAAAATATGGATTAACATTTTTGGGCTGTTCGACACAAGATGCGACCAAAAACATCGCACTGCACAACATTCTACCGCACTCTCACTTAATCCCTTCAGAAATTTCAAAATTTCGTTGTCGTTTGAAAACAAAAAGTAGTAGCAGTTCATATCTAGGCTCGATTTCTGGATGCATAATCCTAAACCGCGCTTTTAATCGAGGTGCTTGTAAAAATAATTCCAAAATCCAGGTGGAAAAAAATTCAACAGCTTCTGACTTAATCATGCACTCAGACACGAATTATTAACATAGAAATGAGATTTAACTACCAAAACCTCGCGTATCAACGATAAAGCTCTCTGAAGTTTGTTGTGCCCTGCTCACTACAAGGAAGGTCTTAGGCATGAAAACACTTGATACTGTTAAAAGCGCTGTTGATTTCACCAATATAATACTGTTTTGAATTCACCGAATACAGAAACTGCAGAAAAATCCTGTGCTAACCTAAGAATTGCATATCAGCTGCCTCGTTGGCAGTTACGTAACTAAAAATAACGGTGTTTAAAGGAATGCATCTGACAAGCACGATAACCCTGAGATTTGTACATCCCGAGTATGAACAAGTTTTCGAAACACTGCAAAATAAACAAAGATAAGATATATTGCAGAAATCCAACGTGGGATAGCTTTTCGACGGTTCTTGAAATAAGAAAATTCCAGTTACGTCAATGCTAGATAGTAAAACTCCTAAGCTTAACAATCAAAGCAATCTTAACAATCATCATTTTCTTCGTCTTCCTTGTCATCGTTTTAAAGATGTTTAATGTACTGTGAAAATGTGTGAATGATCTAGGAAAGTTATCCGTCTATTGAAACCTTCTTTGAGATTTTCAAAGCAAGATGAGACACACAAATAAATATTGCAGTCATTGCTGCTATAAAGAAACTGCCAGAATTTAAGTTTAGGTTTCTGCACACGTCACAAACTTGTTTCTGAATGGCGAATGCACAAGCCATTTGTCCGCAATCGCATTATATGTCATATTTCTGGAAGATTTCCGCTTGTTCACCTCCCTACAATATCTTTGTCATTGTCATATCAGTCACTTAGTTTTAGTTCCTTACATACTAAAATTACTGAGTAAACACTTGCTCTCCTAAACTTAGATCAATATCACATCTTTGTGGGTCTCATGAATTTTGCTTGTTCTAGCCCCCTTGCATCGGAATTTACCACAGTTACAAAACCATTGTCGTTTTATTCTTGCGTTCGCTGTACTAGAGTTTTACTCAATAGATTTGTGCATTGCTATGGTCGCACATAAATATTTTTAGCAGCATTAACAACAAACGTTAAGCCATCGTTTGTGTATCCTTTAGCCTTCAGTTAAGAAGAGCGTTTTATTGCACACTAATTTCCTTAAGTCTCATCAGTATCATCCTCAGTGTTTGTCATGGATACTTGCGAAAAGTGCCTTCCAACCACCTCGTCAATCGTCCATTGTCTTTCGCTAGCTGGTCAACGTTGACCTCAGCAGTTCTTGCAGCTGACGTTCTACCAAAGTGTGGTTTACATAGCAAAGTATAGTTCAGTAATACTTACAGATTGAAGGTAAAAGGGTATCGGGCAGTGTATTTAAAAATCCTACCTGGGGTATGGAAATATTACAATGAAATTAAAAAACATAGCTTGAAATAACGGCAGATAGAGCGCAATTCCTTCTCATTCACACAATATCTGCTAAAACATGAATATCTTGTCCGACCCTTGACTTGAATACATAATATTACCTTTTCTTGGTTGATCTCTGCCAGAAAAATACTCTTCTCCTTATATTCTTGTTCCTTGGTAGGATCATGCCAATACTCAGCTTGCACAAGGCTGGATAAAATAGCAGTCAAATCTTAATCTAAACACAACAATTATGATACATAGAATAGGTATGGGATATTTCTGAGATACTGCTTTGTTTGCTAACAATAACGGGAAGTGCGATATTACAGTCCTTGAAGGGGAAATTTCACCTGGAGCTACTAAAGGTTTTTCAAGGGTATTCGCCTTGAAGGGTATTATGCTCAATGAGGCACTACGCTTCTGCAAAGATTGTGCTCATGTCTACTGTTATGACATTAATAAATATTATAGCATTGTGTAATTAGAAAAGTAAACCATACACTGTCTCGATCGCGAAGATATTTTTTGGGTATAATCAGCGTCTTCGTGTTTCAAAAAATCTGGCAAAACATCTTAGAGAACAGTGAGTGGCGAAGATATTTTGATTCTAAAAAAATACTTTGATTTTCATACCACCATGATCAAGGAATAACTTTAATACTTACTGCTCCTGAACCCAACTAAAAGAAAATGAAATAGATTAAAGACTCATTAAAATGTCGAAAATGAATATAAATGTGCAATCTCGTAAACCCAATCATGCTTACTCAGAGGTTGAATATATTACGGATCGAAGGGGTGGAGTAGGGGGTGGGGTAGGGGGTGGGTAGTGGGGTGGGTGGGGCTAAACGCTATAAGCAGGCCTAGAACTAGAATAGAAATGGTTGAGTTGGTATTGTTAAGAGCTTTTTCGAATTACGAGAGGACTGAAAGGCTCTATCAACGCCCCCCCCCCCCGCTTCCACGGATCCTGACAGCTCATTTCGATTTGACACTCAATATTTCATTTAAATATCTAATCCTAATTACAATTTCACGCAAATTGAGGCTTATTTCATATACACAACTGTTTTTTGTTTAAATTAATATATGGCTATATATGCTCACGTACGTCAAATTGACATTATTACCAAAACACAATTATATATTTGGTTAGCACAATTCAGATAATGATCAATGTATCCGCAAATGTTTTCGATTTAATGGAATCAATTATTATGATCAGTAGACAGTATAGGCTAAAAGCAAGCTGGAGATCTAAGAACAAGAACAAAGACACACCCGATGTAGGCTCCGTAATCTAGCAACTTTCTCACGTAATCGCAAAGACTGGAGTTCTCTCCAGGGCAGTGCGGGAACCCAAAAACACCTTCAAAACAAAAAGATAAAATTTCGCAACAAGAATTTCCCTTTAACTAAGTTACATATACAATGCAAAAATAGCTAATAACATTTTTGAAGCCAAATATTCTTATCCTGCAACATGTCAAGATCATCGTCTGCGCAAAGCTTCTTTTCAACCACTGCAATGGCAGTATCAGAAACCATTTTTATTAAGAATTTGCAGAGATTCCTAATATTATTGAAAGATAGAAAATAGGGAGAATTCTACAAGCGATCTCACTAGGGTCGAAATAACGACAAAAACAGTTAAGTTAATTCAGTCTAGGAACGTTACATGGTGTTTAACGCCATAGTTACTTTGACAAATTTATAGACAATATTGAATAAATTGGGGGAAATCAAACAACAAGTATCTGGACAGAATTTTAATATATTTGTTTAATATAATTTCAAAGTCCTTGCTATTTTTAGGCACGTTCTTGTGATGAAATCCGCGTATTGGGGTGATAAAATGTGAGCAAGAAGTGATTATTTAGGCAATTTGTGCTTTTCTTTTTCAAGTCGAATTTAAAAAATATAAAATTTCAAAGCTTAAAGTTAAATTAATTCAAATCAACTAATAGTATGATCATATCACGATAGATCTTATAATGATCTTTCGTCGGGGTGTAATGATCTTTGGCTAACATGTGACCCTTTTGAGTCATTTTCTTGAGATATTCGTGTAGGTAGCAAGGTAAACAAAAATCCTGTAAAATTAAGCATGGAGGTGGACTTTCAGGCTAGTGTTTGACAGTGAGTTAGCAAGACTAACAGCATTGTGCAAAGGCTGCTGATTGACAACCACAGACCACTTAAAGTTTTCTTCTATTTGCTGATAGGTATGAACGGAAAAACAACAATATAGACAGATGCTTATGGTAATTTTAATTGAAAAAACAGAAAATCGTTGCTTCTGATACTCAGTGCTTCCAAAACAAGCATTAGAGTGTTTAGTTCAATCAACAGGTTCTATGAAATTCGATCAACGTCAGCACTGATGCGCAGAAAATCGAAACGAATGCAGTGTCACTAGCTAGGTTAGTGTTCAAAAATTTGGGTTTTGCTAAGCACCACTGAAAATGTTCTGCTACTAAAAATTTTCTGGAAAATTCATCGAAAAAGTACTGTATAAAACTTAAAGGGTTGTACCTTGATGTTGGCCACCAAACGTCACTAAATTGATCATTGGAGGTGATGGACATCTCTGTGCAACTGCACGTCTGAGACAAAGGAAAGTAAGAGAAAATGACTGAGCAAGGATGATAAAGATATGTTAGATGGACAAACAGAATATGTGATACATGTGACTTGAATATAAACAAAGGTAGTATCACAAAGACATGGTTAAGGATTAACTTCCCATTATTTCTGTCATAATTGAATTCAAAGTAAACATAGAGCTATAAGTTTTTCTTGGTTTAAACAATCATTTTGTATTGAAAATAGGTGTTGCATGGGTGTGAGCAGAAGATCTTTGATAGACTGATGGGGGCACAGTAAGTCTTAACCTTTCATCTGCAGTTTAGTCTATCTGCACAAATACAATTCTACAGGGCATTTGAATGTCAGGGTACCCTCACAAATTGGGTTGATTACCAAACCATGCATAAACTGATGATTTCAAGTTTTCAAGTACAAAAAAGAAGAATACAAACTTTCTGTTACTTAAAGTAATTTTAACATTTATAAGTATGGTGGATATTAAAGTTGAAAAAAGTTTTGACATCTAAAATGTGATATTCTTTAATAATGCTTACAAAAACTGGCCTCCCTGTGAAAATCCAAGTGCATTGTAACCGTTCTTTAATTTTGGATCAGAGGCAATCTTTTTGCACACCATGTCAACTTGGGTATTGGCATTCAACAAAAATCCATTCTCAACATCCTGAGAAAAAAACAAATATCAATTATTGGCTTGCAAACTTATAACTTTTAAATATATCAATTTAGGGTCAATCAGTACAAAAGTCAACAGTTTGGCAGGGTTTAAAAACTCAATTTTTTTAAATCCATTCTCGATGTCATCTGGTGTAAAAAATTCATCACCTGGTGTGAAACAATTTTCTTTAAGTTTGGCTCATTTATTGATATCTTTAAGATAGAAAACAGAAAACATGCAATATAAAGCGAAGGGGTAAATCCTATTGTTTTGTCTGAAAATCCCCAGAAATCCTTTTCTTTTCACCAAAATCTCGTACGCTATTTGCAATAGTGAATTGCCCTTCGTATAAAGCCCTTTTAAATAATCATGCCATGTGCTAAACTTGTTCCAAAAATGGCTTGATGTTGCTTTGGTGGTTATCTATGCATTATTAACTTTAGCAATCTGTGGGTTTCAATGTTTGAACTAGATAAACATGCAAGTATCTATCATCAGAGTTCAAGTTTTATTTCATTCTCTAGATTGGTAACTGATTTGCCAAGGCAAGAAACATGTTTATACATATAGAATAACAAAAGAGACAAATATGATTGAAACTGGATCACAACCTGCATTAGATTGTCGCCAATCATTAAAGATCTCACATAGACCCCATTTCCAACCTTCTTCTCTAGCATAGACTTGATTGATCCCATGCTCAAGGGGTTGCAACAAGAATCACCTTTGAAACATAAAAACTTTGTCAATGTCTGTAGACTATAACATATATATTCAAAATAATATATATCTATAGAGAAATTATCTTAATGTATTATAGTATCTTAGTGCTATGCAGGGAGGGCAACTGTCCAAAGCTGAGAGGGGTCCTGAAGTTACAACAAAGTTTCTAATAATAACAGCAACTATAACTAGAAATAGCTCTTACTAGTACTGCCTGCAAACAATTAGTTCCTTGATAATGATTGTTTTGAAAATTTAGGTCAGGGCATTCGAAGAAGACACCATCTTGGCTTTTCGCAATTTTATAAAAACAGCTGCTCTAGTTGATGCTAAACTATTCTTTTTATCAAGAATTTTTGGTGTTCAGTTTGCTTTTGATTTAAGTCCAACACTCTTTTGAAAATCATGAAGTTTTTCGAGGGTTTGACATGAATTTTTCGTTTTCGTGAAGTAAACAAAGACGTATGAAAATGGACACGTGATAGAACAGGTACAGCTAAAATCCATTGCGATAAAGGATTCGTACAGAGGTCTCGAGTTTTTGGGAGAAAGGTGTGGCATTCAACTGGTTTTGATTCCCAAAACTTCGAATCGAAACTTCCAACCATTGTGTAAAACCGAGCTGTGATGCAGCACCCTGTTTTCTGTGCCAAAAATACTGAAGGCCTTTAGCAGAGCAGATGCTTCAAGGTGGCACGAGAGAAGGGGGGCAGGCAGGGAGATCTGCGCATCTCGAAATAATTGCCTAGTACGCCAACTTCACTATGCGCTGTAATGCAAGTGCTACAACGCACGCCGTTTCCGGGCAACATCATCTAATTTCAATGATATATCACAGGTCGAGTCGCCTGCAAGGAGAGGCACTCGAGCGTCGATCAAGCATCTCTCTATCTACACGGCACTCTAGAAAAAGCTCTATAGGCTTGATTGATCAAGCAATATGCTAAGTGCGTATATGATTCGAAAAATTAAAAGCAAAAAACATCAAATTTTGTTATTCGACATGAAGGTCACTTGAATCGACCTGAAGGTTGAAGAAGCTCTGTGTGTTGAAGCAACTGGTCTTTTTGGCATCACCTCACAAGGCCTGGGGCCCAAAACGTTTCCTATAACACTTTACCATATACTCATACGCAATTAGGCCCCAAGTCATATAGCAACAGAAGCTCTCCAGGCCTGTTTGAGATCTAATCACAATCCAATCAAATATTCACTATTGGTTGCATTTAACACTGGTGATTGGACTATAACTACACATAAGCATTTAACTTGCACACCCATGTTTTGCTGAGATCTTTATCGCTCAACAAGTTCCAAAATTGAATACAGCTGACATGAGCAAATTGGGTAGGCTTTCTTGAAGTTGGTGCTATATCAGCTGATGGCCAACTTGAAGATCTACTAGATTCGTGTATAGGACACTAATCATACAATGTGAGTACATTATTCAACATTGGTATCTGTACGCAAATCAATCACTCCATCTCATTGTTCAAGCAAGAAGCGGTGGGAACCTTATTAGAATGTGGGTACACAGTAACACAAAGTAGGCCCCCTGACTCAATAATTCCTGCTGTAATTCTTTAGCCTGATCTGACAAGACCATTTACATATCATTCATAAGGGTTTTGACCCATAGTATTCAAACTGTTGGACATACTTTAAGGTAAGCTTGCTTAGTCATTAAGCCTGTGAAACAATTGTTTTTACCTACTCTTATGCTGAATATTAATGTGGCCTAGTATTATACTTCTGATCGTATAAGTTGTTTTGTTATGTTCATCACAAACCCTAGTTTATCTTTTAAAAGATACTCTCTGTGTGATTCTTATGATTTGTATAGATTCAGTAACTAAATCATGTATAATGAGTCATCAAGTGTCGCCATTATATGTAGCCGTACAAGTCTTTTATTATATGAAGTTAATAGCACAAGCCTGTCAGACTTTTCTTAGCTATTTCCGGTTAATTTGAGCGTGTATCCAATATTATAAATCTTTTATAACTTTTGTTCCTTTAACATATGATTGGAAATAGGCTTCTTACGGGAGGGAATGAACTGCTATAAATATTTCATTATTTCTTCCAAAAACTTTAAAAGCGACAATCTTCTAATTAATAGTGAAACTATCTGTCACTTAGGAAATACCATTCAGCACACAGTATTGTCACCAAAACAATATAATTTATTCTCTTGCACGGGAATTTCCTTCCAAACTGTGTTTTAATAGATATTTAAATAACTTCTATGATGTTATCTTGAAAACTTTCATCTAGCTTGAATAATGGTGTACTGTATTTCCAAACTGTTATTTTGCTTTTTAACTCATGAATAAATTAGGCAGCCGGAATGTTGAAGCTGAAATTACCCGGTTACGTGACTATAAAAGGTTTTAGCCAAAAAGGTTGTCATTTGTCCACAAATCATAAAAAGCGCATAGGAATAAAAAGCAAATATGCATACCCATCCATGCAATAAAACGACTGGGAGACGGATATCAATTTGTACCGCGAGCATCTTGCAGAAAACAATTTTTCCGCAATCGAGCAAAGCGCAAAAAACCACCTTCTTCAGCATCGATTGCGGATGGTTATATATAGTATTAAAACGTTGATGGTTAAGGTAGTATGATATGGACTGACAGATTTCCTTATTGTATGTAGATGACCATTTTCTCATCTCGTGTTCACAGTGACCTCGATTATCAGCGGCCGGTGTCATATGCGTTTCGGTAACCTTATGCATTTCGGTCCGGGTACACAAACGCATGGCAATTTTGGTTATGCAAAAAGGTACCCAAGCACTTAAACAATAGGTAACCAAAACGAATGGTAGAATTAGCATGCATTTCGGTCCGGGTACGCAAACGCATGGCAATTTTGGTTATGCAAAAAGGTACCCAAGCACTTAAACAATAGGTAACCAAAACGAATGGTAGAATTTAGCATGCATTTCGGTCCGGGTACACAAACGCATGGCAATTTTGGTTATGCAAAAACGTACCCAAGAACTTAAAGAAGAGGTAACCAAAACGAACCATTTTCGAATTACACTTTTTAAGGGGGTTTCGTAAATTTGTTCAAATTTAAAGTTTGGCTGTAATTCTGCCTCAGCTTGTTCTAAATTATTTCTTCGAAATGGTTCTACATACAACCAAGGAAAGTTTGGCCTGTTTGACTAAAACGTATATACAAAGCTTGACCTCAAGTTATTTAATTTTTGTAAAAAAAGAAAAGAGGGTACAAAAGCAACTGAGTTTATGGGTACGGTTCTTGTGCTTTGGCTCTTATATTCTTTGCATTCCGGTTTGGTCCGTATTGTTCAGAATGTAAGGAGCAATCTAACTAATTTTTAACAAGGCGGTGCTAACTACAAGCGGTGCTCTGATTTCCTTTATATAGGAAACTCATTGTTCGGGAAGCACTGTGTTCCATTTGTAACGCACATTGTGTCCTAACATCACACCATGATAAATCAACATGATTTGTAACACATTGCGTTTCACAATGTTACACTTTTGCATAGGGTACCAAAACGCATATTACACCGGGAAAGGGCTGTTTTGGAAGTGATGAAAGGGGCTAGGTATTGAAACATAACTTTGAAAACATAACTTTATGGCATAATTGAAGTTTTTGAACAACAAAGTCCAAACTATTTTCAAAGGATATTTTCTTCAGAAAGTTTACAGTCACAAGAGGTCCTTGAAAAATAACAGCTTGTAGAGGAGCAATGCCATATTAGAGCAATCCAAGAAGATGCACAAAGAAATACGTTTACTGAGATTCTTTGGTTCATTTATCATTTCATTATGCAATTTGGAAACAACATGAAATATCTTTTATAATCCTCTCTAAGTATCTTTTATGTATCTTTTAAGTATCTTGCAAGGCAAATGCATTAAAATTTTTCACTTCCGAATCTATTCATCAGATAAGATACATTGGGATCGATTTTCTTCGTGGCAGTAAACAATGCAAGAACAAAATCCCTACATTTCTGTGTGTTTCCTTATAACTTTCAATAGTATGAAGTCTCTGTAATGAATACCAATTTAGCTACTATTAAAAAGCAATGGGTGGTCTCTGGTTTTTAGGCAACAATTCAGCACAACTGTTTTTAATACATTGTAACACAATTCCTTTTGAAAGTAACTCAATTATCAATGAAGAATATTTCTAAAAAAAAAACTTTATTTTGGACTACTTTTTTCATATTATAGAATAAGGTAACTCTTTAAAGCCATAGTTCCAAATGATCTTTGAAATGTTTCTCAAGGTTTATTTTTGCATTGAGCAATGAGTTTTTCTAAATTTTGCTCGTCTTTATACGATGAGAACAAGTCTCAAATTTTTATGATAGAGTGACTATTCTATATTTGAATCATGTCAATTACGTAGGCCGGATTAAGGTGAATTCTATTGGTGCGGCAGCATTAGGCCCATTCCTGAAATAGAGTTACTATTCCTGAAATAGGCCCAGATGGAAACAGACTATAATTTTCCTGAGACCGGATAGGCTCGATAATTGACCCTGTTGGTGCTGCAGTATCAGGTCCAATTTGCATTTAATTTGGCACTGATGATAGATATTTATAATTAAAATCAATTGAGACTATTGACTTTATCATTTCCAGTCACAGAAATCGAAGCAAACAAGACATTTTTGATAAGCGATTGACTTAACTAGATTAGAATTTCTCAGGACCAAATAGAAAAAAGTCAAAAATCTCAAAGTAAAGTTACAATCGATCTTGTTTTGTTATCATATCTTTTTCATGTATCAAATTATCCTTATACATCTTACGATTATCAAGCTGAAAATGCATTTACGGCAATCGTCTATACGAACTACAAGAAATTTAGGCAAGAATATATACAAGTAAAAGTATAAATAAGCCTATTTACAAAAAAGAGCAACAACCTTCTAGATTTAGCGTATTATCAAAGAAAAACACATAATTGACAAAGAAACAGTCACATGTCCAAAATGTGATCAACGATTGGACCATCGTCTGCTAAACCGTTAGGCCTGGTTTCTGGGGCAGTTGGTTGGCAGCTTGTACTTGCTTTAAGTTTTTACGCACCCTCCACCAAAGCAAACCAAACACAATAGTCGTGATGAAGAAGATGCCAACCAGAACACCTAGTGTAGCATAGTTTGCAATTTCCTCTAAAATTTGACGGACAGGAAAGTTATTAAGACTATTTATAGACAATATGATGCTTCATAAATATATATCCAGTGTGAAAATGACTGTTTAGGGCCAGTCATTGAGTGCTTGGTGCAGTATAGGCAGAGCTGTACACACTTTTGGTTTATATAACAGGACGTTTCTAAGCTGCCACTCCGAGTTTCACGATCAAATTGCAAACATCAAGCAACTGCTCATACCCACACTCAATGTGGATATTATTTGCATCTTCTGCTTCTATAGAAATCAATATAGTATCAAATCCAATTCATACTGCTCCATGTAACACAGGAGTTGCCTAAAAAGGCAGGCTCATTGTTCAACCCAATAAGCAAGCATGATACTAGCATAGAAGAGTGTTGAGGCAAATTTCCATTCAGTGCAATTTTGTTTTTACACGAAGGCAAGATGTTTAATATATCACTTGACCAAATGGGTGATCTGATCAATTACCTGCAGAAGGAGACTTGTCCTCTGGCTCTGGTTTTACCTTCTCTGGCTCAGCTGTGAACATAACAACATGGTTATGCATATCTAATTCAAAACATTTGGCCGTTAAATTTTTAGCCTGCGTGCAGACTTAACTCCATCCTGGCTTTCTTTCGCAACGGAAAGTAAAGTTTGCACGCAGGCTGATAATTTTAGAATAGGCTAATTAATTTAATCTTAGACATAATTTTTGACACGAAAAAGCATGGCAGGGTAGGAAATCTTAGTCTGAGATCAAGCTCTCGGGGCGGAGAGGCGCGGGCAGAGAAGTTGGAGGAAGGATAGCCTGAAGATATGCTATTCAAATCTGCTTGTTGAAAAGCTTTAATTTATTCGTAGTTTCCATAACGAATAATTATGCAAAACCTCGTTTGCACCCCGGAGCTCTCAATTCGCCACCCATCTCGCGCTATATCAACCACGCTGGCGAAAAGCACACAAATTATGTGATAAATTTACTTTCAATGGGTATTATTGTAAATCCGGCATACTTTCATGGCTTATTCTTCAGTTTAAAAAGATTTGAGCAATAAAAAGCGCCTTTTCACTTGCTATTGCTGTCTAAAGTGCTTGAGTGCTTCCAAGGTAACAAAATAAGGACTTGAACAAATTAGGACTTGATGCCCTGCTTCGAAAAATGTTTCATTCAAAAAGAGGGGCTTTGCCATCTAAGGGTGTTTCGAGGGCAAACTTTCAAACTTGTCAGAAAATAAAAGTTGACTAACCAACTTGTCGGCATATGAAGCACATAAACTAGCGACGGCTCTGTTTGCAAGTTTCCCTGTTTACGGTATGCAAAAATGTCATTGCGCCCTCAATTCAGCGCATGAATTTTACGTCCCTGGTACAGCCATGAATTTGGTAAATTCATGATTTATGGGGTGTTATTCATAAACTTGACACCTGGTTTCAGCTCATTCCGCTATATTGCCTTAAACCCATGACCAAGATAAAATAACGGTTCTAATATTTTATCTTGCCATAACACATAAAGCTTAATAAATGAATATCGTTGAATATGTGACAGGCTATAGTGCGATTGCGGACTTTGCGCACATTGTAGCAATGCTCGAGTAAAGATAAGTGACAAATTACAAAGTACATAGCTGATTTCTAAAAGTTTCTGCTAAAACTATAATTTATTATTTCACTTACAAGTTGGTTCTGGCTCAGGTGTGCTTGTTTCTGCCTTTGGTTCAGTTGTCGGTTCAGGAGTAGACGTTGCCAATGTCCCTATAGTTTGATAATATCATTATTTATATAAGTGCCTGATTTTACAAGAATAGTCGATACATAACAGTACTAAAATACAGAAAATTCTCCCTAAAAACCATAAAAGCATTCAGGATATTTTCCAAAATTAAATTTTGATGTGTTACAATACTATTTATTAGACAGATGTCTTTACAAAGGAACTGTAAAAGACACGCTTTAAATCAACAAAATATGCTAAAGCTAATCAAGCGGATTCACGGTTGCAAACACGTGACTGTCAATGGTCGATCCTGATTTGTTCCTTCAGGCAGATGGCTATTGAGTACTCACGGCCCTTCAGATCTTGCTTGCTAGGTCATCAAATTTTGCATTGAAAAATCATGAATTATTCAAAAATGAAATCTTTTGCAAATAAGTACAAAATCTGTTTCTTGACATTATTGAGAATTCAGATATCAGCTCATAATTCGGCAGAACGAGCCCTTGAATAAATCAGACATGCTTAGTCAATCGTCCTTTGCCATAGTTCCAAACCTTTTTTACGGCCATTGTGAGGGTAAACCTCTTGTTCCAACAATGAGTCCATAGAAGAATAGTTAAAATCATCAAGTCCTTGCGCATTGGAAACTCTTTCGATGAATTTTTCGCACGAGTTAAAATAAACTGATTTAATTTTCGAAGTTCTATCTTGATACAGCTATGTTTTCAGCATCTGTTTGGCTACAGTGGACTGAGGTTTAGAACCAAGATGGAAGTTCAGTTACAAAGCTTAATTCAGGCCAGTCCACCCTCTTCGATTGACAACTGGTATTAGGAAACATGCTTTTACGTGAATTCTATGAAATTTACTCAAACTATGGACGATGTGTTGACGGGACCAATCTTCCAAAGCGGAGGCATACATTTTATTTCTAAAGGAGTTGTAGATCTACTAACACAGTCAACTTTCTCTCTAAATGAGGTAACCCGTAAAAAGCACGTCGAGGCTCTACTGTATTGACTATCCCAGGGGAATAGTTCTGTCATCTCACCCAATCCCTTCCTTCAGTCAAACATGCCTGCTTAATTCAGGGGGTATTGCTGTGAGGACAACAAGGGAAACCCTCCCGAAAAAGGTATTCAAAAATGATATGAACAAATAGAAAAGGACTACATTTTGGCAATTACATTGGAAGGTCGGTCCCCCTAAGCCTCCTAATTTCGCCAAATCTGGCTAGTTGAGAGTAGAAACATTTCTGGGTGAGTAGTGCTTTGAGCAAGGTGGTAGTCATAGCAGGTCATTTTGGTTCTGCATGTCCTGTGCACTTTGTTTTGGTTGCAACGTTCAATTGCTGCTTATATTATAAAGAGAAATCAAAGGCACATTCTGCTAACATAGCATTAACTAATTCGGTTATCTGGCATAAAGCATTTTCTAGAACTCCTATTTTTTCAATATAGAATTTGCAAGGTTCTAAAAATTTCCGGCTGTTGAATGAGTTTTCAAAAAATTAGCCCTCGTGTTTATGTGATGTTAGCGCAAAATTGGGCTGCTATGACCATTATTTGAAATAGATCTTTCAAGAGTACAACTCACTATTCAATTTTGATCGAAAATCAGTTTGTTACAGAAAGGCAGCAGCTGATCCGAGCTGATCTGCTAGAAGATTTTGCATCGTTGAAAGACATTTTGAAAAGGCTCTCCAACGCTGAGAAGCAGATGATCATAACCTCAAATGTTAATACTGCTAGCTTCTAATATACAAAACCTTTTTAATCGAAAATGGAATCAAGTTAGTCAGTAGGATACTAAGCCAAGAATCTTAATATTGCTTAGTTAGTATTGCTCTTAAGGATCTCTTCACGTCATTTAATCACGGCAAGGTATTTCTGAAATTATCCTAATTACAAACTTTCTTAATCGATTTTTAAATCAATTTGCTTTCTATGTAGTACGGATGATAAAGGGTACTTCGCGAACCCTTCTGAAGCAAACCTTTCTGTTAACCTTTTCGTACAAAACCTTTTGTAAACATCTTTGGTTAAACGTGATCAAAAACGCTAAATTTTTCTGAACTTCAATTTATTCTCGTGATTCTCTTCCCTCGTTGCCAGCCTCTGCATTTCATTTTTCCAGAATATTGTATTTACTACACTAATGTTTTCTTTTACAGTTCTGTACACACCTTTACTTTTATGCCAGTTGTCGAGCGAATGCATAGATTTGCTAGCAAAACAGATTCTTTTTTAGTCAGATAAAAGCATGCTGTACCGGTTTACGTCAACTGTTTCCCCTCTCCCCCTTTTTATTTACTTATATAAAAGACTACCAAACATGCATTCCACTCTATAAAACAACTTGCAGCCATGTTTCAAAATTAAGCCAAGACGTGATATATATCATGGTGCCGTTTTATTGACCAAGATAGGATCCTTGAGAACTTTGGATATTTCGCGAAAACAAATTGTGATTAGCATTGATATAGTAACTGCAAGTCAAGTTTTTTTCAAGGCAGTGCTTAGTCATATCAGAAAGTTGAGCCAATACATTCTTCATGTATAAAAACAGTTCTGTAAGAACCAAACTGCAGTGTTGGTCAGGGTCTTCAGAGAGTTAAGAGAAAGCTGAGGAAGGCTGTAAGAATTGAAGAATGTAACAGCATTGCGCTTTAGAATTCAACTTTCATGATAGGGCAGATCTTTTCTTATATCATTAACACAGTAACTGCATTATATCATAGACATTTGAAAAAGCTTTTTATACAATTGACGCTTTTCTGCTGCAAAGTCATGTCTTTAACTTTTTAAAACTTACCCAAAACAATTTAACAAAAAGAGTTGGGTTCACGTAAAGATCACCTAAAAATATACACAGTCATTAACAAAGTAAATAACTTATATATTTTTTACAATAATCTGCAAAACAAATTGGCTAACCTTGAGCCAAGTAAATGGCCAGGAAAGACAAAAAAATCAGCTTTGTTGATAGTCCCATGTTTACTGTTTTGATAAGCCGTATGCAGATTGTACCTCGCCTTCGCTTGTTGATGGTCCCGGACTGCAACTGTCTTTGAAATCGCTGCCCTCTTGTAGTCTAAAAGCACATCCGGGTCACCGTGATTCAGCAATTAGAACAATATGTAAGAACAATGCCTTCGAAGTCACATTGTCCGAGTACACATTAAAAATTAAATAGTCCCTATGTCAAGATGAGTCTGCGAAAAATTCAATGCCCTGCTCAATGGTGGCATTAAAGACACACAGAGTCAAAGGAGAATCAACTTGGATGTTGTTGATATCAACTCATTAATGAATAACAAATATAATCTATCAGGTGGCCAGTTACATTGCAGAAATTCTTGAAAAAATTATTTTTTATTGGTTTGAGGGCGTGGACCGAGCTTTGCATTTTCATAGACGATAAATTAGCTCATATGAGCGTACGTATTTAAACGGTTCTAGCCTTCCCTTGATATTTCTTAGTGAATTTAAGATTTAATTACGCTGTTTACTTCTCATTTAAGGATTTAATTACAATGCACCTTCCCGTCAATGAGAAAGCTTTGATCCCATATAAACATAGTATAACATTACTGTCGTTTGTATCAAAGATTTCTTATTAAGCTGCTAACGATTCTACAATCTACGCTGATATACCTGGCTGCCTTTCACCGTCAATCGTAACAGGAAAAACCTTAGCCTTGATCTTCTCTTGAAGACTGAAATAGAGCTAACTGTTGGTTTCCAATCCAATCTTGATGCAACACAACACAACACAATACAACACAACACAATACAACACAACACAACACAACACAACACAACACAACACAACACAACACAACACAACACAACACAACACAACACAACACAACACAACACAACGTCTTTTTAATTAGTATACTCATAAGCCCTCGTTTTAATTATTATGACCAATTGGTTGGATTTTGAATTGATACAATTTCTCTCGTAAATAGCTTTGAAAAAAGCAAACATTTAGTAAACTAAAGTTTTTCGTCTGACACTCTTCAGAGTTTAAAACGTCAGAACATAGATCGAAAACTCTACGCTAAGAAATATATATACCCAGTTGTGGATCGAAATAGGCCAATCAGAAACATGAGCACATGACTGTAAAGGTTGACCAATCAGTGCCGCTTGCTTATTAGAATGTTACCAATGGAGTCCTAAGGTGAAAACGAACTCCTTTTGTCTACACAGTAGCGGTTTTTTCGTGCTTATGTAGATAGATTCTAAAACTGCTAGGTGGAACGACGATCGGGCTTTACCAATAATCCGAAACATGTCACCATTATAGTTTTTTGCACAATCTGGGTTTTCTAGCAAATGCTGCCCGATAGCAGAATCGCAGGTCTTATTAGTAATTTTGGATTTGCAAGACCGAGGTGGCTGTTCTCTTTGGGGATGTGTTTTGTTTCTAATATTAGATGGAACGTGTTGTTTTATCCTATCCTCCAATCTTTGGGTGGTGCGTCCTACGTAGCCAGAATCACACTGGCACGTGAATTCATACACAACAGAACTTTTTTTTTGTGGCAGGAACGCAGTCCTTTTGAATGGACGGAAGGGCCTTTTTTGTACTGTAAACAACACGTGGGTTAACCGCGAAGAAACAATTTGTTATGGCCTGTTTTATTTGGCTTTCAAAACGCAGGGAGCTGTTACCGATCCAGGGTAGTTTTAGATAGACCGGGCACTTTTGAGGACCAAATTTTACGTCAGCCGAGAAATTTCCTATCTTCTCCTTAATGTAAACTGAAATAACATGTTCTGGATAGCCGTTCTCCAGAAAAATCTTAGTTAGTTTTTCAAGTTCCGAGTCGAGTTTAGACTTGGAACAAATCATCAGTGCCCTATGTGTGAGCGTTTTGATATGTGAGCGTTAATTTCTCTCGTGTTAAAAAACAGCGTGTTAAAAAATGCCATGGAAGTGTGTTATTTAGTAGATTCTAGAAAGCATTGACAGTTTGCACTTTTTTCAAACTTGTTTCAGCACTGACCCCTCAATTTTTTGCAAAAATTATAGCAAGGGAGGCTGCACTCCCCCCTGAGCCCCCACCACTGCATCCCTGATTATTACGGAGTGGTGCCGTTCTGAAAGAGACTGACTTTCTTACAACCCTCTACCTAAATTTGGCAAAATCCTCTGTTTTGTTAATAAATCACTGACAATCAAAAGTCTACAGGGGTTTCAAGTATTTAGAAGGTATTTAATCAGCATTTTTCATTTTGCAGTCATTGGTGATAAAATTCGCGCCATTTTTAATCAAAAAGAGCTTGTTTTATCTTCTGTAAAAGTACATTTTCGATAAGAATTCTACGTGATTTTGAGCAAACATGCGAAAATTTTCTGGTGACATTGGGAAGTTAACCTTTTTATTAGTCTTGCAATAAAGTTAAGAAATCAACAGTTTGGTATAAAATTTTGTCTTCATTACTAAAATCTTGAAGAATTCAGCGTTAGCTGCAATCCATTCAAAATTTCCGGAATCGCTGCCGAATCCGCTTCCTCTGATTCACTTATGGATTTACTCTCGGATTCGCTAAATTAGCATGCATCTCCCCCCGAATTCCTTGACGAATCCGCTTTCAGATTTTTTGGCGACTACATGCATTCCGCTTACGCTTACGTAGGGCAACATGCATTCTACTGTCATTGGTTGGCAAATCCACTGATGAATCCGCTTGCAGATTCAATCAATCCCGCCACTATTGCGAGATACTTCTTTGTGTTCATTGATAAAAACTGACATACCTTCGTAGTAGTTTTAAACTACCCTATAAGATACGCATTTGGCTCTTAATGGATATCTTCTTTTCAAATTTTTGCAGAGCCAAAAGATCACGTTAAAAATGAATAACCAGCAAAATGCGAAAAGGAAGCAAGAAAACGAGATCGGACTCGTGTTTTCAAAAGCGCTGGCATGGCTACTCAATTTATAACCGTCATGAAAAGGTAATAGAAACTAATTTCATAATTTGATTAATAATACCATGGTAAGAAATATCCTATTTGCTGGGATTAATAGTTACAATGAATCACGCAAGGATTGTTCATTTTGTAATTCAATTGAATGGAGTATCGGTTGATGTTGTGTTAGAAAACCTGGGGTATGCGCCAGAATAGAATCAAAATTTGCTCAAGAACCCAGAGTGTGCCAAATATTCTATAATTGGGCAGGCACAGCCGCCTTATTATTCAGGTGTTTTGGAATCTGTTTACACAAAAAATACAAAGGATCCCGGCTTGTGTAGACGGAAAGGGTTCGTTTTCTTATTTGTCCTCTTCAACTACAGCAAAAACCCGCGTATAAGAACCTGGATTTAACCTGTTAGGCTTAAAATTTCAAATTTAGGCCCCCTCCACATAAGAAATTTTTCAGGCTTCAGTTTCAAGTTAGGTTCTGCTGTAAAATTACCAGTGGAGCTGCTGTAAAGGTTATCGTTATCTACTTCTATCTATTATTCAATTGGCAAAAAGATTTTTCTTTGAAGCCAAAGTACAATGCTGTGTCTATTGATTCCGTCATCCCAATAATTTCTCTTAATATTATACATTTGTAAGCTACAAAATTCTAATCTTCACGTCAGTTTTCCACGTAAAAACCTTTTCTTTTGAATGAAATTTCAGATATGTTTTGCTATGAGTTTGTTTGAGCATAAATTTGTTACATGAATATAAGAACACATTTTAAGAACCTCTGTAGCCTAAATTCACAGTAAGTACCATTAATATAAGAACCTGTTAAGGCTAATTGAAAATAAAACAGGTTCTTCTACGCGGGTCTTTACTGTAGGTGAAAAACAAGTAAACATTCAAACGCATTATTCTTCCTCTCACGTTATTTTCTGAATATAAATTCTGAACTATAAATGTCCGATGTCTGCTTACACCTAGACTTGATCCGACGTTGATACTCTGTGAGTGTTGGACGAAAAGAACTTTATGATAGGTTTCTGCTTTCCAGTGATATCTTCAAAGCAGAGTTTGGTGTAGTGGTGATATCCTTAAAATGTCTTTGTTGAATTTTTCTGTTAATACCATATATTATAAAATACGATCATTAGATAGGCCTATATATGAAAAAACAAAATCCATTCAAAATTGCCAACTGAGTACACGATTTGAGATCAAAACACAAATTTAGTCTTGGTTCTAAAACATATAGACCAAACCAAAACACCAGCAACACTTAAATAACCTCCGGCGAGATCAAGAATCTTTAAGAATGAGTGCAAGAAAACAAAATTTATTAAATATTACGAAAATTTAATTCATGGAAGGCTACGGAGAACAGTGATATTTAACTACGATTTCTAGATTCGAGCAATGAGTTTGTATCTGCTGTTGTTCTATAAATAACGCATCTTTGATCATTGACTGGAATCGCAAAGGAACTGTTCTCACATGAAGTCATCTTCAAGATCGGCATTGTCCTGGAAGAGGCAAGATAGCTAGTTATTCAGTACCTGGCAATAATGTCAATAGTGACAATAATGCCTATAGTGACAATAATGTCAATAGTGACAATAATGTCAAAAATTATAATAATGTCCAAAATGACAATGAAGTCTATAGTGACAATAATGTCAAAAATGATAATTATGTCCACAATAGTGTCAATAGTTACAATAATGTCTTTAGTGGCAATAATGTTAATAGTGATAATAATGCCAATAGTGATAATAATGCCAATAGTGATAATAATGCCAATAGTGATAATAATGCCAATAGTGATAATAATGCCAATAGTGATAATAATGCCAATAGTGATAATAATGCCAATAGTGATAATAATGCCAATAGTGATAATAATGACAATAGTGATAATAATGCCAATAGTGATAATAATGCCAATAGTGATAATAATGCCAATAGTGATAATAATGCCAATAGTGATAATAATGCCAATAGTGATAATAATGCCAATAGTGATAATAATGCCAATAGTGATAATAATGCCAATAGTGATAATAATGCCAATAGTGATAATAATGCCAATAGTGATAATAATGCCAATAGTGATAATAATGTCAATAGTGACAATAATGTCTATAGCGACAATAATGTCTTTAGTAGCAATAACGTTTATAGTGCTAATAATGCCAATAGTGATAATAATGCTAATAGCGACAATAATATCAACAGTGACAATAGTGTCAATAGTTACAATAATGTTAATAGTGCTAATAATGCCAATAGTGATAATAATGCCAATAGCGACAATAATGTCTTTAGTGGCAATAATGTTTTTAGTGCTAATAATGCCCATAGTTACAGTAATGTCAATAGTTACAATAATGTAACTTTTGAAAAGTCAAAAGCGCACTTTGTAATCTCGTAAGCAAGCAGAATGTTGATCGGCACTATATTTTGACAGTCAAAAGTTGCCTATTGGAAAACAACACAATAGTCTAACCAATGGAAAATGTTATCAAAATTCGTCGAGATATAGTGCCTTTAAAGGCTGGTTTCCACTTGTGCGAAATGTTCAGCGAATTCATCAGCGATTAGAATGTATTTTTACCGGTATGCCAGATATGTGTAGCCAGTGAAAGGTTAGATGACTTAACTTGAAGCATACTCAATTAGGTTTTTAAAAAGTAGCGAGGCAGAGCCATATGCTCGAAAATATTCCTGAGATTTACTCGAGTAAACGAAGGCTTAAAGTAAAGTATCTACAAACTTTTTCCTTGGGTTTAGCCTACTCACAAAAATTGAAAACTTGAAAAAAGATTCCCTAGAATAAGCGAAAAAGCGCTAACAATAAATAGGAGAGTCTTTCTCATAGACTTCATCATGATTTTCTTATAGACTTATAAAATGACTCCTATCCCAATTTCACTAAACCACCTGACAAGTAAATATAAATTTGCAGCCTTAACGTTAAAACTTCGCTTGGCAGACGTGCTATAACAAAACATCTGCACTTTGAGAGTAATAACAACAAGCGCGATTATTCATCAAAAGCATGTCACTTAAAATATTTATCCTGACAGCGAACTAGGAGAAAATCAAGCAGTTGACATGGCTTTGGTAACAAATACGCCCAAGGTATATAATTAATATGCAAAAGGAGTAGGCTTTATCTTTGAGTTGAAAATCCCTCTGTAGCTGGGATTCTTGAAGAGCTGAATATGAAATGATCCGTAAGTCGGGAAAACAGCCCAGCAAGCTACTCATCCTTCCTCGAGCCTCCTAGCCTCAGCCTACGAGCCTCAGCCCTACGAGCCTCAGCCTCTTAGCCTCAGCCCTACGAGCCTCAGCCTCCTAGCCTCAGCCTCTTAGCCTCAGCCCTACGAGCCTCAGCCTCCTAGCCTCAGCCTACGAGCCTCAGCCCTACGAGCCTCAAGCCTACGAGCCTCAGCCCTACGAGCTTCAGCCTACGAGCCTCAGCCTACAAGCCTCAGGCCTACGAGCCTCAAGCCTCCTAGCCGAAACCTAAACCTGTGTCTTCCATAAACTTACACGTAACGTTAAATCAAATTGACTATGGTTAGGCAAGCCACCACCCTTGCACTCTACCATCTGCCTAAAATATGAATGAATCTATCGAGCACAGCAGATTTTTTTTGTGTCGTAGCACCAAGGCAAAATGCTAAGAAACAAAGTTTTGGGAAGTGTACCATAACAAAAAATCTAGCCCATTGTTTGAAAGATTTTGAGCTTTTAAAAAGGTTTTTTCGTCCATCACTTGTATGCAATTTACGCCTCTCAAGAGCATGTGCCAATCAAGGGGCAATTCAAGAACACCAAAAGTCACCTACACCCCTCTACACTGGATGCCATATTTGTCCCCAATCTGGATATAAACACGTCTAATTTCTGCAAACCCGGCAAGTCATATTTTGAAAAAAGATCCAAAGACAAACCTTATTTGATGTCATTTTGTCTTCAACCATCAGCCTATCGTAACTCCTTCAAGAACAGAATTAACATAGATACACAAAGAGACTGAAAGTTCAAAGACAAAAACAAATTTTACGACTCAATATATTTCAAGATCCCGCTCAAAGGATCGATGTAAATTTTCGATATTGAATATTAAGTCAGCTTTTCGGCATTTAACTTACAGACTCTCTAAGAAAAACGAAAGCAAGCAAAGTTTGTATTGTCTGCTATTGTACAATTGAGTTCCTTTACATTTTTATGAGATTAGCAGTCCAATAAAATTGGATAAAATCTAGCGTGTAAAATTTATGTAATTATTATGATTACCTGGCTTCTTCTTCCTCTTTCTTCTGTTTCTCTAATTCTTTTTCAGCAGTTTTCTAAAGAGTAATGAGAACATTTAAAAGGCACATTCTGGTCACAGGTGCCTGTGAAATCACACACTATCGCATATTATCGTTTTTATCGTCCTTAATCTTCGGACAAGTAACGGGCTAATTCTGTCGATATTATCTTCAAATATCCCATCTCTATGAGGAAAAAATCTTGCTCTAAAATTAAGGAGTAGATCAGTTAACTTTTGACAGATCCGGAAAACAGCAGTACACAAAGAATGTTAGTCAGAAAGAGCCCATCTTAAACTTAAAACAGTGACAGAATACGTAGGACAGCAGCAACAGAATACATATCACAGCAGTACAAAAAGAGGACAAAATGATCTATTTGATTTTGAGCATAAAACTATGGAACAAGATTGTCTCATTAGGCAAAAGACTGGTTACATTATGCACCAATGGGTTAATAAATGTGAATCTATTCAATTAACTTCATACGCAAGTGAGAGGTGAGAACATAAACAAAATTTCGAACCATTTTTTGCAGTTCTCGTTTTTGCTTCAACCTCTCTTTTCTATCACGCTCTTCCCTTAATTGTTGAAAATTAGGATCTTCCTCTACTTTTGTTTTGTTTAGTCTATTAATTATTTCATTTGATTTCTTTTCTACCATGATTCTTTTTACCTACAAAAGAAGAAGATTAAAAAATCAATGATGAGTAAATTTTAGAAATATTCTCTACAAACAATCAATTAGCGAAAAACGGGGATCAAAAGTTGATAGTTAAGGAAATTGACAGATAAGTAATCTATCAATCAAAATTGGCCAATTAACAAGCATAATACCAACTACACGTAAATTGATTGGTCAATAGTTGATTGACAGACGGTTGAAGCCACTTTAGTATCTGCTTATTGCCTTATTTCAATAAAACTTCTCTATTCCAGAACTGCTAAAGCTATTTAGAAAAAAATAGAGTTTGTATGCCATACAACCAATGAAAATGACAACAAGGTAAGCGGCACAATTTACTTACTTCAATTCAAACAAGTTCATGTTAGCCTGCGTGCAGACTCGGAAATTTAAAAGAGGATAGAAAGTAGAGTCTGCGCAACAGAGCCGCTTTTCTTGTTCGCTGACATCAACATTTTATTATAAACACTAGAACAACAATTCCATTAGCGTGCAATGTTTTTCTGTAATTTTAGTTGTTCAAAAGAACACACAGATCTATTCTATTATCCTGATACCATTCATTTATACCTCTGCTTGAAGGCGCCACTTTGAAAACTGAGAAAAAACAATTGAAATTCCCCCAACCAATCAAATTCGGTTCCTTGATTTTGAGGAACCTGTGAACAAGAAAATCTGCCCAGCTTCGCAGACTCTACTGTTTCTCCTATTTTCAATTTTGTCAACAGAGTCTGCACGCAGGCTAGTTCATGCAGGCCCGTTGCTAGCTACTACGCTCAAGCGGAGTCTCAAGTCTCATTTGCAGACAAAGTAGATGAGTCATCCTGTATTTGCTGACAAGTTTGAAATTTACTGACTAAGCACCACCTAGGTGGTAAAAAACTCCGGATTTTTGCAATGAAAACATTCTTCAAGTGGGTTGTCATGTCCCACACGAGACAGAGTTCATGATCATAAATTTTAGGGGAACTTTTGATAGTCTCTACAGAATATTCAAAGCATCACTATTGAAGAGTTGGTGACTAAGCTATCCATCTGCCTGCTTACTTACCAACTTATTTTTATGAAATCCAACTTGCCCAACATCCATATCACCAGTTTTCTTTAGATTTGACCAAGGTGTATATACAATAGCGACATCATTCATTTTGCACCCTGCAAAACAAATTTCATATTTTGATGATTAAAAATATTCAAATACCAAAATACAATGATATTCTTAGTAAATGGTTTAAGAAACCATGTTGAGAAAGGGAGAGGGTTACTCAACATTTTATCATACAGGAGATTGTTCAAACAAAATCATTTGACACCTAAAAATACCTTTTTAAAAAAACCCAAAACTACTACCACATTTTTGAGGCATGAAACATTGTTTTAAAGTGTAATATTAAGAGTGTACTATAATTTAATATGCATCAAATTCATTAATAAGCATGTGTAATATCTTTTGATAAATGACTCCATTGGCCCTAAATTATCCCAGCTGTTGAATTCTTATTGTATCAGTGCAGTTTTGAATTGTTAATAACAAAAAAATTATTATTTCAACATTAAGACACTAAAACTATTAAATCGAACTCTCTTGATGCAAGGTTCCCCAGCATCTATTAAATAGAACTCTCTTGATTCAATGTGCCAATAAATATGTTAGGAGATCTGAAGCAGGCATCATGGAGCGTTAAAAAAAGTGGGGGTCTAAAAAAATGGAGGGGGCAGAAACAAAACAAAAACAGGCTTCACTAAAGCCCCCCCCCAGCCCCCGGCTCTGTTGTGACTGTGAAGGCTTGGAAACAGGGTCTCTCAAAACATTCTCATAATAAATTGGTGCTCTTGGAAAGGCAATGCAAGCAGGCCATTATTGATTAAAAACATCACACAGGGAACAATCAACATAGCGAACATACAAAGTAAGAAAAAATCATTATGAATGAAAAACATTTACAAAATTTAACATAGGCAATGATTTGATACACCTGCATAATTTTTGTTATGATTCTGTAATCATGAGAGTCCGGGATGACAGCACATTTTTGCTAATGGCATTAAAACAAAGAGTACAATTGCAATATCAAAATATTTACCTTGAATGCTATTGGCTTTTGTTAATTGTGCACAGTCTGTAAGGACATCAGGTGGTATGTCATCAACTGTCATTCCCTGGGCAAAAAGCAATTCTTCAGACAAATTGTTAATTAATTTAAAAATGGTTTGGAAAAAGCAATCACTTAAACAAAATACTTCATTTCACTCTTCAAAATAAACTGTTTATGAATGGAAATCACCATTGTAATATAAAAGCTTGATGAAAGTAACTCTTACCTCTGGCATCCTTAGATAAATGTGAGCAGATGACAATTTATCCACATGAAACCTGAGGGAAATTATTAGTGTAAAGAGAAGCATTGAAGGATGAATGGCTGAAAATGATTGATTCAAACTGATTGATTTTTTGGTAAAGTACATTCAATATAATAACCTTTAACTTTGCAATATATCTTGCATTTTTAAAGAGAGATTCAGGGGAAGATTGAGCCTAAAAATTGATGGTGACTGAGCCACACCCTCAAAATGGAAAAAAATAGTTTGTCCCAAAGTATAGTGTTCCATTCCTCAAATCCTGAAAATTATCGTCTTGATGATTTTGTAAAGGACTGTTCACCTTTAGGCAACTGGTCTAGCTATCAAGGATCAATATATGATGCAAGCTGTTAAGTTTGCTTTATGCTTTCAACTTTTACATAATCAAATCATTTGGGAATGTCTTTTAAGACATTAAAAACAATCCCATAAAATAAATCCAAAATAGATCCCTTGATATTCTATATTTCTTGGTGCATCCTATTGATTACCTGCCATTTGGGCTGGGGGTACAGCACCATTTTGTACCCTTCAAAAGTAGTTTAAAAACTGCAGAAAGGTGCTGGCCCCATTAAGCAACAGTGTTTTGATAATAATCAACATTGTCAACAAATCGGCCCAAACATAAAATGTCATCTATAGGAGGCAAGAATAATGATCAATACAACAAACTAAAACATTTCAACATTTACTTAAAATAATTCACAACATAACATTAATAAGTTCAGATTAAACCAAAAGAGGACATAATAGCTTCAGTAAATTAAATCATACTGTTCCACGCTTTTCTTTTAAGCAAGAACCAAAATTATAGGAGATAATAGCTTCAGTAACTAGGAAAAGTTGAAAAAGGAACAAACCATACATCCTCTGGCCAACCCCATTTTATTAAATCTTCATCTGGAATACAAGTAGACATCAAAATAAAAACAATAAAATTTCCAGATAAATGATCAACTCCTTCTGCAAGCATATTACTACTGAGCTTGTATTCACAAGAATAATGCTAATAAAGCAATTCAATAACATCCACTCATCTAGACCAGTTGCCTATTCAACATGCTGAAATAGTTATTACACTTTAATCTCAGTATAACAGTTTTTCACTGTAAAATTTTCAGCATTTTCACTGTAAGTCAATAGTCACTGCAATTCAATAGTCACTGTAAGATTTTTATCATTTTCTTTTATTATTTAATAATCATTGTATGTATGTAAGCAGGTCCACTTCAACTAGTATTAGTCACCATCTGAAAAGATATGGGGCAAAAAGGATTAACCCTTGCCAGCAAAGGAGAGAATGCATCGCTAGTTCACCCATAATGCTAATAGTTTCCTCCAACTAAAATGATTCTTGATTAATTTTTGCATTATTGGCAAGTTTGGATGTCTTGCACTTTATTTCTGACAAGCTTAGACATACAATCCTTGACAAAAGTCCTTAGAACACCCTGTTATCAATGAAATATTTTGATCAAATTAAAGTTTCCAGCTGTAAGATACAGAAATACGCTTCTTCCCCAAAAGAATGCTGGTAAAAAAACCTATTTTTACCCAGCTGATGAAGTTACCTTTGGCTGAATTTCAAAATTTGAAACTTTTGTTATTCAACATTGTTTCAAGGAGGAGAGGGGTACTGAACTTATGCAAAACTTTAGCTTAGTGTACCAAGACTTGGAAAAGCATTGTAACTTGGAAGTGCACCTTTGATCAATTCAATCCTTTTTGGCCTTTACTGCTGCTATGAAAAGACAAATTCAGAAATATTGTAAAAAATCTGACTGTTTAATTTTTATTGTCAAAAAGTACTTCACATACTTTCATATTTGTCTCTTCCCACATAAATTGTTATTGGTGGACTTGTAACTAAAGAATACAAATCAAAACTTCAAAAATATCAACATAAGCATTGTAGTCATATAACAATTTTCTAAACATTTTAAATTTCTCATGGTTTCTTTAAAATCTCATGGTTCCTAAGGCATTGATTAATAGAACTATTTTCAATTGATAAGCAAACCATATGCTATAAAAAAGATTAAAATCCTTTTTAATGAAAAAAATATAAACAGTGAGATAAATGACAGCTTTGATCCATAGCCTTCGCTAGCAAATGGAATTTACCAAATAGTCTCCAATTAAGCAACCCTACATGGCAAAAACTCCTTGTGCTTAGAAAAATTTGCTTCCAAGGTTTGCATCCCCCCCCCCAAATGCTTCACCATTACGTTGACCCTGCTTCTCTGTTAAAGCTTTATGCGGTGTATAAGAAACTAAAAATCAAAAAACATGGCCCAGAGAATTGTTTCCTTTTCTTTTTTATATTTTATGCTTGTTGTTTTGGTTATTTTTGCCAGTTCTCTAGCATTCCTTTCATACTGATTAGCTCTCATGCTATTATTAAACCAACAAAACTAATTCAATGGCACAACCGAATTAAATATATTGCTCTGATCTGTTCCTGACTTTTGATATTAATTTGATGTAAATGCGACTAATTATCCTATGAACATTCGAGAAAAACATACTAATTTGCTACTGTACAAATTTTGTTGGAGGTTTTATTTATTGCCCGGTGCGGAGGCCCTGGCAGCTATCAAAGTATAAAGAAAAATTATCTAAAAACACGAACAATTATAACCTTACCATTACACGTGAAGTAAAAAACCATTTTGAATTGCTGGTGGATTGTATTTCTGTTTTCTAACGTTTCGAATAAGCAAGAATCATCTCCATGTCCGTTTTGCCTCGTTACAATATTTACAGCCTCCCCATTAAGCAGAGGTTTACTCGTGCTTGTCACTATGGAATTGTCATGGATACATAACAAAAGAACGTAAAACACTCACCCGAAAACACTTTCACCAACATTTGGAAGAAGAAGGAACGGGAATAACATGGCTTTGGCATCGAAGAAGGTCCCACCAAGATATGCTGTGTCAGACTGGCACACTTCAAACAAGATTTTGAGAACAAATGCAGAGCGACTTAGGAATGCTTCGCATGACGTGAGACAAGAGGCAAGAAGGCTTCGCAATGAAACTGATAACCACACAAGATGGACCCAACATGACAGTAACACAAAGCTTGAAAAGAGGATCGACGATATAAACGAGTGGAGAGAAGCTTTAGAGCGATGTCTTGATGATACACAAAGGGAGATTACTGCACTTCAAGCTGAGAAAGAGAAAACTGAAAGAGCTCTTGATGCTAAGAAACTGCCACTGAATGTGGCAATTGAATGTTTGATGCTCCGAGAAAACAGAGATGGAATCGATTTAGTGAGAGATGAGGTCGAAGAACAGCTCCACAAGGTATTTATATAAAAGTATATTAGTACAATATCTATCTATATTATTCACAGTGTCTAGTTCAGATGAATTACAATTCTTATTTGATTATTTCTAAATTTCAGGAAGTGGAAGTGATTGAGGGAATAAAAGCTTTGCTTCAGCAAAAGATAACAGAAGCTTTTGAACAGTTATGGTAAGACTGAGTTCACACATTCTGTTTCAATATAACAATTTGGGTTGTTGCTTTTCCCTGAAGACGTTTATTTCAGTTATCTAAAAGACCTGCAAATTTGATCAAATTCACCTGTGGCTGTTTGACCAATTATGATTTATAATGACCACATTTGGAAATAGGAGATTGAACTGTTTATTGAAATTGTGATAAACATATCTATTCTTGTTGCCTTAGAAAGCCTTGGATGGGTTTGAAACATCAAATTATTGCCCAAATATGTGTTTTTTCTGTACAACAAAGCATTGAATTTAAAGCAAAAGTAGAATTTCTAGCAATAAGTGCACTATTAAAAAAAATCATATCAGACTGCCAAATTCACATAATTTTCAGCAAAATAGTTATATACTTTCCACACACCATTGCTAATGTAACTTGAAATGTATCATGTCTTTTCTGTAAATAAAGGTTGTACCCACTTGAATTAAAATGGTTTATCAATCTTTACTTTGTTTCCAGCTTGCTTGAAGAAGCATACCATCAGATGCACTGTGATGTCACTGATAAACATGTTGCACTTGAGATTGATAATCATTGTGCAGGGCTGCACAATGGCTCAGCAGATATTGATTTTCAAGTGAACCCAACACGCATCATGAAGGGTGTTGTCACTCCTGAAACGTGGGATGCCCATTCACAGTACAACAAACTCAGGGCTGAGGCAGAAATGAAAGCAGCAGAGAGACTGAGAGAAGCTATATTTGCAACCCTGGAGAAAACAAAGAATGATTTGGAAGCCCAGAGAAGGGCCACTGAATACAGCTATAGGAAAAGAATGCATGAAACAAAGCAAGCCAAAAATGAACTTGAATGGCAGCAAAGAAACGTGAGTATATCAATAGGCCATTTCTAATATTGTTATTTGCTCTAGAATCTATTGCTGTCCTAATGCACCTTGATAATAGTATTGGTATTTGGCTAGACCTGTGTTTTGCTTTGTACCTTAGGAAATGAGATAGCAGAGCAAGAGTTTATTAAGATAACAGTGTAAAGCAAACACAACTTGTATCTGAACATAACATGAAGAAGCAATCGAGAACATTACAAATTCTAAAAGTAGATATATTGCTGTGCAAGCGTCAGGATCACAAGACCAGAGCTATGCACTAGGCATAATATAACAGAATAGTAAACAGCATGATTAGCGATAGGTATATAGCGGTGGTCATAATAGATAATAATGAGTTCTTAACAGAGTTGCTTGATTCAAAATACCAAATAGTCAACTGGGAAATTGTCAACAACTTATGTACTATATGCCAGGGAACACAAGAAATATAATACTACTTCAATTCCAAACAAGATTTGTGATACTTGTTCAAATGTTTGCTTCAATATTATCAATTAAAACTGTTTATTTTTATCTACTTAAATTTAGACCAAAGAAGAAATAGCTGTTTTGCTTGATGATATCAGGGGACTCAGGGAATCAATAGAAGCAAAGATGGCACCCATGAAGGTACGTTTAGTATAATCTAATCATTTCATTGAACACATATGATGTTTATGTAAGCATTGAAACTTATTCTGATCCAAGGTGTAACCTAGTCACTTGCGTTCAAGTTTCTGCAAACTGTTTCTCTTGATGAATCAAACTTTTTATTTCAGAATGAAAATGCAGTATCAGAAATTTCTTGTGCATGAACAAAAAGCCCTGTGCTTTGTAAACCAAACTTGTTTAATTTGTTTTGTTGACAAACATGTTTTTTTCATTGAAGGTAGCACAAACAAGACTTGAAAACCGAACTCGACGACCAAATGTTGAACTTTGTAGGGATATCCCACAGTATCAGCTTTGCTATGAAGTGGCAGAAATTGACGGGTCTATCAAGGCATTGGTTGAAAAACTCCAGACAGCAGAAAGTGCCCTGGAGAGTCTTGAGAGAGATCTGGCAAGGATTGAGGAAGATCTAGCTATTAAGACTAAATCATTAGCACTGGATAATAGATGTATGGATATAAGAAAGAACTTAACAGACCCTGACTTCATACCAGATCGAAGTGTTGAAGAGGTCACCCAAGCCCTTTCAAGGTTAAGCCCTGGAGCAGATAGAGCATCGCCATTAGGTGAAGTTATTGATAAAGACACAGTTGAATTTCGTAATGCAGTGGCCAGCCCTAAGTTGCAAGAAACATACAATTACTCTGACATTGGCAGAACAAAGATCATTTCTCCAAAACCTGGAAGCAAGCTCAGTGGTGGAGATTTGCTTGAGACAACATATAATGCTTCATATGAGATTGGAAGTAATAATTTGCGTTCTGGTGACCTGGCAAGAACACTTGGGAGGTCTGGCCAGCAAACTGTAAGAAGACAGAAGGAGCTTCTCATTGACTAGACAACAACTATTTTTTAAGGATACTACATTACCTTGTTTTAAATTTTTGTAAGCAAGTTACAGACTGTGTGGTATGTAAATATTAAAATTTCAGGATATTAAAAATTCAGTCAATGTTAAAATTGTCAAACTTTAATCTTTTATGAATTTTTCAGAGTCTATACTGCTAGAATGTAAAAATACAGTTGTATTGGGAGGATATCTTAGTTTTTTAAATCACAAAAAAGGACTAGATATGCACAAATTTGATTGATCCTTGAGCCATTTTGTGATATAGTAATGCTAGTTGGAAATGTTGCACCTTCATAATGAAGAACTACAGCACTTCTCACTCTGAAAGTATTTTCTTAATTTTTCATTGTCCACAGCATAATTGCACTATGGAGAAACTTGCAGTTTGAGGATTTAAGAATGAAAAAGAATGGTTGTCAAAACATTACAATAAATAAGCTATCTATAAATACAATACATCTAAAATCTAAATGTGCTCTAAATATGTACATGCTATTATACATCTTTAGGTTTCAATTTTACAATCTAAGAAAGCAATGCAGTAGCGGTACAACAAAATGTAGTTTTATATTTACTTATCTACAAAGCATTTACTAAAGAATTCTTCAATTAATCATGAAATATTTTTCAAAACAACCTTTAGAGATATTTGATGGGAAGTGACTTATAAAAAAGCCACATTTACAAACCAATTTCTTAAAATTGTTTAGGAGGTGAGCAAAGAAGACCTTCAAATATGTGAGGCAACCCTCCCTCTTAGAGCCAGATAACATCCCTATAGCTTTATTCCATGTACATCCTCCTTTACTCCAGGACAGAGTGTTGCCTCACTCATCAAAACACTATATCTTGCTTGTCTCCTCAACAATAAAAAGTGTTGCTTTTTCTCTATTTTGAAAAAACATTTTTTCAAGCACCAGGTAATATAAATCTGAAATCCATTTGCAATGCTGTATTTCAATTCTGTTTAGCAAATCTGATGCTGTCTTTCAATTCCGCTTATCAAATATATGTTTGCCTGATGTGTCATTCATTGAGAATTTAATGGCCAGAACATGGTAAAACAGTTGATTGCCATAGAAGAGTTTTACATCTAAATACAAATAATCAAAGGTAAAGTTTTGCAAACACCATATCAACTTCTTACATTGTTAGTTCTGATTGGTTCTAGTTGTCTAACTTTTCTTCTTCTGATGCAAAACGCAAAAGATTCTCCAAAAAAGACACCCACAAAGATTCCAATTGCTAGAAGTAACGGAAGCTGTCATAAACAGTAACCAACAAATAGAACTACAAAATACATCTACTGACAAAAAAATCTATATCGAAAATCAAATTTTATAATAACATTGAGTGATTGGTAGAGAGTGTCACACTTAGTTTCTCCTCGAGCTATAGGCACGTAAACACCAAGAGTAAGGGCCTGTGAACTGCTTCTCAACTTCTAGCACTAGGCAGGACCAACAACAATTTCAACAATCTCAATAGCCAACCAAGACCACTCTGATGATTTTTAATATCATGATGCAAATATTTCATGAATTTATTAAAGTCAAAATTCTCTGTCTGTATAAATACAGCCAAAGGTCTTGAAAATGAAACATCTCTTACCTAATGCTACCCACCATTCCCAGTTTGTTGGAAATTCAACCATAACTACAAAAAGCAAAACAATACAGCATAAAAAATCCCTGCTTCGAAACATTTCGAAGAACTCTCAACTTTGTCCTATATAAATGCATTCAATTTAATCCTGCCATTAGGTCGTTCAACTGAGCAAAAAATGCTGATGTCATTGCTCTCCAAAATAAAATGCACTCCCAAAACCCACCAACAATAATACTTGACTTGTTGAGTCTCTTAAGTTTTCCTTGCTATTTGTTGACTAACTTTTTTCCCTGTAATTTGATATCACAAAAACAACAAACAGAATGATCAAAAGCAAAACTGATAAATCTTGGTGAAAGGATTAAGTTAAATAGAGTACTATTTCACAATTGCAACAAAAACAGGCCCTAGCCTATTCGGCATTACAGTCAAAATCGATTTATCAACTTAGTCTGTGCAAGAAAGAGGCTTTTCTTATCCTGCCCTGTGAAACATTTATCCCTTCCCTCATTTTTCAGTTACAGAGTTTTGTCACAAGGGTGGATGAGAGAAGTCTCTTTGTAACAAAGACAACGTTCTGGTATTTGATTTATTCTGTAATGAAAGCTAGTTAGCTGTGCCTTTCTATCACACATTGTTTATATAATAGGTAAATTTTTCTGTTTCTAAGCAAACTAGAAAAGAAATAGTTAATTACCTGCTGATGTCACCAATATGTGAAATATTGTGACAGTAGCAATGTGATCCCAAAGACACTTGGTGGTAACAAGTAAAAATAAAATTGCTGCTACAAAATATGTTGCAATCAGTGAGATCCCAGTAGCTGGAAAGAAAAAAATGTATTTTTTGATAATCAAAATATAAATAATTCAAATTACATAATAGTAGAAAATGAAAGAACAAAATCACAAGTCATTAGACTGTTAATAAAGTACATGTACACCTTTTCTTTTGTCTTCTTTATGGTTTTAGAGTATTCAACTTTCTACAAAACTCTATGACTTTTTATTTATTAAACTGCAGAGTGATACTGGTAGTCACAGTGACAAAAATAATTTGACAGTCACACAAAATCCTGAACTCAAAATATCTACTTACTTTGGTAAGCACTCCCTTTCAAGCAACACTCTTTTGTATGAAATGGTGCTCTTATGTGAAATGACAATCTGTAATATGCATATAATCATATTAGAAAGTAGGAAAAGCTGACCTAAAATCAAGCCAAATAATACATTCACAACAAAATAAAATCAGCTTACACAGCAATCACTTAGTCTCACCCTTTTTCAGTAAGCTTATCTCATTAGGTCTTTGTGCTGAGTGAATTAATTAGCTCTATATATATTATATTGGTGTTATGAAGTATTATGCAAGTACACTCATTTTATGTCTTATTTACTGAGCAGACAATATACAATAAAAGTAGTTTTTGTGGGACTATTGCAGCTTGTTATGGCATAGGACTTACTCCATCGAAAAAAAAACAGCTACAGGTTTCCTAGTCAGCAAAACATGATCAATTGTAAAAGTGTCTGTATCAGTAACAGAGTTAAAACCAAATTGCTATACCCATAAATTGCATGAATGATTGATGACAGAGAGTAGAGAACCATGTAGAATGCAGGAACCATGATTGTCAAGTTCTTCAAAACCTCCTAGAAAGGTAAATGTGAAATTTAGAATGTACATATTACTGCATAGAAGAGATATAAGTTTTTATCAAAGACCACAAGCATTTCTTCCTCACTCTAAAACCACCTATGAGAAAAATTCTAATGGGGAAATTTCCAACGTAAGCCATAATTTTACTAAAAGTATAAATTTTTAAAATAAAATCGAATCGTGAAAATGTAGCTCTATTCTGTAGGAGCAACAGCTGCTGTTAATAAAGTGATGTTGTTCTTATGATAAACCAATGCTTGATGCTGTTAATGCTTTCTAAAGGGCTTGATGCATATATTAATTCTCATTGTAGCTTTCTGATTATTTTTTGGTATTCACTATCACTTCTTTGACTATTTTCTGATCCTATTAGTTTTGTTTATATATTTTTCAGTTCAATTCATTTTAAATTCATCACATACCATTTAGTGAGAATAACTAAACAAAAAATTCAAAATACAAATTAAGACAGGAAAGTCAAATACTATACAAGAAGATAGAAACAAACTAGATAATTATTTTTATAATATATTTTTGGGATTATTTTTTTATGATTTTACCTATCTAAATAACTATACTCTATTTGGGAACCAAATTGAAAACAAGTTTGTAATTCACATTTAAGATAATTATACACACACACACACACACGTATATATCCAGAGAACTATCAAGACCTAAACTGGCTGAAGAGTTATAAATTCAGTCTTCATTACTTTTTTGGGGAATTTGGTATCAAACCCAGCAGCCAATAAGGCCAGATTTAATATCCCTAGTTTGTGTAGGATTATCAAAAGTCAATGATAAAAATAACCTTTGTAGATTCTCTAGCACAGCACGACATTTCAGAATTGGAATCAGTATCCATTGACTGTCCTCGGTTCCGACGCTCTACCATCATAACGTCTTCTCCTCACGATGCACTACAAGTTCGAGTTTACGAATGCCTGTTTTACCACCAACATATTTCAGTTAGTGTGACTACCTGCTCCTTGATTTACCTTTATGTCAGTAGGACAAATAACATTTCATAGCATTGTAAATAACATGTTGGAAGTCTACCGAACAAGAATTCTACGTCGATATCCAACTGTAAATATTGTCTGCTGGACTCGTTTCAGATAAGTAGTCTCGATTTCGGTTCTCATAGTGACAACGAAACAACGAAAACGAAACAAAGCAAGGAAAAATTCTTTTGAAATGTTTTAATATAGGTGTCAAAGGGGCAAGGACATTGGAAAGGTTCATGACTTGGTACACGACTGTAAAAAGAAAACTTATCATAGCCACAAATCACCATGTTACAGAAAAGTTCAAACTCAAAAGGGCACTTAATCCTGGATTGAAACTTCAAGAAAGTTATGATTCATCTTGAATTTTTATACAGCAACACATTGGAGCAATCAAGGACCGAGAAACCGGGGGCCTTGCCCTCCCCCAAGAAAACCTTTAGTGCTATAAGTAAAATACTTGTATATTATAAAATATGGCTGTTACAATTATTTTTCATGGCTGCCCCCCCCCCCGCCCAAAACAAAAAGATGTATATCGTTCTTTGGGCGAAAGAAGTGCTTACAAAGTAACAATCTATTTGCTTCAATAGTAGGATTAAGTGCGCATCTTGACAGCGAATCAACCAACCTTCGCGTGAAGTTTTGATTATGAATATTATTCAATGCAGATTAATGCATCGATGCTGTCTCCAGTCAAAATTGCTAAAAAGTTTTCTGAAATTGGATGAAAAAGCTTGTCATAAACTGACGAATAAAAGTGTGATAGTTATGTTATGTTTAAAGTATAATAGTGTTTATAACATAGTATTGAACATATGAACTATGTAGATAAAGCATATGTATATTGAGTATTGGAAATAAATATGAAATGAAAATGTAGACGTTGTGTTATGAATGAAGTTGGAATCCTTGCTAGCCCATAAGCAGTTCTAAAGAGAACATCTTTGGGATCGTGATCAGTGTGTTCCTTCATTTCAACTGAAAACATCAGTTCTCGTAATTCTAAAAAGATACACTACATCTTCGGTGATCACTACTCTGTACTTTAAGCTAGCCTACAAAAGCTTATGGCTTTCATCTGACAGGGAAACCTGAAACCTAAGAACTTTTTACTTGAAGAATTTGCAATAATATATCCCATTAATTATCCAACCCGTAGACAATTCCAAAAAATCTGGCAACAATTATCTGCTAACACCTCTTTTTTACCGTCAACGACTTCTAGGTACGACCTCCATATTGCCAACACCTTATACAATCTGCTACCAGAGTTTTCCTTTCAGAGTTCAAAATCTCGCAGCTAGGTCTTTTAATGACTAAAGTGCACGTTAAGACATAGATAAACTTAATATCATTAGAAAAAGAGAACATAGGAGTTGTTGAAGGGCTGAAACTATGTAATTGGTTTGCCTTCAGCTTTCATACTTCGCCATTTGAAGCAGCTGTAGACACTGTCTTTGTGCTGTCATTCATTTGCTCTACATCACATCACTCCGTTTATAAGGATCCTCCTTTTTATTGATTAATTAAGTTTTTGGTACCGTTTTGTTTGAAGATTGCACGAAATAGCGGAAACATAGCATACTTAAGTACTTTTTATCCGACACTCTTCAGAGTATAAACGTCGGATGATGACAAAAAGTAAGCTGAAAATCTATATCCAGCTGTAGATCGAAAGCAACGTGAGAGGAAGATACGCGTTTTTAATGATTATAGAGAAAGTAGTAATGCTATGAATACGCTCCCTTATAAGGCACCGGAAAGTATTCAACTTTGAGGCCTATCCAAAAATAACCTGTTTGTAGCGCTTGACGTCACTCTGATTTGATGCATTTTTAGTAACATTATTACTGACAAAAGTGCACAGCTATGGAAATAGGGCTCAGGTAAAATCTGATAAAATTCCTAGTTTAAGGCACTATGTCTCGATGCATTTCGCTGGCCATTAAAATTTTCCATTGGTTGGACTACACAATAGACCTATTGTTACGTATCCAATCAGCAACGTAAGCTAATCGGATACTTATTGTTGACTCAGAACGGTTGTCTGTCGGGACAAAGTGCTTTGAATTGTGACCATAAGATGCTACAGTTGCTGAGTAGTTCTAGTAAGACAAGCAGTGAGCATTGAAACTGAAATCAAGAAAAGTTTACTCAAAAATTCTGATATCTCATATCGTTATCGATATATTACGGAAATAATAAACTATACAACACAAATTTATATTTTACAAATTCAAACAAAAATACAATGGCTATCCTTCAACACAGTTCGTCTCCGCAGGGGTATGATATGAGCCGTCGGTGTCGATCATGAGTGCTTGACTAGTTGCTTGCAGGATCGGCAGCGACACACAACCTAAGCAAACGAAGCAAATAATTTCAATCACAAAAATCCTTCACTTTATAAGTACTAAACGTAATTAATTTGCTAGCTGACTGCGTGTTTGTTTTGGCCTGGTTTATAGACGTTAGAACCAAGACTAAAATACCGTGATTTAATGGGAATAGTCCACGCAGGACCGCCAATAGATGGGGGTAGCCGAAACAAGTGCCTCGGGGCCCAGTCCAATTTTAAAGGGCCGGTAATAATGGAATCTATATAATTTTTATATCCTGGAATCTATATTCATTGGTTGCCCCAGGGCCAGAGCTCACTCTAAGCGGCCCTGTCCACGAGCTCGCGTGGCCAAATCTTTGGCAATCTGTAGCATATTTGGCTGATTTTGCGCAATAAGAGATATTTGATGGTTTTTTGCAGGTTTGGTATTCAAAATGGTTACAAATTGAGTCAATGTGTTATCGTTTTGCAAGTGTATTTTGTAAGTATTTACACATTTATCAATCAACAGTATATATTTACACCTTATCATATCATTAAGGTTAATTGTACATATGTACCTCATAAGTGTTTACGTGGGCAAAAAATCATCCATAATGACACACCACTAAACATTGATAGAACTTCTTAAATGGACTAACATAATGTGAAAAGAGGCATTTCTATGTTTTAAAGTTCAGTAATTTTCGTTCAAGCCCTTTCTCAAACATGAAGACTTGTTCCTTACCAGATTTCTTCAATTACATAAGTGGTTAGGAGAGACTAAACTGATTGGTCAAAATAAAAAGGATCCTGATAGGTATTTTCCTCTTTTGGATATATTCAAACCATATTTGGGGATAAATTTTGTTAGCTGTTCAAATATTTACTTAAACAATAGTGTCAAAGTAGTGCAGGCAGTGCAGAGAAAGAAGCAACAAAGCAACAGTCACTGCCAAAAGTACTTGGGACACCCAGCAATATGCCTTGTGTTTTTATATTTTTCAATTATTTCCGCATTCCCTTCCCCCAAAACAATGTTCATAATTTAGAAAAATATTATACAAGTCATAGGAAAAATTGCACTTCCTTATCTCCTACATCGTTTTGTAATAAACCAACATTGTTCAAAGGGGGCAGGGGAATTGCTGAATTTGCCTATGAAAACTGACGTTAGTCTACCAAGACTTATGGCAGGCATAAGTTGAGAAAGGTGAAATTCTTTCAAAGCAGCATTCTTTGTGAAATACTGTAACATCTTTAATCGTTAACAAATACTGAATAGCGATAATAAATTGATAACACTAGCTTCAACTGAAGAGATGGAATTAAGATATACTCACTGCCAACTGCCGAATTACTTGTGAATTCTTGACTTTCTGTAGAGCTTTCTGAAATTTTTATACTATTTTCATCAAGGTTTTGCAACTGAACAAGTGTCCTCACGACCTGACTTTCATGTCCCTGCGAAGGCAGATTTCAAATGATATATACAAAAGTCAAATTTCCATTTTACAGAAAAGGAGATATTTTGGTGAAAGGAGAAACTATCATTGGGTGGTGAAGGGGGTATAATATTTTGCAGGGAAGTGGTTATTTAGTTGACATTCATCATATGAAAAGAGACATTGCGCGTTACTAACAAACTATTTCAAGATTATACGTCTGACAAAACGTGTTTTAGCATGATGCGACATGCTCCACTTTTTCGAGCAGTGTTCTCATTTCATTTTGACTTTCTTCACGCACAGTGCTAAATTGCTATTGTACAGTTGCCCCAGAAAAAACCTCTTAAGAATAACGATAAAACTCATTCAATAAAAGATAAGTTCGAATGAAATATCTCTTTACGGAAATATGAGAAACTATTTAAATACTATAAAAATGTTGTTATTGGGCCTCTGGGTCCAGATTTGAAGGTTTCGAGGATCAGAGCTACGAGGCTTTTCTACCCTCTAGGAATTGGCTTTTCGGTATGCGAAGTACTTTTGATGATCAGTATTTTAGTATATTAGGGTGTACTTAAATTTGTTTCAGAGCTTCTTATTTCTATAGTAAACAAAATGGAAATTCGCACAAAGATGGAAAAAAAAATATTGATGTGAAAGAAAGTTTGGCAATTTATAAACAAATGTTTATGGTTTTTACAAGAGGTCTCGTTACAGAGGTGACTTTGTGGTTTCTTTACAATGATATCTTGCTTCAAAAGTGAATTAGTTTTTCTTAAGGGGACCAGAACGTCTGGTCTAATTTCAAGATCATCCTTACCTCTCGTTCAAAAGCCATCTTTTTCCCTTGAAAATATTTATCTTCATCGTTCTCCCCCGGTTCTCTTTTTCGCTTGCGAGTATTGGTGTTCATGACGGTCTGTTTAAGAAGAAACGGATACCATTATTATCACAAAAGTCTCAAATGCATGAAAGTACGATAAACTTAGGACGAAAGTACGATAAACTTAGGACGAAAGTACGATAAACTTAGGACGAAAGTACGATAAACTTAGGACAAAAGTACGATAAACTTACAAGGGAGAAATAAGTATGATAATCGGACAGTGAGTTGTCGTATATCGTTTAGATGACCCTTGGCCTAGCCTGTGTTTCCAGACCCCTAACTTGAAGTGTCTGGAGCACAGGCTACCCCTTGACCAAGAATGGGAAAAATAAAAATACAAATTGAGGGGTCAGAGATTTTTTTCAAATCTGAAAGATACAAAAAAGGAGGCAGATATAACACGATAGTGACCCCACTAAGTTATATTAAGTAATGGCTCTTCATAAAGGCAGTTACAGGGGGAACTGAACTGGACTGGGGGGGGGGGGAATAAAAATTGGAATCAGTTGGTATATCACTGCCGAAACACTAATGATTTCTAATTTTTCTAATAATCAGCAAAAAAAGATTTCTAATGAGCTTTATAATTGATATAAAGGTTCATTTAGCCTGTGACTCATTTAGGTTGTGAGTTAGGTTGTAGGTTATTTAAAGTTATGACTTAAGGCATTGATACATCGATAGGGATTCTATCACTGTCAGTATCCTTTCTATTTTATGGTCACATACCTCTTCAATTGGGCCAAGCTCTTCGTCAGCACTGATTATATCAATATCTGCCGTACGACTGTCAAAGGAGCCAGTTGAACTGTAATCTTCCAGTTCCACGTCAACGAGGCTGCTTTTTACGCGCGAAAAATCGTCTAAATGAATCCTAGCATGATAACGCAGACTTGATTTCCTCGCGAATTCTTTGCTGCAAATATCGCATCGATATGGTTTTTCACCCGTGTGAGTCCTGATATGTACATTAAGATGGCTGCGATGGTTGAATATTTTATCACAGTATTCACATTTAAATGGAAATTCGCCTAAAAGTGGAGAGAAAACAGTTCAATGGATGTGACAAAGAATAACGAGAACAGGCAAATCAGCAATGTATGGGTGTCTATAATGGAACTCCATTCGCAATGCATGCTTTATCATAGACACCCTTACATAACAAATCATACTTCATAATTTTTAACTCATTCTGAAAAGTGCAATTATAGTAGCTTATAAAGTTAAAAAATGTAATACACACAAGAAATATAAAAGGAACCTAAAAGAGACTAACCTTACATATAATAAAATTCTTACATTGAAGAATTCTGACAAACATGTGATATTTCAAAGATTGTGTTGTTGTTTGTATTATTGTTGATTTTGCATGTAGGCCACTTTTCAGAATCGATCCCTTTTCAGAAAAAGTATAGTTTTGCACCCAGATTGTACATTGGCAATAGATTTGGTTGAGCGTAAGCACAACTGACAATACAGGACAGACATCGCCTAGATTTTCTAACCCATACTCCTCAATTCAATTTCAATGTTGACATATCTCTACTTCTTATATAGTAAAACTTTTATAGCAGAAAAAAAGAACTGTAATTCCTGAGCTGTCAAGAGCGAGCGAGAAAACATGCGATTAAACATTACGAACATGCTGTTGGGATTAATCACATGAATCATCTATCTAGTGCTGGTTTACTTTGAGCTGGGAAGGTTGATAGAGTAAAAAATTTGTACCCAGAGCTGTAGAAAATTAAAGTACTATATTCTCTCTTGTATTCCGACCCTCTCTTATATTCCCGCCTCTCAAAAAATCCCGCCTTCTCTCTATACTGTGAAAATTTAATCCCGCCTCTCTGATAATCCCGCTCCTTTGATAATGAACCCGCAGCGGGAATACAAGAGAGAATACGGTAACGCAAGTAAAGCAGGATTCTATTAGACTTTGAAATATAAAACTAAAGATACCAACCAGTGTGTATTCGAGTGTGTTCTTTAAGCGTGCTAAGTCTGGTAAACATTTTCTTGCACTCGTCGCATTTGAACGGTTTGTCATCTGAATGAACAGGCATATGAACTTTCAAGTCACTCGCCCTAGCGAACCGCCGATCGCACTGCTCACACTGAAAGGGCTTTTCCCCTTAAAAAGCAAACCAAATGATCGATCACAGATCGATAACAATTGCTTATGCAAGATTATGACAGCCCAAGACTGTATACTACACATAGGCCATGTACTGCATGAACAAACACATAATTGTGTTTGTTCATGCAGTACATGGCCTATGTGTGTTATACAGTCTTGGGTTGTCATAATCTTGCACATTTGTTTACATTCAATTAAATAATGATTTGAAACAAATATATTATTAAAAATTTGAATTCTTTTGACCCAAAAAGAGAACTAAGTTAATAAAGTAAAATATTAATCTGAGGCTTTGGGTTGAACATTGCCGAGTAGAAAAGGACGATTGTCTTCAATTATTCAAAGTGATAAACTAACATTCAGTTTCATTAAGGATGTAGCTTGCTTATTATTTTCATGCCGTTTTGAGAACTCTCGCTACAATAGTCCAAATGCTAGAGGCTAAGAAAATCTTCATTATTTAGATGAATATACAATTGCAACTACAGATCAAAGCACGGAGGAATATCATAAATTAGAGCACAAAAGTAGATACCTGTATGTACAATAGCGTGCCTTTTCAGCGTCTTGGCAGAAATAAATTCCTTTTCACAAACTCTGCATCTGTAAGGTCGTTTTCCCGTATGACTGTTTATATGTGAACGCAAATCTGCGGCAGTTGTATATGACTTGGTGCATAGCTCGCACTTGAAAGGTTTGCTTCCAGAATGACTAAGCTAAAAATCAACAAAAAGCCTCTTTCAATTAAATCCATTACCAAAGCGGAGTAAGAAGTGATGTTCAGCGATTCAGAGTCGAAGCTTCAGAGTCGTGTTTAGGCTTACGGTCAGTGGCGGCGCCAGCTATTACAAAGTGGGAGGGTAAAGGGCGTGGCCAGTATGACCACGCCCATTTTGCCTCGTTCCAGTGATTTGTCCCCTTTCTTGGGAAATTTGATCTACCCCTACCCAGCGCTTTTTAATCCATTTTTAGAAGAAATATATAGACTATATTTTCAGAAAAGTCGGGAGGTAATTACCCCTCCATACCACCCCTTGGCGCCGCCACTGCTTACGGTTATGCGACCGTAGCTGGGGAAAAAAGTAATATCCCCGATTCATTGAAAGTAGAAAAGTACTAAACATTAGCTGCAAGTTATGCTCACCATGTGAGATTTTAACGACGTTCTTTGCGTGAATGCCTTCGAGCACTGATCGCATTTGTATGGCTTCTCTCCCGTGTGTTGTCGTTGGTGCTCCCTTAAACGAGCGGGCCTTGTGAACTGCTTGTCACAATACTCGCACTTGTATGGTTTTTCACCACCGTGAGTGTATTTATGTTTTACTAAATCGAACGACTGTATGCAAGCGAAATCACATTGGTCGCATTTAAACTGCTTTACCCCTGCAATGGAACAATTCTCATATAAGGAAAGTATGTGTGTGCGAAAAAAAAGTTAGGACATTTGTAAAAAATTCAATATAGAAAGATATATAATATGAGATAACGGGGCATTATCATAAATGGGAGCGAATAAAAATTCCCAGCGCTATGGAAGTGAGATTCGCAAGGGCCGTCGGGAGCCACCAGCTTGGGTTCAGGAGTGATTCACAAAATTTGGCCCCCTAAGCTCCCCGTGAAAACTTTCTGTGACAACACTTTTCAGTCTGTCGGAGAATCAGAGAAACGTCCTTTTCAGGTAATCTTAAATTTGTTATTCTTTCTTAACATGATTGTGCAATCTCTATGTGGGACATCTTTATTTATGATATTTTTGTAGACATATTTTTATCTGTGATGAACTTAGAGGAATTCATTCCATCCATATACGCAACTGAAATAAAAAGTTTTCTTTAATATTCTTTACATTCTTCAAGCTTTATACGGGTCCCGTCGGAGCACGAGCCCTGGAGTTTTTGCCCCTCCTAGCCCTCCCCCCTAGCCCTCCCCCTCTTGATGCTTCTGAGATCTGAGACAATCACATTACATTAAAGAAGAGGAAGTCCCTTTACCTGTATGAATGAAAAAGTGTCTTTTGAGGTCGTCATAACGAACGAACGATTTCCCGCATGTAGTACAAGCATGAGGTTTTGCCCCAGAATGCCTGAAGGAGTGTCTTGAAAGTTCAGACGACGTTTTGAATGCCAAGGTACAACCAGTGAACGTGCATTTGTATGGCTTTTCGGTTTGGTGAACTCTTTGATGAACCCTGAAAATATCAACATTGTTTGATAAATAAAACATGTAGCAACACGCAAACATTTGCAAATTTGTGCTTCACAAGAACGTTTAACAGCTGCTTAAATGTTGTCAATGCTTGTTTTTTAATCGACACTGCTCCATGCCAACGTTTCCCCAAACCTAAACCAAATAAGTTATCTTTCTCTTTTCTCCAAACATCCACGTCACAAGAACGAGTTTGTAAAGTTACAATGTTTCACTGGCCCTTTTAGACTAGAACTCTCGGTTGATTTGCATAAGGCTTGACGCGCAAAGGTTTTTTAACAATAGATTATAACAGATGAAAAAAGCACAGAAGTTTTTCAGCATCTTATTATTCTTGGTTCATTTTGAAAGGTTAGCCAGCCTTAATTTGTTTTTGTTCGAAAGGGCATTCGGTCGTAGAGCTGTCCGGAAACTTTCATGACGTAAGTGAGGCTGGGTCGATTCTGAAGGAGACAGAAAGGACGTCACATTAGCGATCAGAAATGTTTTATAGAATCAGTAGAAAAGAAAAGCATTGTACCTGAGTGAGCTTGGGTTACTGAAACCCTTGTCGCAGCCATCTACGTCACACACGTAAGGCTTTGTTTCTGAATGCGAGAGAGAGTGAATCCGCAAAGAACTTGCATTGCTGAACGATTTTTCGCAAAGATCACACTGGAATGGCTTTATTCCTGCAACGAAACAGTATTAATAGATTGAGACATTGGGAACCGCTTTCAACATTCGCTAAAATCCTAAGTAAAGCTTTTGTAAAAACATCGTGGTGCTCGAAAGGAGCTTCGAAGAATTATCTTTGTGTATTTTACTGTTGCTGTCCAGCTTCCGAAGGTGGTTTTTAGGACACTTAGAAGCTGTGCTTATCGAGCAGTGTCCTGGTCCTTCTACTCGATGTGACCACGCCTCTTTATTTGTACATCTAGAATTACAAAAGGTTGGTGAAACTCCTTACCCTGAGAGTCAGCGACGGGAACCACAGATTTTTGGATCTGCAGCTCGCAAACCCAGCCACTGAGCAATACCCAAAGGCTTTACTGTCATTTGACAAATGCTCATCACCCTTTTTAGAAAACTTTGTCCACGTTGGCTATAGTAGAGAAGAGTAGAATAGGGGTCCCCGTAACGTGAGTTATTAATCCAGATCCACACCATACCTAGTCTCATTGCCTTTGAGGTCAGTTTAGAAAAATTTTGCTAATAGGGCAGCGGAAGGATGGGCCGATTTCTGGACTCTGGTAAAACCTTCACAGTAATATTTTCGAAGTGAAGTTTCGAAAATAACAATCGATGTTTCAAAAAACCATCAAGTGAGAACATCATGAGAAGGAACATTGCAAGATTAGAAGAACCGCTGCAAGTGACTTTTGTTTTGAAGAAAGCTGCCTGTATATTTTGACCGTATGGCGATAATGTAGAAGGGAGAGTACTACATAAAAGTTGTTTTGGGCTCTTGACTTTAATTTGATTCAATTTTTGACACTTGTAACTTTACCTACTGAAATAACTGTATCCTACCTGTATGAGTCAGTCGATGTTGTTTTAAGTTACTAAGATTTTGGAATTGTTTGTTGCAGACATCACAACTATGAACTTTGTCACCAGCAGCATGTTCCCGCATGTGACTGTAATAAGACCATGATCGCATGTACACTTTGCCACAGAGGTCACAAGTGTATTTATCTTTTCCGTTGGTAGGAAGATCTACGAAAATATAGATAGCCAGTTATGGAACAGTTTTGTTTGATACGTGGGCAAGGAAGTTAAGAAGGCCAGAACTGTACATTTATAAATTCATTTAGCATTTCCATTTTATCCCAGTAGTAGAAATTGCAATATACTAGTCTTAAATAGCATCCGCGAGGCCCAAATTTTTTAGTTCATTGAACATTTGAGTGAATGATAAATGGTATACCCAACAATGTGCTAGGTAAGACAAAACATTGCAAATAGAGGCACATTCGGGGTAAACTTTTGTTTGGAAGGAAGGATAGAGATAAAATCTCTCTGGAAATTGCAACAAAGTAACAAGTCTTTTATGTTGGTCCCCTAGAGAGCACTAAAGCCCCCATGCCCCCACTTGCAAGCCACAAATGATGAACAAAATAATATATTTGGTGAATGGTCTGAGTGAGAAATAAACTGTCCTTACCATCAATACATGAAACTGTACTTTTTACAGGAGTACACTGCAGTTGTAGCTGATTAGCAGAAACTTCAAGAGCTGAAATGTTCGGGAGCCCTTCAGTCAGGTGCAAAACTTGAGTTGTATTTGCTGCTGATGATGATTGTTGTGGTGACTGTAAAATTGGTAACTGAACTGTAGTAAATGGTATGGTCTGTCCATTGATCTGCAGTGAATACATCTGTGTCCCTGTTGGCAGTTGGTCTTGTAATAAAGTTTCAACTTGTTGTGTTCTATCAGGTTTTGTGCTTTTATGTAAACTGTCATGGTCTGGAAAATCTGGGTTGTTAGCATTATTAGAGACTGTTTGTGAAAGTACTTCAACTGCTATCATTTCCGCTTGAATTTTGTTACTCTCATCTAAAAAATAATGGTGAAATATAAGAATTAAAAAAAACATGAACATGATAAATTAACAATCACAGAGGATTCTGAAAGAAAAAGCACTAACAGAGTTTTTCTGAACAGTTCTATGAAATATATTTTTTTTGTTTTTAACCAATGAAAAGGCACCTCTGGAATTTGTTACACACTTTGTTAAACTAGGGACAAATCATCTTGAATAGCATTTGACAAGGTTTCTACACACCAAAGAAACTTAAAGTGCTACTTACATTTGATAATTGCAGATGTACCATCAAAATAAATTTCAATGAAAATTCATACATATTTATACTTTATTTTTCAGTCTTCATAATATAACCACTAATTTTTTTCCTATAAAAAGAGCATTGAGGAGTCATACTGAAGTGGGGGTGGGATGGGTACAAGGGATTTGCTTTAGGAAATAATAGAAGGACTATGGGCACTGAAGGAGAGTTGCATTGAAGGAGACCCAATGAAGCATAGAATCAGACTAAATCATATGTTGTCTAAGATTGGTTTAAAATTAATGCCCGCATCTTAACTCAAATGAATCTAACTAGACAAGGAAGTTCCAAATCATTCAGACCAATGATGGCGGTTGAAACAACAACTATAAAGAGAAAAACTAGATTATAATATTTGCAAAAACACTCACTCCCTGAGAAAGATACTCCTTGTCCAGCTGACTTCATTTGGTTTTCAATCGATTCAAGTGTTTCATTAGAGAATGTTTCATTGACTGGAATAAGAGTGTTGCCAACAGTACAAGTTGTTGTGTGTGAAACATCCTGAGTGATATTGCAATTAAGATCATCTGCATTACAGACACTTTGAAAGTTTGTTAAATTATTTGAGTCTAGCACATTTCCTAAAGGTAGATTGACATCAACTGAGGATATACTATTCATTTGAGGGTGTAGTGTCATTAAAAAGGCTTGCAATTGTTGGACCTCTATAACGGCATTTCCAAGCGCAAGTTGATTGGGTTGTGCTAGGCTCGATAGAGCTGACAATGGTATAGTTATTCTTGGTGACTTTGCTTCACTGCTTTGCTCATGGGTATTTGAAGACAACACCAGTGGAAGAGAAAGTGGTTGGTTTGACGATGCGATAACATTTTCCTGTGAATGCAAGTCTTGAATAATAACATTTCCAGGAAGACTCTCTGTGACACTTCCCTGATCCTCATCAACCTGGCAATAAAAAAATATTTCATTTCATCCAATAATTTCAAATACTTGCAGATCTACTTTAGTTTCAGAATTCAAGAGAAAAAGAACCATAGAAATTATAATACAAACAATAGAAGTCTCATTATATGGAACAATGAATTTTATACACCTATGAAACATAAACTTGGCATGTATTTTCCTAGAGAGTTTATTTACCCAAATACATCTGTGCAATGTTGACAGCTACTGCTTCAAATTTTCAACATGCAACAATTATCTTTATAACTCTAGGCTATAATTTTCTGCCTTCTTAACCCACCATTGATTTGGGGTTTTAGAACATAACATAAATTGAATTTACAAAGAATGTAAATTTTCTATTTACAGAAATTAATTCATGGTTTCTTTATATTTCAAAAAACACTAGGTTCATGAGGATAGATACTTTAAAGGGTAAAAGAAGGGAATCTATGACAGCAGAAGGGAATCTTAGGCAAATCAAAATCAATGACAGCAGCAATAGTGCTATTCAATATACCTTGGAAGTTTTCTCATCACAGTGAACTTGTAGTTCATTTGTAACATTGACATTCTGAGTTTCATCTGCAAAAGAATGGTTTGAAATTCAACATAATGTTGATAATGATCAACATAACTTGAAAAGCATAATTTAAAAGCATAGTTTGTTAATTATGCAAAACAAATAGAAGCGAACACGATCTATAAAAACGATACAATAATGCAGCCAATCTGAATAATTGCTAGTCAAAAATGAAAACTTGCAAATAATTTTATACATGCAAAACATACCAACTATAAACATCTAGCAAGCTATTAAACCTCTTTGATATTATCTTCGTTTTTGCTTCCTTAAGATTTTCTAGAAGATTTAATATTGGTTTATTGTCGAAGAAGAATGTTGTGATCTTTCTGGGTAGATATATCTTTTCATACCCTCTTTTATTTTTCCTAGCTGACATTTAATCTTCATGATTGCAGGAGTTTATGTGAAAAAAATCAAATTTGTTTTGGCCAAATGCCTTTTCTTGCTGACTCAATCACGGTTCGTGATTAAAGTGAAACAAGTTCCCTTCTTTCACTTTCTCTTCAAGTTGCACTTTACTATTAATTTCAACGTTATTGTTTAGTGTTTGGTCTCTAAAACTCGCTTTTTACGAGCAAAGAGACTTGAATTTAAAAGCAACCTCAACCAGAAGATGGGAAAACAACTGGACTCGTCGTCAAAATCTTAGTCTATTTCAAAATGTTTCTTTAAAGCTTTGAGAAACGAAAACTGTCCAGAATAAGACATATAAATCCTAGAATACTAAATAATATTTTTTATTTGTTGATTGCTAGCCAAAAACAGTGGTCCCAAAAATTTTCCATAATTCTTTATTTTCCATTTCGGGCCTAAATAATGGAATTGCTAACAACACTGCCTCGCATAAGCTGTTCGTACACGTATCAGAAGTCGTTTAATCAATGGTACACTAACCCCCTTCCGTAAAACGAAAGGCCTCCGTAAAACGAAAAATCATCTGCGAAAATTGTTAGCTATATCAACAAGAAGACTGCCTACGTGACATCTAATCCTGCATTCAGTGTGGGCAAACCAGTCAATCGTCTTAACAACCCTTCCCTTTCGAAGAAAAATTGTTTTGCTTTAAATTTTTCCCAAGTAGATCTCACTTGATAGGGAGGACATGCTATGTTAGAAAACGACTTCAACACCGCTTGCTCTACGAGATACATCTCGAAAGAGCATCAGCCATTACTCGCCAAAATCCAGTGATCCAATTTATTAATGAATGAAGATGTTAATAAAAACAAAAACAAAATATTGTTCAAATGTAACCTGGTGGGAGCTGAGCCATGATGCCCTCGGAGCTTGCTTTCCAGCGGCCATTAACCAGAGAGAAAGACGAAATCCGCTGCCGGTGGATCGCTGGCGTGCGCAACCCATTGTTTTCAAATTTGCATAACAATGGCGGATGAAGAGCGGCAATATTCAAATTTGACAAACATTACAGAACACCTGTCCACTTCTGTCACTTTCAATTAACGGTCTGATTTTGAAATGAATGAAGAAAACAAATCAACTTTCCCGTTATTCAGTAATAAGACATAGTAGGTATTTAAGTCGCTATAACCCTGACGATGAAATGATTAAATTCTTCGACGATGGAGCTAAGTAATTGAAAAATTCCAAGTCACTTTACAACCGTTCAATTTATTTCAACGGTTGAAAACGTCGTTTTTTTTTGAAAGATTTTGATGAGGATGTCAAACATTTTTGAAAGCTCTAGAATATTTATGTAGATCTAAATCGCCTAAATTTAGCATTGTTCCTTAGGAAGAAAGGGTCTACCAAATGTAGAGCAAAACCTTTCTCATCTTTTGGAATAATGGATTTAGTCGCAGCAATCGCAGGTTACTGGTTATTAACTGGTTACTGGTTAACACGCTAGCTGGTATCTGGTTATAATCTTTCGAGAATACATCCAGCTACTTGACTGTTTCTCAAAAAAATCATTGAGCACACAGAATTACGTCATTAGAGGCTTCCTTAAGAAAAACGTATCCAAATTTTGCTTGAGAAAAGGCATAATGCAATGAAACATATCTTTCTTTCTTTTAAGCTTTTATAAAAACATAGGAAAACAATTTACAAAAATATTGAGGCCCTTCTTGCTGAAAAATAAGTCCAACGTAAGAACATAGAGAACCGCAGATGAGAAGCAAGAAGAAAACAATGCGCAGCAGCAAATCAGCCGTGCTACTAACATTCAACGCAAAAACTTCATTTAATCGTCTTAGAAAAAATTTATAACATGAAGTAGCAGAAAACCAGTGCTAAATTAGACAATTAGAACTTGCGCGCAAAAATTCTCTAGTTGTGTCTTAGTATACTCATTTACTTAGACTGTGCCAGATTTCAGAAAAGAAGTGTATTTTAGGGCATTATAATAGTTGTTCGTTTTTTGATAATATTAAAAGCTAATTTCATTTGTATCATGCTGTGCACCCCCCTCTACTTAAAGAGCATTATAAGGCATTATAAAGAATGAAGGTTTCTTGAGACACCTGTGTTTCAATTAACATTGTAACACCACACACCCTATTCCAAACGTCATAATACGTAACCTGTGCGTCGCTACCCTAGTCAAGGTTTATTTTGCACTTACTATTGACCTAGTCTTGTTGCAATTTTTTAGCTTGCTACGCAGTTGCCTGATGATCGCGTTAAGCGTGAATCACATAGTTGCAACTTGAAACCATTTTATTCAATATACCAAAGCCTGTCAAGCTATACCGATGTCACTGCCTCTGTCATAGTTCTCGTCCGTGACATTAAAACTTTCATAGCTTTCGAATAGTCAGCATATAAACTATCTTGTTTGTTTATAAACGGTCTGTTTTCTAATGAACACCGCTTTTCAAGAAGCGGCGTTTGAAAGAGGGCGGTGTTTATTACAAATAGTTGGCTGAAAGTGTGGCGTTTAATTGACTTGCTACAAGTCTCTCTCTTTAAAGAAAGGGAAAAGGGAAAAATGGAAGGGAAGGAGAGAGATACAAGTCTACAAGTCTCTCTCGTTCCCTCCCATTTTTTCTTTTTTCCCTTTCTTTAAAGAGAGAGACTTGTAGCAAGTCCAGGCGTTTAATAGAGAAAGGCGTTTATCAGAGGGTGTCCAACTATATACCAAAGCTTTAATCGGGCACTTTATAACGGACTGATGAAAAGTAATTTTCATTAACTGCTAAGCTATATAGAAATGGAGTAAAATCATTAGTCAAGAAGAAGAAAAAAGTTTCAAAGCCACTTGTTAAAAAATCTGTTATCTTTTCCTTAAATCTGATGTAAACAACTAGAGATAAAATATGCATTTAACTGCTTGCGTTGTTTCACGTTCTACGGTAAGAAATTTTTATTAACATATAGCATATAAACCTTACAAATGCTTATAAGGTCAACAGTGAATGCTTGCCTCTTGGAAGCACGGTTTTTCTATGCAACAGATTGCAAACTTTGATTAGGCAACTCGGATAGAAACTTTTACTACAAAAAACTCCTTCCAAAATGAAGATATCCTAATGCAATTTGAGTGCAACTTTTTTTCAAGAAACGATTAGAGCCTGGTCATTACTGTAGTGCGTATTCGGTATCTGTTTTGTTTTCACCTACTGCAAATATTAAGGTGATTGTCACTTAGGTTCTTCGTGAGTGTCTATAAAATTTCTCTTTCTGATTAACTTGATAATAGGCAAGTAGTTTTACTTTCAAGTTTTCCAAATTTGACAATTCAAAATCAGAAAAATCTATGTTGAATGACGTCATGTTAATTTGAAACATTCTTATTCAACTGAAAGCTATACGGTGAATCTATATAGGGTACTGGTACACTCGTTAATTGGAATAGTACCACATTATGCTCTTAATTGCATCTTCATTCGTTTGTAATTTGTTACATAATATATTTAACCACAAATCAGTGCAGATTTAGGAGGCTCAGTGAATACCCTTATATCACCTTTACCTCTTGAAGTGATTAATAACTCTATCACCTTGATCATGTATTTTGAAATATTAGTTTATTTTTTTCAGAAGGCCTCAGAAGGCATTCTGACCCTCTTCTCGAGACTCAACCACGAGACTACTAATATGGAACTAAGTAAGGAATAATTGTTAGATGTGTTGTTCTAAATAGAGTTCAAACATCTGTACTGGAGACAAGAAAAAAACTAGAATTCTTATCAGATGGCTACTGTAATTAGTTTTCATGAAGTAGAACAGTTATAGAGTTTTTAATTATGACGTCACAAAAAACTAGTTAAAACTTTTTAATTTTGACCACATGAATTAGAAGAACTCCATAAAATGCTTCTAAATTTGCAAAATCAGGTCAATGAGTTAAAAACCAGGTGAGAAATAGCCAAAAAGTTTGAAATTTGCCAACGGATCACTGTAATTTTGGTTCTGTTCATAATGGCCTATTTAGAGTTTCTTGCTATTAAGAGGTGCTTCGTCGCAAATGTTCAAAATTTGGCCATTATAGGATGGCACACCTTTTTCTTCGGCCAACTGGATCGGGGGCCCCTCCCTCCGTTGTGTACAATAGCTAGCGATGGGCACTGAGAAGCTTACAGTATGCTTATCGAGCAGTGTCACAGAGTACCGAAGTGATGACGTCATAAAAATATATTTTTAGAACTTCTGAATTTGACCCCGGAACCTGAAAGAGCATCATGAAATTCCTTTGAATGTGTAAAATCAGTCAAAGGCATTACGAATTGGGTGAAACATGGCCACTTGAGCACAGGCCCTTGCCTTATCAAACCTCTGTAATTTGGTCTTGGTTCATAACTTTATGAACCAGGCCACAATAGCAGTAATCCGTTAGCAAACTTGAAATCTTTCATTGGCCAACTTGGAACACATCTAGCTAATTTTGCATATTGATAGGTATTTTATGCCGTTCTATCAGATTATGTGGCCAAATTTAAGAAATTCTAAAAATATATTTTTGATGACGTCACACTATTGAGTTTCCTTCTCCTAGACAGATTACCTTGCAAAGCTAATGACCTGTAGCTTATAATATTGCAAGAGTTAGGGGTAACTACCCCCTATACCCCCTTGGCGCCGCCACTGTAATGTCAATCGAATTTCACAGGTACTTGCAGTATCTAAAAAGAATCTCTTTAAAATAATGTCTGTAAAATAATCTAGTTATTCTTCCCCGGTCTTGGCATTAAATTTTGCACGTTTGTAAATAATTTTCAACTTAATGTGATGGTTTCAGTTCAAAACTTTGTATCCGAAAGCGTAATTTCTCGCCGCGTTTAGGGCAAAAATAAGCGCTCTAGGCTCTAATCATTTCGAATGTCATCTTTAGGTCACGTGGTAAGGCTTTGACATTGAAGAAAACAATAGGGGAGGCTGGGACCGACGATTCGTTCGAGCGCGGAGGAAAGATGGCGGTGAAAGAAGGACAATAAACACCGTCATAAAATTGCATGTATTTGGCAAAATATAATTCAAAAGGCGTTGAAAACACAAGATTGGTGTCATGGACGATGAAGAAAAGGAAGAAACTATTTTATCAGGTAGAAGGCCTAAGAACCGCCAACCTAAAGCACCGATTCCGACCTGGGCTGACGCTGCGAAAAAGGTAGGCCAGATATAACATTTCACGTCGATTGTGTTGGCATTGTAATCCTAGCAGTTGATCATAGTTCAAAGCAAGAAAATATCCTCAATTTCCTGAAAATTTCCAGTCAAGATCTTCTTGAGCCTATTCAACCCAAATCACAGGAACATTTTCTTGAATATTACGGTTGAAAAGTGGATCACCCCGCTGTCGTAGCTGAATGACTTGATTATTTGCTTCATTTTGTTTGGATTTAATCCAGTATTTCGACTATTTTATAAGGAAAAAGTGTTTTTCATTAAACCTTGCGAAAAAGCTTTTTGGGACGTACGTTAGAACTGCACATCAGCAATCACAGAGTTACAAAAAGTGTCTAATAAGGTTGTTAAGCAGTTTCAGTAGGGGGATGGAATGGTGGAGTAATTTTTAGGAAGTGGTCAGGGGAGACCCTAATGTACATGACATATTTTTGGCTTCTGTTTCATCACCTTTTACTAAAAGTGATCAAAAATATCATTGATTGATGAGCCACTTTGTCTATGATTTTACTAAGTTGCATAATATCAGCCTGTAAATAGAGATTATATGGTGCATTCCATTCTATTTAAAGAGGCATAAGGTTCTTCTAGAGACATTGAAAGCCAAGCCCTTAATACTGTGCACAGGTTTACATATTATTTACTCTTTTCTTGCTATCAACAGCCACATATTTGTCTTGGCCTTTCCATTTTGGTCCTGCATATCCGTAATTTTATTTTTTCTCTCACTTTTTGCAATTTCTTGCAAGCTAAAGAACTTTATATACAATGCCGGCAATTTGGCTAGCATTTCTCTGATTTCTGTTGCAAAAGGTAAACTGCCATTGTCAAAAAGTATACTCTTTTTGCAACACCAGCTCAATTTTAACAATAAAAATCTGAAACAGTAAACTCTATCTGATGGTAAATAGATGTCCTCTGCAGCCAAGCATGGATTCCATGGCAGCCACACCCGAAAGATGGGCATGGTTTGGGTGTGTTTTCAGATGTGGTGTAGATTAACAAGTTTTTTCAAGTACAGCAAAATGACCTTCTAAATTTGTTCACAACTGAGATTGGAAAAAAGTGAACCATTCTGAATTGAGTGATCCACTTGAGATTAGGGCTGACAAAAAGTTCAAGTGGGCCTGGGGCAAAACTGAAGAAAAGCACCTCATAAGCAAATGGGGCAGACAATTTTTTGTCACCCTGTTCTTTAGTTGATTAGCTTAAAATACACTTCAGAATATTCTTTGCAGTCATTTTCTTGAAACTGTCTCAAAATTACTTTGTTTCAATTGTTTCATTGTCACCTATTTTCTTTTATTCCATTCTATAAATGAATTACTACCATTTAACTATAAACAGATTCATACTATTCTTAAAATGGAATTCCTTTTTATAAGGTTCCCTGGACATTGAGGCCCTTAGGCAATTTGCCCCCTTGTTCCCCTCTTGGTGGCCCTGCTTTAGATCATCCTTACAATGCTCTTAGAATGCTTTTGTTTTTGGCCCTTTTGACCATTATTTGTTTAATTATCTCTTTACTTGTCAAACCTTTAGGAATTTGGATAACAGCCACTTATAGTAGTGGTAGTTTCGCATAGTTCAACTCTCATTCATGAATTTCCCTGACCTGTAAAATTGATGTAAACAGGAAATATGCACAAAATATAAAGTCCTGTACAAAATATGCACACAGGTAAGAATCATTGACAAATTTGATGCACACTCAAATGTGCATACTTATCACAAATGCACTCTTGCACTCTGGGCTAATAGCTTGTGCACTACCGAGATCTTGTCAAAACTGCCATGAAATCCAGACCATTTGCAGTGGGGTCATTTGCTTTTGCCATGGTCACTTTAGCTTGCTTTTGTTGACAAAACTAGTTTGCATTATCAGTATGAAGTAATTTTAAGTGACCATTCTCAGGAACATCAAAGTTTAGCATTACACAAATTCTTCAAGGTTTCTATTTTAAGTTTTCAAAACAGTGCAACACACATTGTCATGCAGTTTATTGGTCCAAAACAAAACAATGTGTCAGGCTTGGTCAATTTCACTATACATAAAAATTCAACTCATGAAGGCAAATAAGTCTTCTGTCAGTGTGTGCCTTATTTATTTGATTATGAAAACAAGCATTCAGAGACCAATGAGCATGACGACAATGGGCCTTTAAACAGAGCGATAAACTCAATATTTTTATACAGTATGTCTGAAGAGATATTGAAGTAATGTTAAGAGAATTAAAAACTGCTGACTCATGCTGATTATGTACATCTGGTTTTTAGAAAGATTTTCCCAATAGGTGTAAGATTGCCAATTTTTTAAGTCTTCTAATGTTTATAAAGGCAATGGGATATAAAAATAATTTATCAAACAAAGATTAATAATATATAATGTTAAGAGACTTTAGAAGATAAAAAAAGATACTGATTTTTGGTCAAAATTCAATTTTACTTCTTCTAGATGAAGAAAACTATCAATACCAAAGACAAGATTTAAACAACTCTGTCCCTAAAAGTTACTTACATCATACCAAGTATTCTTAAGCCTTTCATCAATAAATTCTACATGTCCTAGGAAATATTAAAAACTTCTCTGATTAAAAATTGTAAAATATTTTGGTAATAAATATTAATGTACTGTGTGTTTACAATGGCTACTACTTAACTTTTCAAAAATAAGTCAGGTTTGTACTATTAAGCATCCACAGCTCTGACTGTGATAATTATTTATTTGGTTGGTAAATTTTATTCTTTGTTGATGTAAGGTTACAAACGTGAATGGCAAATGTGAAAATCTGGTTACAAAACCCTGGTTAGGGCCTGTCCTGAATTTTACATCAGCTGAACCAGATTACCTCCCACATTCTGAGTTATTCACTAAGTTCCCTACAGATATCACGCTCATGCCCCTCAACTGCCTCATGGAATTGATTCAATTGAAATGGTTACATAAAGATTTATTTGAAGGAAAAAATGTAACTTGTTTCCATCATGATTGACTTGAAATTTAAAAATGACAGGTACACCTAAGACTTAAATCGTCAGCACTTAGAGATAGCTTAGGATGTCTTTCTTGTTGGAATTGAAGATATCAAGTTTTTCTTCCAACAATACTGATGTCATTTAGATCTTTATCAATAGGCATCTGCTCTTTTCTCATCAACCATCTGTATAGAAAGTATTCCTGTTTTCTATTTAGTTTCCAAGAGAGTTTTGAAAGCTTTCTGTTGCTTTTGCACTTTTTGTGCTTGATTGGCTTGAGATGTTAAGACCTTCTTTTCGCCATAGTTCAAAATAACTCTCTTTCAGAAAGATGTAAAATAGCAATATGAATATATGGTAGGAACTAAATATTTGGTTTAAGCCTTGTAGTCTCTCTGTGTACAATTTGCCACATTTACATAAATCCTTCTTAATGATTGATGGCTTTTTGCTTAGGTTTTGGAGAGATATGACTATGCACTCCCACATAAGCAGATATTACAGATTATCCAAGATGAAAACCTGAAACCTTGTGGGTAAGTTTGGTTTATCAGCTTACCAGTTACCAATTGCATTCTCGATTACATCTGGTTTGCATTGTCACAGATTATAAGTAGTCACTGAGCACCCTGCAAAATTCCAACTTGGGATAGAAAAAGTTGATTTCATGCTAATTAAACTCAATCTATTAGCCATGATCAGTACAGAACAGCTAATCAAATTCAATTGGTTAGCCATGACCTACAAGATTATGAACAGGACGTGCCCAGAGAGCCTTTAGGAAAAATTTCCCCTGATATCCTTGCACTCAAACTTTAGACCAAGAAACTGCAAGGACTTCCAAATTCAAAGATATAATCTTGAATATGTGAAAAAGGGCCTCCACTATTCAGCTCTTAATGTGTGGAACAGCATCACTATTTAATTAGAGAACTGCCAACCCTCCTGCAGTTCATAAGAACACTAAAATGACACTTCAAGAGCTGGAATTAAATCAAAACACGACTCCCTGGAAAAACAGCCCTTATGGTTTATTGTATTTCGGTTGTAAATATAATTTAATTAGATAGCTCTTTGATATGCTGAAGGGATTTTTTGTGTATAAATAATTTAATATGGATACGACTATAAGTTGACATAAAGCATTTTTGACTCAGTTGGTTGTTTGTCTTCCCAGATGTTATCTTCACAGATAAGGTAACCTAGAATACATGTGTTTGCATATGTGCATAAACAATGTTACTTTATGTGTCTGTTCTTAAAAAGTCATACAGAACACACATTTTAGAAGTGAGCTCAAGTATAAAAAACAAAATCATAGGAAATGGCTGCATTCAAGTGATATTCATAATTTTCTAGTCTCAGATTTTCTTACCTAAATATTTTACTGTATTGAAAGTGTTTATGATTCATGACGACTAATTGTTTTCAGTTTTAAGACAAAACCAATTGAATGCATGGCATTGTTGAGTTCTTTTTATAAAAATAAGAAGCAAAATTTAAACAATGTTTATAAATTGTCATGTTTTATTTTTTTCCAAGACATTTTAATGCAAATGGCATGAAAGGCTTAAAGTAGAAGTTGGTTTTGTTTAAATGATGAAAATATGCAAGCATGTTTTTTAAAATATGTATGCAGTTTCCCTGTTAGCTTTTTTTCAAAAGGCCATTTGTTCAAAGTCTCAAATTTAGCTTTTTTAGCAGTGCTAAGACTATAAATTGTTTGTTCCAGAAATGAATAGAATATTTGTAAGATACATAGATATGGCGTCAGACTTTGGAAAATGCAGCTTGATAATGAAACTTATAACCAGTACCACAAGGAAAAAAGACATATCCATTTGACAATTCCTTGTTACGTTTTAGAAGAAAAGATCAGTACATTGTGAAAATCTGATTTAATTAGACAGACCAGTAAAAAAGTTACAAATCCGTCAATTAGACACATCCATTAGATAAACGTTTCGACTCTAGCGAGAGTCATCTTCAGGATATAGAATTACAGTCGAAAAAACTATAAGTATGGAAAGACTAAACAAAGGGTATCGTAAGTCATGTGATCTAGCAGTACGCTAGAGGAGCAATAGATATGGATAGATAATTTGTCTTGTGCATAACGATATTGTAAACTATAATTTACACTAAATTACCTAAACCTTTCTTTATATTGCAATTCTTAGTTCATCTTAGTTCATGTTGGTTAAATCTTTGTTTTAGGCGTGGGACAATGCCACTGGCTTGCCTCAATGCAATGCTAAACTCCAACTGCAAAGGGGACGATGCATTGTTTTACAGAGCACCAGGCCAAGCTGCTTGTTTTGGTTTAAAGGTAGGTTTGGTAGGGATTATACAAATTCTACAACCTTGCTCCAAATAACATGTATCATTTACTACTGTGTCATGAATTATCTTGTGCTTTTCTTTGTTTTATTTCATTTTTCTACAGCTTATTTGGCAATGATGTCTTCAATGATGTTAACGTTATCTTAATTTAGTGATGACTTACCGAATTTAGTAGCCTGCAGTTCGATCTAATAAATACACAATATTTTTGTATCCTGCTCATCTATTTTTATGTTTTATTGCTTTTCCTTATTTTTATTTCATTATTCTATAACATGTTTTTCATTTTACTGATAACCATTTACTTTATTTGCTAGCAGCTTCAAACCAGTTATTGTCCTTAATACTGCTGGGAAAACATTTCTATGGGGCCATGGCTTTGATAGATTTTAAAGAGTATTTCCCTTTTCTTTTCTCAAATTCGCCATCATTTTTTTACTCACGTACGTACCTCATACTTCACAATTTTACTAAGAAAAGTTTAAAGGGATAGTTTTAGAAAAAGAACCTTGAAAAAGAAAAGAAATGGCCAAATACTAGTTGATCAAAGTCAATTGCATTCTTTTCTTTTCCTTCTTAACCTATTAAGCAAAATGTTTTATAATATATTTTAATTATATTGTCAGAAAAACCAGAAAAATGAACCTGGAAGTGACAGAGACGAAGAGAGTTCAGAATCTGTGGATATTGAAACCCAATCAGCAACTGGTTTGTTTTTAATCGCCTTGTCGATGCTTTATTGAATCATCAAGTGATATTTATATTTTGTTAATCTCTCATCACTGCCAGAGACGATTCCAACTTTTACCACGAATATACGTTTTATAAACATATTTTTTATCACATCATTCAGTTGATCGTGGTGTCCAGTGTTTCTGTTCGTTCATGACAGCATTGTCATGTATAATTGAAGAATCGGGCAAAAAATGTTTGCAAAAATAATAGGAAAATAATGGGATAATAGGAATGTGTCTTCTGATAATGAGAATAATAGGAGAAAGTCTTCTAACATTGTGGCTACCCCTCCTTTGTAGCTAATGGGATGCCACGTAGCGGTTGAGTTCAATATGCAATACGGGGGTTAGCTCGTCCGCTAGAAATATTATACTTGCTAGAACGCTGCTCTCCTTTTTCTAATTGTCTCCTATGCATGCTTGGTATAAGTTTTGCTGTTTTCGTTTGGCCTGCGTTTTGGTGACTAACTGTAAACTTACATCTTCAATCTTATTCTTTTTGCAGAATCGCCGCCGGGTCAAAAGCTATCTGCCCAACACTCACCCCAGCAAATCCAACAACATCAACAACCGTCGCAAAACCAGCTGCAGTCTCAACCAGTGCAACAACAGCAACAGTTGTCAAGAAGCGCTGCCATACGAAGTGCCAAAATGAAGGCGAACTTACAGAGAACTAGGAACCAGACTCCATCGACCCCAGGCGCCCCGGGTGCCGCTCTTGTTGCTATGCCTCCAAGGAAACCAGGTGCTGCCCTTTGTGTAATGCCCCCGAAGAAAAGATCGAAACTCGAGGCGAACCTTCTAGAAGAGACAGCTTCGCATTCAAAAGATTTCAACCAACAGGTAACTTTAAGATCGTATGTTGCTAAGGATTGGAGAAATTTGTATTTTTTTCTTTAGGAAAATGCTAACCGAAGAAGAGTTTACAGAAGCAATTCCAATGCTTCAAATTATGAATTATTCCAATGTTGCGATGGAGGTCCAATTATGGAACTTTGCTAGACCTGTTCATATTGCTGTCCGCCTTAGGGTTCTTTTTGCAGTTGCAGAAAAATATAATCAAATTGCCATTTAGAGCCCGAGTAGAGGCTCTGTTCAGATTGACTGACTAATTCGCTTTTCATATGAAACACTTTTTCAAGCTACGTACCAGTCCGTAGTAGATTTGCATCGAATGTGAAAGAGCCATCCAAATATTTATGCAAAGAAAAATCTCTTCTTAAACTTCGACCTTAAGTCTCTACACTTAACTTGCATTTGAAGGGTGCTGGCATTTGTGTCAATAGGTTCTAAGACCCGTTTTTAGGACAAATTTAATGGGTCTGTTGTTGTTTTCAGGACAAATGCTGTTATCATTTCAATGCCAACTTAAAATCTCTTCATAGGGTAATCTACCAGGGGTCACTGCTTTTCCCCATTCACCCACCCCCTTTAGAGAAGAGAGATTATGCAACATCAATAATGCCTGAACCCAATCAGTAGTCGTTCGTTAGAAAGGGCCGTTGTATCCTAATGCTCTCTAAGCGCTTCACCTTAAGCAAGAAATGCAAACAAAACATAAGAAAGGTTATGACCCTGGAAGGCCATAATAAAGGTAATGACGCCATATCGAAGCAACCGGCATGCTTTACGTCAGCTCTTTTTGCAAGAGAAGAAATAGGCTGTATTTTGTATCTTCACGAGGCATGACATAAGGCCTATTTTGAAAATGTCATCGCAAAGCATGCCGGTTGCGGAGATGCCTATACCGGTAACTCTTGTTAAAATTTGCTTCTCACAAGTTATGACCAATGACAAAGTAGCACTAATGCTAACCAGTTGCGGTTTTAGAAGGGGGTTCAGGGGGTTACGACCCCATACCCTATGCTTATGGCAATCGGAAGGGGCCCCGCACCTAAGAAAAAAGTACAAATTGTAGAACACCCCTAAAATGTTTTCAGCCCTGCAGGCCCTAATACCGCCCTTGATACTGTGGAGTCCAGGAAAGTGATATTCCTTTTCTGCAGACAATACAAAGCAATATAAGAAAATGATGAAAGCAATATGGGGTTTAAGTGTGACACTTGTTTTTTCTCTTTTTTTGACCGTTGTTGAATTTGTGATCACCAAATTTTTATGGGCCCTGTGTTCAAATTGTGTCATTCATGCGGCATTACCTCAGTGGTCGTGGGCGCTCTATCTTAATGCAAGTATCGGCAATAGAATGTTTGCTTTGAAACACAGAGGTGTGGGAACAACGGTATCGTGTTTGTATGTTTGTGTTTGATGTTATATCCAGATGTTTCTCACAGAGCATCGCAAGAAATTTTGTATGTGAACGTAACAGGTTGAAATTTTGCGCCGCCTCACACGAGTTAATCAAGGATGTTAGTATTCGTTGATGTGCTAAATTCTGACCAAATAAAAATAATATTGTCTAACTAGAAATGGTTCGCAAATGAGATATCTTGATTCCTTGGGAAAAATCAGGTATTATTAGAACCCTTATAAAGCCAAAAAGCTCACAAATACCGGCGTATTGTTAAAGCAGGGAATGGCATGAAGCCCACCATTTCAGATTTTCACCAAATTTGGCTCAGTTATTCCTTAAACTTAGAAAAAAGGTCCCATTTTTAAGTTCCAGCTTCAGACTGTTTTAACGCTATGGCTCTTCAAAAATTGGTTCAAATTCCCCAAATTTTCCTCAACGGCCCTTTTCACATCCATTTTTCAAGTTCTTCTGATGCTTCCTCTGCCCTAACTTTGTTGTTTTTATGAGACAACTTCCTATTTTTGTGAGATACCTTTGTGCATGAATGAATTGTACAAGTCTAAAGAAATGTTTCAGAATTCTCAAATTAGTTTTTTAGATAAATGTTATTTTCTTTGTTCTTATTTTAACCCTCTTTCCGCCAGGATAACATTCGGCATATTAAATCGGAACCTATACTCTCTGCAAGTGCAGGCACGATCTCATCTGATAACGAATTCGACACCCAATCATTATCTGACTTATCTGAGAGGCAGGGTGAGGCTAAATCGCAGTTACAGAGAGCTCAGAAAACGAGGCAGCTGCAATTAGCGGAACAGAGGTCGAGGCAAAGGCAGCAATCAAGACTGGGGAATGATGGGAAAGATGTACCGTTTGGATCGAAGCCTCCGCAGTTACCTAGAGAAAAGAAAGATATCGAGCAGCTACTGAGTCAGATTAAAAGAGAACAGGAGGAGGAACTTAAACGAGAGCAGTTGAAAAATCATCGAAAAGTTATGCAGACGAAACTCAATCAAAACAGACCAGCTCCAAAACCGAAAACGGTGAATAACAACAACAGCGCCCCATCGCCTGCGCCGGAAAAGGTGACGGTCAGAAAACCGCCCCCCGTAACCGGTTTCCTAGATGTCAAGGTGAGCTGACTGGTCAATTGTACCAAGTCACGGTAAAATGAGAGGTTATACCAAATGTTTTTCGCACGACTTTATGTTGTAAGAAACTTCCTTTTTCTACTCGTATTTCGGCATAGAGATTTCGGTAAAAAGTGTTTTTCTATTGTTTCTCTTTCTTTTATTGATTCACTTTTATACTAACAAATAATTTTTATACTAACAACAATTTAACCTTCAAATAATTTTTATACTAACCATCTCATGACCACCTTCTATAATATATTTCCTGGTTATGAATTACTTCCTGTATGATTCTAATTCTTGGAATTTTGCATTCTCAGTCTATTCGAATTTTTCTTTCCTAAATCCATCCTTTATTTTTAAAAAGTGTTTCTTAAAAAATTTTGTTCCATTGAAACATGTGCTTTATTTGCGACTATATTTTATCTTACCTTTTGGTTTTAGCTCAAAAAGTTGAAGAAAATGAGTACAGGTAGGTATTGTTTGAATGGCCTATTAAAAACTTTGCCATCGTATCCTGTCTTTGTTTTCTTGACATTCATCTTCATAAACACGAACCCAAAACGTAAGGGTTTTATTAGGTAACTTTACCTGTTCAAATATCTCTAGGCATGAAAAAAATGATTTCTGCATTTCTTTCGATTTTTTACACTTTTTGACATTCACGACGCTTGGAGAAAGTAAAAATGGTAGCCTTTGATGAAAATTTCTGAAGAATGATTCAAATCATTGTTATGTCTGTGCTTCTTGCGAACGTCATAGGATTTATTATGGTGCTTTTGTTTTATGATGGATCTCTTGGTTTTTAGTGGACCAGATCAAAAGGACCAAAGAAGGCAAAATCGATTTACAGAGTCCAGAATCAATTGCTGCCACTATCGCACTTAAGGTTAGCCGATCATTTTACTTTTGAGAACTCTACAAATTTATGCGACATTAATAGCTTGGTTCTAAAATACTAAAGATAAAGTAAGCTGCATGCTTAGGTTTCCTGCATGATAATCATAGCTGTGTTCATATGCTTCTGCTTTGTATACTCTGGTCAATTGTGATGTGACTTTTACAATATCACTTAGAAAAGCATAGTGGACAATGCCTCTAAAATCCTTGGCAAACCTAATTGTCTTACCCTAACAATTTCATCCAATCTCGATAAGTTTTAAATTCACAGCTACAGAAATAACAAAGCTGCCCCCTGTCTCCAAAGCTATGTTGGATTCGCACCACCGCCATCCAACAGTAGTTTATGAATTGCAGGTTGCGTTCGGACGTTGAATTTCTAGGGAGAATAATCCAACATTGTTTGAAAGAGGAAAGGCCGAACTGCTAATGTGTATGCCAGAAATGCTATTAATATTACAAGCATTGTATATGGTTAGGTGGGGGTGGTAGCCTCTTCTCTGTACTTTTTACAACAGCTATAACCTCATTTTCAGACACCATATTTCAAAGGGAATCTAGCAAACATCGGGTTGTCCATGAGGGAACCAAACCAAGAACTTCTTTGAAAAACGTAGTTTACATGATTATTGGTAGCCTTTAAAGTGAATTGAAACAATAGTTATATTCAATTCCTGAAGCAAAATCATTTGAAATATTCCTTGAAATATTTTTGAATGGTTGGTTAAGAGCGTTGGTATGGATGCATTAACCCATTTGTCAAACTGTGTTTGAGAATTCCAACCAAGAAATAGACTCTATTTCAATAATTGTCACGAGTGTAGCTATAGGCCTAACAAAGATTAATGCCTGGATTATCAACATTTATACTGCATTGAGTTTTGAAGAACGGGCAAATGCTAGAGACTGTTAAGTACTTCAACCCAGGGCTCATTAAAAATATTTTGTGCCTGCGAGCGGAAAGCTGAGTAAAAAATGTGACTGCAAGTAAAATAGGGCGCAACATATGGTCAGATATTGATAAATTGCGAATCTTCCGTTCTACTGAGTTCCACTCAGTACTGTTACACCAACTTAAGTTAATGCCACCGAGTTTTTTATTATCAAAATCTTCAAACGCTTGTTTTTCAAAATTCTTGTTTTTTACCAATAGAATTTCAAAAAGCAAGAAGCATTTTCCTTGATACTATTTTAGTTTTACTCAGTACATATGAATTACATATGAATCCAGTACATATGAATTTACATATAATTACATATACAGTACATATAATTTATCCAGTACATATGAATTTCCAGTTTATGGTTTTACTTTTACTGTTAAGTACTTCAACCACCCATAATCAATTGTTACGATGCAATTTATCAAACACAAAAATTTCGCCGAGCAATAACCAATTTTTGCTCTGCTACCACTTTCATCTCCCTGCCAATGCTATAGTTTCACTGTATCCACGATGATAACACGATTTAATGCTATTTAAAATATTTATTAATCTTAGTTTATCGTTTCAAGATAGTTTTATGTGAAATTTGGCTTGAAAATGACAAAAATCCTCTTGTTTTAATTGGAAACTCAAATGTTATTACTTTACGCAACCGTTTCTACATTGTTCTTTTCCATCATAATTACGTCACTCGAATGATAATCCCCGCTTCAACATTCCATCTGGTAATTCGATGATCCGGACGGGAATCGATTTAACGCGACTGAATAAAGGCTAAGGAGATTTTCCCACGCAAGCTAGAATTCCACATATAAATGGTATTTTTATTTGCTTACAGAATTTCCTGAACAACGAGATGTTCAAGCAACTGCCCGCAGCGTATCAGTACCAGTTGTTGATGTTGTTGCCAGACGTTGATAGAATCAAAGATGGCGACCATGTTGTCAGGTATAAAAAGGCCCCTTGTAAACCAGCATTGCTGAAAAGGCTACCATGCTTAAATAATTGACAATAAAACGAATGAGAAGTAGCACAGTCCCCTTTTAATCCCAACTTGGACAAATGCACCCTGGCTTCCGCAAATTAGGCCAATGCAACCAGACTCTTATTCTCAAATATTATTAGCTTCTTTCTGTTTATGTAACCATGAAAAATTGCAAGGCTTATATTTATCGATGTTCTACTAAATATTATACAGTGATTTTCTTGAAGCTGGGGAATTTCTAGGAGAATCTCTTGAAAGGACTGAGTATTACTGCAAGCTTTCTTAACATTTCTACGTTAAAAACAAAGCTCACTTTACCCAGCTTGATTTTTCCCTATGCAAAAACAGCTGAAAATATTTGGGTAGTTAATTCCTCAGATTATACAGTATTTTTTATCTGCATGGTAAACATTAAGATTCTTAGGGGTCCCTTCAGAATTCTTATAAAAATGTGGCCATTTTCTTTTGAAGCAACTTCTATCTTTGGTTATCAGTCATTGTTTCTTATCTTTGAAGCCAAAGTACATTTCTTTATACCAACAGGATGTCGCCCAACGCATTGACAAATGAGTTTTTTACGAAAGCTTGTCTGGAATGGCAAGAAAAACTGATGGAAGGTATTTATTCATATTTCATATAAAATTGAAGATGTATATTCCTGTGAAGGTACAGTTATTTCTTAAGATACAACTTATTTCGGTAGCATTTAAAATTGCTCCACAGTTTTGTGGTTCCACAATTTCTGCAACTAGTTTTTGGTACAATTATAGACGGTATCTAATGATAAGCTCTCCTCTTAGCTTTCAGCTTTCAGAAGTGGCTTTCACGGTGCAACAACAATACCAGGCTGTTGTTTCTAAACTTTAAAATTTGAATCTTGTTTTATTTTTTACGTTCTGCAAATTTTTTTGCTATTCTGTGAAGCTTTATAATTTTTTTCATTCAAAGGGGAGTTTAATGTTGATATCGTGCAAAGAATTAAACAGGAAGAAGGGAATTTCATAACGTTGGATCCATGGAAGGTGAGCAACTGCCTTTTATGCTCTCTTATGAACAAAAAGTATTGTACAATCAGAACCAATGAAATGTTGATTTTATTTATAAGGGAAAAAATTAAGGTGATATATTAACACTTTAACAAACCGTAATTCCTCGAATTGCCCCCTCCCAGAAAGCCGCCGACCCCCCCCCCCCGAAATAAGCCCACCGTTAAAGAAGTCCCTACTGCGTAAAGCCCTCTTAAAAATTAAGCTCCCACCCTAGAATTACAAATTATCCAATAAGCCCCCCCCCCTTTGAATAAGCCCCCGCTGCTAGCGGAAAATGTTCGAAAATAAAATCCAACTAAAATATACAAGGTCTTTTATTAATGGCTTCTTAATGCTTACTATAATTTTAAAAGCCCCTCTCGTATAAGCCTCCCTGGAATAACCCCCCATCCAAAAGTATTAAAAATAAATACGAGGATTTACGGTATGTTAGGTATTGAAAGGCACCTCTGTCGAACCGAGCCGCTGTAAATCTCATATTTCGTTGCCCAGGTCCATTGGATGTTCTCTATGCATTTCAAATGTTTGTTTACTCTATGTTCTCTTTGTATTTTGTTACATTTGCTTTTATCTGTAACATGTCTTAAAGTATTGGGGTTTCTTTTTTGATTTTGGCAGACGCAATTTGTTAGAAATATAAAGCTAACCAAGAAAAATCTTCCTGAATATTTTGTTAAGAAAAAGTGTCTTCCAGTGAAATGTCGTAGAAATATACCAGTAAATCACCAAGGATTGCAGTGGATTTTCTAATTGTTTAGAGGTTGTTTGGATGTGCAAATTTGAATTATTGATTTTATTTAGTTTGGCAATAGCCTTACAGCGCTGATTTTTTTTGTTTTAGGAGAAGTTTTTTGAACCTGTTTGGGGGAAAAGGTATGTTTTTCCTGTATTTTTTGTTCTGGTTCTAGATGTAAGTGTAAATGCGAACGCCTTTTGTAATTTTTACTGTAGTAGGGGTCCTACACAACATCTTTGGAATTGTTACCTACTGTGATATATTTCATTGTGATTTTCATACATTTCCTCTTCTGTTTCAGAAGAGTTACTGCTTTATGATATAGGCCAGGCATCGCCTCCTTTAGAGTTGTGTTAATTTATGAGACAGTGTTATTGTTAGTTTATATTCGTTTGCTCCTTAAAGTGTTTTCCGAGATTGTACGAGTGTGGAAACCTGACCCTGTGTTTCCACATTCAGTCACAACATATCATACCATTGCAAACCAATTTGATTCTTGGAGCTGTTAATTTTAATCAGTATATCATATTGTCCTAAGAAGACAACAGCTTGTGAAAAAAACAGTAGCCGAAATACAGAGGCATTTGTCTTTACTGTATTTGCAAGTTTTGCGATGCCTTTGCACCTGTTTGCATCATTCCAGCATTTCCGCTTCACTTTTTCTGCACAAGAAAAATGTTTTTACCGCTCTGGTAGGATATTTCCCTACCGTCGATACAAACATTGCTATTAACTTTCCCTACCCGGTGTTTGTATTGTTAAGCAAAGCAGATATTTTCTTACTTGATGAAATTAGCAACCTCTACTGTCACTAATATTTAGGTGTCGAACCACATCCATTGTTTATTGATTTTGATTGTTTTCTCCTTTGCGCTGTTCACTAAAAGAAGGAGGGTGTATTCTCTTTAAAAGCCTGTTTATATGGAAAAAATCATCCCACCTTCCCGCCTGTAAATTTATAGGTGAGATCCCACCCTCATATAGTATTTTAGTATTTTTCCCCTTGCGTTTTTATGGCAAGCGAGCCAGCACGGTTAGGCGAGATTCCACTGCGCGAGAGGTGAGATCTCACTTGGGTGGGATCAATTTTTTCTACATAAATGCTGGAAAGTGGGATAAAGATGGAAGAAGGGATGAAATATTCATATAAATTTGCGTTTTTTTTCTGAGCTTGGTATGCAGGTTCTGAATATTCAAATAGCCCTTTTCTTTTCCTGTTTTGGCTAGTTAGTTCAAAACCACAGTAAATTCCATTTTGTCGTTTGACATTCAGGACATATCCTTTTACAGCCCAGTGATCAGCTTATGTATTTTGTTTTTGGAATCGTATTCAGCAAATCCGCATCAGAATATGGAAATTCTTCCTGGTTGATTAGGCTGCGATCTCTCATTGCTTTTTAACAACAGCACATAAGCAGATCATAGCTGACCCTTAAAATCTCAGGTGGCCTGGCTATAATCTGATTCGCATATTCAACTGACGCAGTTCCAGGTCAAATTATATTCCAACAAATAAGATAAGAAAACTCGAGTTTTGAACATAAGATTAGAGGAACACGCGTTGGATAAAAGCGATGTTTAGAAGACCGAATGATGAAGTACACAAATCATATACCTACAAGTGAATTGAAGTTTTTTATTATAGCTTGCAAGCTAGAGAAATTGGCAAAAGAGCAATAAATAAATAACAACGAGAGGCCAGTCAAGTGTTTCCTCAACCCAAATTTTGCTGTTCGTAGGCCCAAAACCTTGCTTCACATAACCATCTTAATTTCCGGTTGAAATTATCCTTCACATATCTTCCAAAATATGCTACATTGTTTTTTATTTTAAGCCTCAAATATCTTTTTCTCATACTTGTCCTTCTTTATCTCTTGCACTCGTCACATTCCTGCCATTTTCCGTTTTTGTTTTCTAGGCCAGCTTTTTCTCTAGACACCTGTCAATTGTTCCTCTTACCATTTTTTCCTCTGTTCATCCCTCTCATTCTTACTTGAACCCTTTCCCTGCATTTATGTCCCCATTTATGTCCCCATTTCCCTCCCCCTCATTTCTGTCTCTTCAATTTCCTTGTTGCCATTAACTTCTTTCTGTCGTAATTTTTAATGCGTTTGAGATCCACCAATCTATTTCTTTTGAAGAACCATTATCCACTTTCGATAGATTTGTCGTTATAAATTTTGTGGCGTCTCTTTCTTACTATCTCAATATAAGCTTTAAGCATTCATGAATTTTTTAATTTTTTTTTTCTAGTTCACTGGAAGATCCAATCGCGCGGACGAACGGTAAAACAAACTCGTCGTCAACGGTCGTTAAAGACGGTGGAAGCTCTTGGTCGACGTTTTTAAAATTCTCTGAAAATACAGCTCATGATTATCTCGATAAATTTAAGGTTATGCAAAGAACGCTACGCCAGAAAGCCGACACGGAAAGTATTCGAAGGAATTTGCAAAGGAAACAACAGTTACTGAAATCCCCGACGCTGGCGAAACCGAGGGTAGACAATATTGTAAAGGATCGTAGCAGGAAGGCGATTAAGCGCGCTCAGCTTTTACAGAAAAAACTCGCGTTAGAAAAACAGCTTTCGGAAACGAACGCGCGGCTAGCTGATACTTCAAACCCATTAACTAACGAAGAACACACTCGTTTAGTGATTTTTAGCCGAGAACTGAGTATTGCATTGAGAAAAATAAACGAACATTCAAAGGACACGCAACGCACGCTGTCTTTGAACGCTATTCAACAGAGGCATCCAGATTTCTCTGGAGATTCCTCTTTAGCGAAAAGAGAGGATGTCCCTCTTGCTGTCGTATCTAAAGCAAGATCGCCGGAAGAGGAACTTCTTCGACAGGAGCGCCGAAAGGCGAAGGCTAAGAAACGAAAGCGGGAACGGGAAGAACAGGACGAGAATTCGCGAAAGCGCGGTTCTATGCTCGAACAATATCACAAGTTAGGCATGCCTCCACAGGACGGTTTATCATTAAACTTAATAGATATGAAAAGAATTCATAAAAAGAAGAAGAAGGGGGACAAACACAAAAAGAAAAAACATTCCAAGGGAGAGAAAACGAAGGACCGAAGTAAAATCGTGAAAGGACCGAGTATTTTCGCGAAGAGAACGTTACCGGCGCCGACGCCATGTCCGTGTAAACTTGAAGCGTTAATCATTTGTAAGCAATGCGGCGCGTTTTGTCATTCGGACTGTATAAACTCAGATAAACTTTGCTCTCTGTGCGTACCTGCGTAGCAGATGGGTTATTTTATGTATTTTGCAATACTTCTAATTAGATTCTTGAAATATTTAAACGCTGTCTTTGTGTAATTAATAGCAATGAATATCATCTACATTTTCATACTTCTTTCGTTGTTATTTTCCAATTTATCGTCTTTTTATGGCACGATACAACAGCGAGACAATTTACTGTTCAGTCCGAGATTTCAAAAGTATAGAAGATGCCTCAACCTCTCTCCGGATGAGCTTTTGCTCTATTTGTCTGACTCGTGATTCTTCTTGCATCTTTTGAATAGAATCTTCTTGGAAATGAAATTGAAGTAAAATCATCAATGGTTTTGTCTTTACGCTTGCAGGAAAAAGAAAAGTTCATACAAAACCGTAAATTCTTCCCACTTAGTAAACTCTTTTCAAATTATCCATTGGACTTGCTCAAAACTTCCGCATCTTGGCAAAACCTTTCTCTGGCTCACAGCCGTGGAACCCTAATGTTTTCTGAACTAAAAAGATTTCAACACTGCCCTCTACATTGCCTTCACATGGCTCCTCTAGAATCAACCTCGTAGTTTGCTCAGAAGCTCAGTCTCATCTTAAAGTGTTTCAAATGTTTGACGTGACTGTAGTTTTATTTTGAACAAATGCAAGAATTACCCATGATGTTCATAAAAATGTCTGCAAATTTGCGAAAATGGCAACACAGTTCTATAATTCTTAAAAATTTCAACCCCGTTTGTACGGAAATATAGGTAAACTTTTATTTTAGAAGCAACTGGTATCCTGCATGAAATTAAAACCTGACAACGATCTTCATTCGAAATATAAATGGAATTAAACGTAAAAGAGCAAGAATAAGTAACAGGAAGCGTCAAAGTTGCATATTAATAACAAGGAGTTATATCTTTTATCTATTTAGTCGATTGTGACCCTTGCCCGCAATAGGCGATTATGAAAGAGAATATAAAGTTCGGTGAGTGTGGTGCTTTAATAGAAATCAACAGGAAACTCGTCTTATTGTGTGGTGTGTGTCCTGTCTAATCCATTGTGTTTATCCCAGCCATTCAACCCACGCAAGCCACCAATGTAATAATGACACAGTGCTCTAATTTGCTATCAATTTTTCACTGCTCCTACTCTTTCACTTCAAAATAGAATACAAAATGCACGAAGAGCTCAGTAAACTCTAGCCAAACACGACCCGTGTGATTCACAGAACTCAATTTTTTGTAAACATATACAATTAGAATACAGAAGTATACCATAACCATACATTAAAAATAAGCAGATTTACAGTCCAGATACGATGAATGACACTTAAGATGAAGCAAGGGGAATATTAATGAGAAATTAATGTTATTGAAGTTTAAGACCGCCAGCACAAAACAGGTATTAGTAAAGAATTTCCACTGCCGTTTAAAATAATAGAACAAAAAATACAGTGTTGATATTATTCAAAGTACTGAGGCATGTAGTTCGTTGAATTATACATAGCGATACCACAAATGGTGTGTACATGCACATTACTTCCGTAGCCAAACAGGAAACAAGCAATCAAAGCGCAAATTTAACAAACAATAAAATAAGGGAGAAAAATAAATAGAGGTAATTGGATCTTTCTGAAAAGAATTTGGTAAAAAGGTGAAATCTAATAAGACAATGCAATCGATTAAGCAAATCTGTTTGTAGCGGTAATTTATTGTAAGAAACCAAATTTGAAATCATTACTTTATAAATTTACAAAACATGATTTGTTTCAGTTTTGTGCCCTGATAGATACCTTAAAAAAAGCTGTCTAATGAAAAGCTACATAGTCTATGTTGGTCATCCCATTGCTATTCTCAAAGGATACTCTCATTTGAGCTCAAAATGATATACTACTCCTTTGGAGCAGTTTTTTATTTTTCTACACTGATTTTGAATCGGGACTATGTTGGGAAGACGAGCGAGTGGGAATCAAATGGTCAGTCTTGGAGTCAGAGCATGCGCAAAATAACTTCGTTTCATCTGCATGGTCTTTCAGTCCAGGACGGAAGGCCGCCCAACCCATTCAAAACTTTCTTATTCCTGTCTCTCTAACAAAACTAGCCTTCTCTTTCTCGCATACGTACCAACACGTGGAGGGTGCTTGACCATCTTTTTCTACATCAGCACTAACGACTTTAGTCAGCTGCAAGTGCACCTAACCTCATCCCTGGTTGTGACTTAAGAGGGTCAAGAGGCGAGGTGGAAAACTCCAAGAGGCTTTAATAAGAATCCTACAAGCAAAAGGACTGATTCTCTCAATTTCTGTAAATGCGACGCAGGTAGAAAAGAAGTTTAACAGAATTTGTCGAAATAATCGACTAATATAGCACTAAGTTAATTTGTTTATGACAATAATGATAATTTATGTAATCGATATTTGATTTGTTTAAGGCTGGAATTATGATTACAGCAAAGCTAATTAAGCAAACCATCAATAGGAACGGAAAATAAATTAATAAAATGTCTTATGTATATAATATATTATTATTTATTAATATTATTATACTTTATACCTTCTACATACGAAATATGATACAAATAATTTATTGTTTACAAAAAACCTAAATACTTGTTAGGCTAATCTTTACGGATAGAAACTAAATATCAAGTGCAATGAAAAATTACAAAAGATTTTGTTATTACACTTTGATACTAAATAAACTGTGTAAAGACAACCGGATTTTTAAAGACAACTAATAGATAATGCGGGAAGATAGCCGACCCGAGCGAGGTTGTAAATGAACTGTGTGTTGACAACTCAATGGCCATCTTAATTAATTAATATAACGCTAACTTCATAATAATGCTAATTTGTAAACCGATTTTAAATATTACTATTTTGCGTCAAAAACTGACCACTTTAATGTATTCTCAAGCATTTCACATTGCTTTGCATGCAAGGAAAGCCTGCAATCTGAGCTCAGTCCCCATAAAGTTTCCTAGCCTCTCAATTTCGAGCACCCGTTTTAAATACGATGTGGATGTTTAATCGTGGTTGCTTTCAAGCAAAGTTTTTGCTTTTAGAATTCTACGTTGCTTCTATAATTTTATTTTAGGTTAAATGCAAGCAAAATTGGACAAGAAACATTAAAGACATGTTAGGGAGGAGCTCTTTGGTGTTGATGTTCATTACGATAAGAGAATGATTCCTGGCCATTTGTCGGGTAAGTCAGTCTCTGTTTTTCTTAACTTTATGCATTTAGCTGTTAATTTACTAAATCTGGCAGCACGATTTTGTAGTTTTTGCAGTATGAGTCTCTTAGTTGTGAGTCACCCAATTCTAAAGGAAAGAGAATTTTTCTTCGTCAAAATTCTTTTCATCTACCATACTCGATTACGCCCAGCCACAAGCTAAAGGTAAGACCACGTCTCCAAGCTATCATTTGCAATCTCTACCTACTCTTCACTGCACAATGTTTTGGAAGATTACATCACAAAGAGACATTATTTATTTCATTGTTGCCATGGCCTTTGGCGAACAGCTCCGCGCTGTTTTTTGTTTATATGAACTGAATTGGCTTGTGGTCTGCGTAATAATTGTGTGACGTAATAATTTCGTTGTATTCTGTGGGAGAATGTTAATTTTCATTGGCAGGTATCAGTGTTATTTCAAGTGCTTCATAGAAGATTCGCCGAAGCCGATTAGATTTTGAGTTCAAAATGAGTTCAAAGTTCAAAATGAAATACATTTATATAAAAACAATCTGTTGGTTCTGTATCGGTGTAGTTACCCTGAATACAAGAGCTGTGCGAATTACGTCACTCTGGTGCCCAGTCAAGTACATCATCTCAAGCGGTATTTTGCGTGGCCTACCGGACCGATTTATTAGTAACCTTTTCCGATTAAACCGGGGATTTTTGCGGTGATAGAAAAAATTGGAGAATAATTAATTTGAGAATAACACCTAAGCACTTGTCGACATTAGAGCACTCCTGGGATGCCGGGTGCGTAGAGATGCCGGGTGCGTAGAGATGCCGGGTGCGTAGAGATGCCGGGTGCGTAGAGATGCCGGGTGCGTAGAGATGCCGGGTGCGTAAAGATGCCGGGTGCGTAGAGATGCCGGATGCGTAGGGATGCCGGGTGCGTCAGTTTTTTCGTAGTGAGGGTTGCGCCAGGTCTAGGTAATTTAGATTTGAAATGGCTTTGGTCATCCCGTTATTAAAGCAAAGGTTGCCGTGCATTTAAAACTTATATTATTCTATGACTTTCAATTAAGGCAGCCAAAGAACTCGGCAAATTTTATTCATTCAAAAGGTGTAGCGCATTTTTGATAAAAGCTGAGTGATAAACATTTATTACGATATTCCTTTTAGAACTGATTGCTCTTCATTAGTAAAACAAATGTTAATTTACATTTCTTCATAAGCTTCTGCTGGGTTTTGCGTAAGTTTTTTTTGAAGATTATAACATTATTTAAAAAGATTTCATAGAACGAAATGAATTCCAGTTCAGTTCAATTCAGTTCCAGTTCAGTTCAGTTCAGTTCAGTTCAGTTCAGTTATTTTAAAATTTCTCTATATATAATATCTTATCTTACTAAAACACTAATTACATAAACATCCTTATAATAAAATACAATAAAAAACAATTATGTAGCTAAGATGTTGCATGCAGGGGGATTTCTTGAGGAAGAGCTCCCTCAATAGATAAACTAATCTAGGAGAAAGCATCTCCTTTTACAAGATGGTTCTAAATCTTATTTAATCATTTATCAAGTGACCAGAACGATATTAACGACTTTAGGATCAACTTTGATAGTTTTTCATAAATACAAAGGCTCGAGTCATAAGACAGCATAAGAAGGAACACCTGATAAGTCGCAAGTAGATCTTATTTCTTTTATCTATGCTAGTTAAACCAGAAGTAGGTGCCTACTCGTCTAAAATAATCATTTTCATTTCCAATTTTATAGACATGGTAGCCAGTCAATTAGAGAAAAACTGATTTACCAGGGGTCTTGCAATAAAGAAAGTATCAACCAAATTAAAGACATTGCTATCCCATCTTGAAAATATTCGTTAATAAGAGTTAATAAACTGGAGGATGATAAGAACATATGTTTTTTATTTTTGTCACCTTATGGGTGGAATTTGTTTTGCAA